CCGGCGAGTGGCCTTGGTCAGATATGTCGTTGACTGCTTGTTGAGACCGGCGGGCCTTTCGAGTAAGTCCATGCTTGATTTTCGTCTTGTCGTGTTTGGTGAAGGCCTTTTGATACGGTAGACTCGGGAGGACGGCTTCACCCTGGGTTTTCTTGTTCTTCCTTCTCTTCGGAACATGCTGGGATGCTTTGATGTTCAAGCCTCTGGACCGTTTGCTGCCAGTCTGAGATGCCTTTGAGATACCGGTCGCATCTAGCATGTTCTCTGTAGACTGACGGTTGGAGGAAACCAGCGATGCAGGTGGAATCGGAAGGGAATTGTCCATCGGATTGCTTGATGGGCTCAACGGAGAGATGCTTGCAACGAACATTAGTCGATCGCGTGGTCTTCGCTTAGCAACTGCTGGGCGGAGTCTTGAGTGGAAGATACTGCCATGAGTGCTGGTACCCTCAATATTCTTTCGTGGCGAAGTCAAGAGGCCTCGCTAGGGCCTCTGGACGACGACTGGACTAGCTCCCCTTTCAAGAGACCTGGTTCAATCTGAGCTCGGGCAGTTGTGTGGAGGTGTGGTGTACAGCCCCTGTACATGGTGTGCTGACATGGCTCATCTTACCAATTGTCTGGGTGGTATCTTGTCTTGGACGTTTACCATACTCGGTCCAAATCGCTGTTAACGCAGTATCCAGAGGACCGGAGCATGGTCTTGTGGAAGAACTTTTTGGGCCGCGTACCGCCTTCGAAACTTGGCCAAGTGTCGGTCAAAGCGGTGCAATCGATTCTCTATCTTTTTTTCATCGAAACGGATGCTCGAGCATCACTTGAGGAAGAGTCGACATGATAGATTCTTTTGTAGCTGCGCATTTACAATAGAGCCTTGAGGAGAATGGCCAACTTGGCAGTAGTATCAGGCAGCAACGGGACCGATGAATAAGTCAAATGCATTCGTGAAAATGTGACGAGTTGGAATCGATGAACCTTAAGTGAGGTCGACGCGACGCGTTCGTAAGCGCTAACCCTGTAAAGTTCGTCCATGCGCCACATGCACGTGCCAAGGTCATGTACCCCATGTTGTAGCCGTCTTCATCTCCATCACTCCATCAACCATCAACAACTTGGTACTCAGCTGGCTGGTACCACTGTCTCGTCCATCACTGTATCTATTGCTCCCCTAGGAGCTGTTGAAAACATGTCGGAGAAAGCGCCACTTATCCCAGTTGCCACACCGGCCGAACGATCTCCGCGCGTGCAGCGCTGCACCAAGACGCGTGCGATTGGAAGGCTACTCACGACAGCTGCTGCGGCTGGACTCATCTACTATGGTATGCCATATGGTACGTATTTCTCACATTATCGACTTGGAATGGTCCAGATTAACAATTCTTAGCTGGCGAACCTGTCCTTGAGAAGAAGTCTGAGCTATGTGTGACTCCCGCGTGCGTGCACGCTGCATCGGAGCTATTGTACAACATGTCGCCCGATTACAAAGAAATTGATCCTTGTGACGATTTTGAGGAGCTGGTCTGTGGTGGTTGGCGAGAGCGCCACGATCTACGAGCCGACCAGGGCTCCGCGTTCACGGGCACCCTCATGTCCGAGCAGTCTCAACTACTTCTTCGTCACATCCTTGAGTCAAGCTACCCCAAGGATAGTCAGGTATTCAAACCGTCAACATCTGTCGAAGGTTGCTAATGTTTTGTGAGCACTCTTACTTTAGTCCAATGCAATTGATGGCCGTCGAAAAGTCCATAGATGAGAAGAATTTCGACAAGATGAAGACTGCATACGAGGCCTGTCTTGATGAAAATCATATCAAAGATGTTGGTCTCAAACCGCTCAATCAGGTCTTAGAAGAGATCAAGAAGGCGTACCCAACTGTCGCGTCTGGAACATCCAACGAGCATGACTTGAAGGAGCCCATACTTTTACTTGCCAAATACGGTATTACAAGCCTGGTGAGCACTGACACTGGACCTGATGACACGAATCCCGATAGCGTCGTGGTTTCAATCAGTGCACCATACAGCTTTGGCCTTCCATCTCAGGAACGATACAAAGATGACAAGTTGGTGGAGAAGTATCGCGATGTGGCCGTAGAAGTTCTCGCCGCTCTGTACCCTGAACAAGGCAAGGATTCATTTGCCAAGGTCGTTGACCTCGAGAAACAGCTCGCCGCAGCCGCCCCAGCTTCAGAAGACAGAGACGACGTGGTGGTATGGCTCCACTCAGCTGCGATCACCGTTTACGAGACTGACGTATTCATAGAAATACTACAATCCAATGAAGCTTGACAAAGCTGCAGCTATCGCGCCAGAAATCGAACTTCGAGCGCTTATCGAAGGTCTTGCGCAATCGGACTCCAAGGTTGAACGCGTCATTGTTATGGCACCAGATTACCTCAAGCAACTGTCCAGCATCCTTGCTGCCACTGATAGGGAGGTTATGCAAGGCTACTTCTTGTGGAAGGCTGTTCAATCTTTGTCGTCGTACGTGGAAGCTGATGCCGTGAAGCCTTACAAGCGTTTCAGGAACGTGCTTGCTGGAAAGGTACGCTGCTCCAACTGCTCCCGCGCCTTGCTCAAACAATAACTTTTGCAGGAGCCCGATTCAACGCCTGAACGCTGGAGGACTTGTATAAACCACGTCGATGACAGCTTGGGCTGGATTTTAAGCCGCTTTTTTGTTGAGAAGGCTTTCTCAGCTGAGGCGAAGACGTTTGGAGACACAATCGTCACCGACATCAAGACGGAATTCATTAAGAAGCTCAAGGCCGTTGATTGGATGGATAAAGAGACCACCAAGAAAGCGATCGAAAAGGTTCACAACATCGTCCAGAAGATCGGCTACCCCACAAAGAGCCCCGACATCATGAACCCACCGGCGCTCCGCGATTTTTACGAGGCGGTAAACATTACATCTGATTTCTTTCAGAATCATCTATCCGTGAATCGCTTCGGGGTAGAGTTTGTGTGGTCACAGTTAGGCAAACCAGTTGATCGTGACGAATGGGGCATGACGGTGCCTACGGTCAATGCCTACTACAATCCACCTGGACAGGAGATCGTATTTCCAGCCGTAAGTTCACTCACTATATGTCCTAATTGTAGATATGGCATCGCTGACTTCTGATTCGCAGGGCATCATGCAAAGACCAGTGTTCGATGTCGAATTGCCTGCATACATGTCTTACGGTGCTTTCGGATCTGTAGCTGGACACGAGCTGAGCCACGCTTTCGATTCAACAGGCCGGCATTACGATATGATTGGAAACTTCACCGACTGGTGGTCAAACTCAACCGTCGATGCCTTTAAGGAGAAAGCTGAGTGCTTCGTTAACCAGTATCACAATTTTACTGTTCCTGGGCCAGACGACAAACCTCTCCATGTTAACGGTCGACTCACCCTAGGCGAGAATATCGCAGATGCTGGAGGGCTATCTGCCTCATTCCAAGCGTGGAAGCGCCGCGCAGCCAAGAAACCAAACCAGGACCTACCAGGCCTTGACCATTTCTCTCACGACCAAACATTCTTCATAAACTACGCCAACTGGTGGTGTGGCAAAACGACCAAGGCATCAGCTATTAACAGTATTTACACGGACCCTCATGCTCCGAAGCGGGCCCGTGTCATGGGTACCATGGCGAACAGTCGCGAGTTCAGAGAGAGCTTCAAATGTAAGGTGAAGGAGCCCACCTGCCAATTGTGGTAGACGGTGGACTGCAATAGTGCTTAAATTTGTTGTGGTTGCGTTCACACCGTAATCTCTACTGCGAGTACACGAACCATTTCAACAGCTATCAATTCTAAAGTTGCTTTCTTTTCTCCACGTTCCCCACTTTGGCAAAGTTTAAGCCACTGACTTTGATTTGTGGACTTCGGTATGAAGCTTTTCGTCTTTCTGGATCGCCGCTGCCGCCGCATCTGGGTCTTGCAGAGCGTGCGGTATCAGCTGGTCTCCGAAGACCTGGTCCATCTGCTCTAGGCTGCGGCCCTTCGTTTCTGGGTAGAAGAACCAGTAGCAAAGCATAGCCACGATGTTGAAGACGAAGAAGACGTAAAAGTACCTGAACTCTAACGAGCTTAGTGCCTGTGGAGAAAATTGTGCGAATATCAGATTGACCGTCCAGTTCGTGAAAGTGGTAATCGCATTCCCGAGCGCGCGACACTCGACCGGAAAGATTTCAGCTGGGTATACCTGGAGCGCGCAAGGTTAGTATTCACGCCGCACTTCATATAGCTGCAAATGACTTACCCAACTGATTATGCCTAACGGCGTGTAGAAAAATGAGAAAACAAAGTTCATCGCGACCATACTGCGTAGCTGAGCAGCATTATTCGTATTCAAGTACTGTGCTTGCACTGCATTGACTAGCAAGGCGGCGCCCAAACCACCCGCAGAGACGATGAGCGGCTTGACCCGCCCAACGCGATCGAGTAGTGCTAGGGCGATGGTGCACCACACAATGGCAAGACCTCCTTGGATTCCGATGATGAGAAGAGACTCGCGCGTTGATATGCCCAGGATTTCATACAGCCTTGGGCCATAGTAATTAATTACGTTGATGCCTGAAAGTGGCCCAAAAGCCTGTACTCCACAGCCAAGCAGCAGTCGCTTGCGCCATGTTGGCTTCGTGAGAATGGAGGTCCATCCAATGTCTCCCAACGCGCGATCGGCAAAGATCACATCCCGAATCTCACGAAACTCGAGTTCGATCATTTCGTCGTCGGTGCCTGCGCGTAGCTTCCTCAAAGACGCCATGGCCTCTTCATGTCGGTCCTTCTCTGTGAGCCAGCGAGGCGATTCCTGGAGGAAAAATATACCGGTTATCAGGATCAGGGATGGGATATTCTGGAATGCAAGAGGGAAGCGCCATGAAAATTCGGTACTGTTGAAGGAGCATCCATAGCCCAGCCACTGAGCAACGAAGAAGCCCCAACCCAGCATCCATTGCAACAGACCCGATAAGATACCACGATGCTTGGCTTCTGAAAGCTCACCAGCGTACATGGGAATTGTGGATGTTAATTGGCCGACCGCAATTCCTCCAATGAACCTCCCTACAATCAACATTGCCATGTTGGTAGCACCGGCTTGCAGGGAGCTTCCCAGAAGTGATACCAATGACCCGACCATGATGGTCCATCGTCGGCCCAGCATGTCAGCGAAAAGCATGTTGAAGATCGTGCCGGCGATTGCGCCTCCTTGGAATGCGCTGACTATCCCGCCAACAATTGTGTCGGAGGGGTCATTGAAGTACTCCTTGAACGTCGGAAGCGCGATGGTCGAAGTGATGATTCCTGAATCATATCCGAAAAGGACTATGATAAGGGTAAGTGCGTTGCATCTGCAATCGGAAAATAATCATTGACTGCTACTTACATCCTCCTGTTGCAAGAAAGATAGCAGAGAAAACAGTGATCGTAAGACCCATTCTTGCGGCACCAGATGGCTCTTAATGTCTGACACCAAACTCATAGGGAGAGCACATCCCCACATATATACTGCCGACTTACCCCAAGTTCTTGCCCCGGACTATATCATCCCGATCACCCCAGGAAATGGAACTGGGTCACGCTCAAGCGACAATCTGCGCCCCACTACAAAGCAACGGTCCTTGCTTGGCTGCCAAGTACTTGCGCAACAATATTGCCGCTTTTCACCGTTCGCGTATTGCCTCAGAGCGATTCAACGTTCACTTTTTCTAATCGAAAGGTTGAAAATGTTCTGTGAAATTCATCGCGAGTATCTTCTACTTTCCTCGAATCTGTACAACCAGATGCTCGAAAATGTTCAGATTGGGTGGCCTTGAAAAAGAGCCAAGAAACAATTAAGCGGAGCACAGTTCATGATGTCGACATCCGGTTAGAGATCGACACTTCGCTAGTCGGAATAAGCTACTTACATCCATCACAACAGGTTTCCCGCTCATTTGCCGCCCGTACGATTAGTCTCTATTTTCGCACGTCGCCATAGAACGAGTAATGTACAGCGTGTATCATGGATACAAGACATGGTGTGCAGAACCGAATGGAGATGCAGGCCTTGTGGTACCAAGACGCATCTCGCTGCATTTTCGGCCGAGCAGTTGTAATGCTCAGTGTTCTGCGAATCTTTCAGATCGATAGATTCCATCCCTTCTTGCCACATCCTTCTCGCACCACCTTCAAAATCCTGCATTCTCCGGACTTCGGTCGCTCTTAGGATAGCCTGACAAACATGACTTTCACGTTTGTTCGTTGTGGCATACATGCGTACCACGAAGTTCTCGGTATCGATTCGGACAAGATACGACTCTTCTGGGTTTTAGATTCAGATGACGAACACGCACTGCAAAGTGCTTATCGGATCGAATTATCGACGTCAAAATCCTTCGACTCGCTCCTTTGGGACTCTGGCAAATTTGACAGCGATCAACAACGTAACGTTGAATGCGCACCCACGAACGGATTTTTATCAGCGATGTTTCATTATTGGCGAGTCACTGTCTGGGACCAGAATGGCGATCCAGGATGGAGTCCGATCAACGAGTTCTTCACCGCATACCCACGCTCCAGCGGTCTGCTTCCGCCCTATAGTATGAACCAAACTTACATGCCGCACACCAGTCTCATCTTCCGCACCTGGTTTGAAGATGAGGTAAACCGATGGAAAGGTGTCTGGATTGGTGACAACGGTGACAAGCCAATATATCTGAGAAAAGCTGTGCATTTGGAACGGAAACCAGCAAGAGCCATTGTGCTTGCGTCCGGGCTTGGCCACTTCAACTTCACCTGCAATGGCGATCCTGCTGCGTCAAACGGACACGTGCTAGACCCCGGATGGACGAATTATCATAGGACTGTACAATATGTAGCATATGATGTATCCAGTATCCTGAATGCCGGAGCTAACGTCCTAGGCGCGCATTTGGGGAACGGCTTCTACGCTGGAGACCAGGGCGATGACCGCTTCTTTTGGCCCTGCTACGAAGACAATACATACGTCAGATACGGGAATGAGCTTTGTTTCTTTGCAGAGCTGCACCTGTTCTACCAAGACGGCACGCGAGAGATTGTTACCACTGGCCCTGATTGGAAAGTGCGAAAGAGCGCGACAACGCTAGCCAACATTTATTCATCGGAGACCAAAGACTTTAGGGCCTATCCGGTCGGCTGGGATACATCAAATTATCAAGAAGATGGTCTGTGGTCAAACGCGACGCCAGTTACTGGCCCAAGAGGAAAGCTAAAATACCAGAGTCAGCCCCCTGTGGTATTGCATGAAACGTTTCAACCAAAGACATCAACGACGATTGAGCCAGGAGTTGTTAGCTTTGACTTTGGCCAGAACATGACAGCTATGATCAAGCTCCAGGTGTCTGGACCTGCTGGATCGGAAGTCATTGTGCGTTTCTCTGAAACAATTGGCGAAGATGGACGAGTTTTGATGCCCGATCCTCTCTTCAAGCAATTTGAGACAGGAGTGTTCTGCAGATTCATACTAGCTGGCACAGGCGTTGAAACATGGGAGCCGGACTTTTGTTTCACAAGCGCTCGTTACATTCAAGTCGAGGGTGTTGCTCTTGAACAAGGTCGTAATTTGCCGGTGGTGCGGTCCATTGTTAGTCGACATGTTTCGTCAGCAGCTCGACGCCTGGGCACTTTGAAAACCGACAAGGAGGATGCAAATTCGCTCATCAGCATGTGCTACTGGTCATTTGTTAGTAACCTGTTCAGCTACCACACAGATTGTCCGCAGATTGAGAAGTTCGGCTGGCTAGAAGTCACGCATCTTCTCGCCCCAGCAACGCAGTATATCCGCGATATGGAGTCGCTGTACTCCAAAATACTCGACGACATTGTTGACGCACAAGAGCCTAGCGGGCTGTGTCCAACCATGGCGCCTGAGATTCGGTACATGTGCGGGCCCCTCCACGACACAATAACTTGGGGTGGCGCAGTCGCTTTGTTACCCGAAATCCTTCGCTTCTACTACGATTCGACTCATATCTTTGAGAAACTCTTCAATCCATGCGTACGCTACATGGATTACATCAAGACAAAGGAACGAGAAGGTGGTTTGATCGAACATGGACTAGGCGACTGGGGCCGTGATATTGCTTTCGGCAACAATCAAGCTAACATCGAGACGGCAATCTACTATCGTTGCTTGAGGAATGTTCAGCGTATGGCACATGAGCTTGGAAAAGCTGATGCGGAGGCTCGTTTCAGCGAATGGGCGGATCGAATCGCCAGGGTGTATAACGACAAGTTGCTCGTTACGGACAAGACACTTTACCCTTATGTCTTCTACACATCTCGGGACGACCCCGTGAAGCGGGACCGTAATATGGTGGCTCAAGCAGTCGCCTTGCAGTTCCATCTGGTTCCTCCTCAATACATATTCGAAGTTCAACACGCTTTTCTAGAAGATTGTGCCGCCTCTGGCAATAGAATACAAGCTGGCGAAATCGGACTTAAGTATATCTGGAATACCCTTGCAGACCTCGATCGTCCAGAAATTGTCCTCGAAATGGCTCGACAAGAAGAACACCCTTCTTACATGCGCTTCTTGAGGCGCGGCGAAACAACGCTTAACGAGTTCTGGCAAGATGCATGCCGCAGTAAATGCCATGACATGCTTGGTACAATCTACGAATGGTGTTACGAGGCAGTGTTAGGCTTGAAACCAGAGACCGAAGCCTATCGCACGTGGACCGTAAAGCCACCGCTGAAGTCCGAATTCAAGCATGTCGTAGGCAGCATGGAGTGTCCGTATGGTTTGATCGAGATCGAGTACGACGAAGATCATGAAGGCAGGGTCTGCATGAAGGTCACAGTTCCGACAAGCACAACTGGGTATCTTGTGTTACCAAGAGACGAGAGCGAAGTAATAGTTACAAGGAGAGGCGCGCAGCCTACGAAGCGTGCGGGTCGGAAGATAGGCTTGAAGCCTGGCAAGTATGTACTACAAATTATGCCGTAGAATTGTGCCATGAATATTGCTATGCCACCTTTTCACGGTCAGCTCGGTGCATCTAACAAGGTGTCTGGTGTCTGCAAGGATTTCTCATACCCCAATTTACTCTAGATAACCCAAGTAAGTCCTCGCTTGCCCCTCATAGTGCTCCATCTGGAGCTTTGGAAACGCCCTCAGACCACCCAACCGCGACTCCATCAGCACCCTCACACCTTCTCTTCCACCTGCTCCCTCCTCACCACCCTTCATCCTCAAATACACCTTCCACGCCGTAACACAAGCCAGCATAAACTCGACCTGCGCCACCATGCACTCATCGCCGCATTTCATCACATTCTCCAACGCCACTTCACCATAGCCTTGAGCTTGGTCGGCGTGTTCTTTGCGCTCGGCGACCGGACGCGATATCTGACTCAGAAGCAACATGGTTTCCATGAGCTTTTGGCACACGCGGGAAACTTGCTTGTTGGATGTTGATGGGTCGTTGCGGAGGAAGTGGAGGGCTTTGGAGAAGTAGTGGCGTGCGCGAAGGAGGTGGGCTGTGGAAAGTAGGGAGGATGGGGTCTTGAGGTTTGAGTTTCCGAGAGCGATAAGCTCCACTGGGAGACATTAGATCCATGTGTGTGAGAACGCAGTGTAACCTACCGATCTCTGAGGAGGTGGCGATCTCCGTGGCCTTGCCAGGAACGAGCGTTCTCTCGCGGTCGTGGTATGTCATTTGTTGTACGAATGCTGCTGTTGGGCGATCTTATTACATGTTAGCAAGTTTGACTTGGTAATAAGTTAAGTGCCTGTTGCGCACTTTTCATCTGTACTACCTGTAGTCGCACAGGTGGTGATGATGAGAGAACGGCTCACTCATTTTTCAGGACATTATGCGAATCTACTTACATTCCTTCTTCCTCAAATTCTCTGCGCATGCTACAACCCTCCCAATTGTCTCTCTCTTCTCCAGATACGTCATGGTCGCCTGTCTAATTAATTCCTTCTCTTCGTACTCTGCCAGCCTGATGTTTTCCAGCCCGTTGCTGACATTGAATCGAAAGCATCGCCCACTCATCATGTACTCTCTCCACCTCGCTTCAAATTGCTGATTCGTGTCTTCTGTCTCAGTGGCGACTTTCTGCAGCGTTTCCACAAGGTGCTTGAGGCTCTTGTCCGCGATACTCCTTATACCTGGATGCCCAGTGCCTATTGACACGAAGCATTTGACGAGCGGCTTGATGTTGCCGGTATCTGCGCACCAGATGTCTGCGGCTTCCTCCTCCACCTGTATCACTGGATTGTTCGCGCCGATCGCTCCATCAACGAAATTGCTGCCATCGATCGTGGCCGAGGAGAAATATGTTGGTGCTGCTGTTGTCGCCATGGCGGCTTCCAGAATTGTGGGAGTATATTCACTTCGAGCTGTCGCGTAGCTGCGCAGGCGGGTTGTCGTATTCGTCTTCTGAAAACGCGCACATACGAAGCTTTGCGAACAATCGGATCAGCTGCTGTGCGTAGCTAAACAACCTCTTCCTAGATACTCACACTTTACATGTCGGATCGCCGGGTTCTTCAAAGCTTTCACTCGGAGAGTGTCCGCTAGCACGTAGCACCTCGACGATGGCTTCCGAAAGTGCTTGCGCAGAGAAGCGCGGCTTCACGCGCCCTAAAGCACTCATGATGCTCCGATTCTCTTTCCTTTCGAATATTCGCCTCATGAGCTTGACATATGCTATGATGCAATCCTCGACTGACATGCGCAGTCTGCCTAACATGATGGCGATTAATCTATGCCAACTTAGCCATTTGCACTTCCAATCATGTCTGTAGGAAGTACTAACCCTCCCGTACTTGTACCGCCCATCAAGTCGAAGATCTCGCAGGGCTTTTTCGGTCCCAATCCTTTATCTCTTCGCCTGAAATTCAGCTCTTTCATGGTTCTCTGAAGAATGTAGAGAGTCGCAAGACCACGTACACCACCGCCGTCCAAGGACAACAGGCAGTACCCAGTGCTATCCAGGACATCATTGCTTGCTAAATTGCCTGGAGTTGCAGATGATGATGACCCTGAGGACGACATTGTTGGTTCACGTAGCAGAGTTGAGTCTTCGAAGTATGGATGTAGGCTACTTTCTCTAGTGCCTCGAAGGCTGCCAGAATTGCATGACTGCAATGCTAACCGCTGCCAATTCTTGGCTTTCCCATAGCGCAGGCTGCATGTGAAATGAGATTACAGCCTTGTCGGGCCGAACCTTCAGCTTTCGGTATTCGTAACATGCATCTGCAGCCACGTGCAGGGATCGTGTCCGATTAGACCAATCAGTCGAAGCGCGATATCGCCTGCCGCTGCGCATTGGATGTCTTGTTAACTAGACCCGGCCTTGCGTAAAGCTGAAAGCAGCCATCTTCCAATAGCACCCGAAAAAGGTGGTGGGCGGTGTTGGTGGACGGCACGGGACGCTTGAAGTGTGCCTCGCGGTAAGGTTAGGTAAACTCGTGGTGGAGGCTGCGATACGGCCTTGTCTGCATTGTATACACAGGCTGTTGACGCATGACTGAGGAGGCCGGTCACCGGCAGAACACTGATTGTAGCTTTGGACTGCAATGATGTTGACATGATTCATTTGGTGTTCTCATTTCGATTAAGCAATCAGGGTGCCTGGTGCTATACACAGGGTCTTGCCATTGCAACCGGAGCCCATTGATTCTGCGTATAGCGTCAGGCTATTGAGTACCCTCGTTGAATTTCCATTACCACCGGCGTCCTGGCCCTCCATCCGAGACGAGAGTAGGCGCAGGCCTTGCAAATCCACCAACAACTGATAACGAATCGTCGGGCTTGAGTTCATCCTCCATACGTGGAGACGGGTAGTAGCCTTCTTGGTTATAAGGCTGCATCGGATACACCGCCCCTTGGCTTCTGCTGTTGTCGGCGAATGGAAGCTGATGTTGAGGCTGCGCAGGCTGTCGCTTCAGACAAGGCCCGCAGAAGTTCATGAAGGTTTTGATCGCGATACCAAGAAACGCGAGCCCAGCTAGGCTTCCAACAACAATACCAATGATGGTTGCGAGTGAGAGCGTACTCGATTTTGATGATGATGTGTCTGAGCCGGTGCTGGAGCCAGTCGCACCGGAGTTGAAGACCTTCGTTGACGTATGCAGTGAGCCGTCGGCCGCCGTGATTGTAGCCTCGACAGTAGCAGGAAGTGGATCAGCGGCAATATAGCCCTTTCCCTGGCAATACTGATTGTACATTGATCCGGCGGTCGCGGCGTCGATGGCTGCATTGCCCACTGAGCAACCGGAGTTGATGCAACTCGTGAGATATTGCTGCGCGGGCTTTTGGTAGTCGGGACGGCAGTAGCAATCGTTCTTTGCCTCCCAGCCTCGCGAATTACAAGAATTCTTTGGGTCGCAGCCCAGTTCTCTACCCAGCGCATCGACAGGGCAGCTTTTGCCAAACATGAAACAGGACTGAGCGCATGGTAGTTGTTGATAATACCCTACCATAGTCGACAGATCTTGTCCCATAGTACCGACTTGAGCATAGGTGGCCCATGGTAATAGCAGTAAAAACGAAGACAGAAGAAGAGCTATTGTAGGCATGGCGAAATGGTGTATCGTATAGTTCGAAAATCGGAGAGAAAACTGGAGTGACCTTGAAAATACGACGCGCTGCGAAGCCTTAATGAATGCAGACCACCGCCTGACAGCCTTCTGCAGCCTTTTCAGCCCATTCTTGACAAGGATAAGTGTAGAGTGATGCAGCCTTGATGCCAAGCTGTGGGCCAAGAACCGTGATACTTTTCCTGGAATGCTGCAGATGGCAAGTGTTGATCTCTCGCTTATTTACTCCCATAGTGAACGTGTCTCCTGCACACAGCAGGGATAACCGCCAGTGGCGTTTTTGAGGGCGGTTATCCCTGTGTGAGGGGCTGCGGTGGCTCTAAGATGCCTTTCTCATTAACGGCGACAAGTAAGGCGATTCTCTCGATTAATTTGGCGTGGTCCTTCTCGTTGATAGAGCGTAGGCAACTGGCCGCGACATTGAACTTTCATGTTGACGACAGTCGCATTGCCTTGTTGTCGCTAGATAGTAGCACGTTCGAATGATCCGCAAACGCCTGCAGGTTATCGAGCGCGGCGGAAATTAGACAAGGACATAGGATGACCTGAAGGTATACACATTTTTGTGAGGGTTCGATTGCGACGGCAAAGCCCTGTGTACAGCTTCAGGCTACTGGGTAGGCTACTGCTTACCTGTTGCACCCTGGTCACTTGCCATCGTAGCTGACATGTGGCACAAGAGAACGCTTCGTACATCGCGTTCCGAAAGTCTCGGTGTTGGAGATACGGTCTCAATCTGACAAAATTCGAGACGAGCCTTCCGCACGGACCTCCACGTGGCAAAGCTTAGCAGCCCATCGCGCGAGCTTGATCGCATGACTTGAATCTTAGCAACGGGCCGGCTGCTGTTGCACGATGGCGCCGTTGTGTATGATAGGTCTACATCTTCGTCTTTACCATTGTCTCCACGCTCTAGGCTTCGGCTTGTATCCTTCTTGTATGCTACGCCAGTCAAAAGAGCCCATCTTATCGCTGTCAATGACGTCTCCGCTAAGCAGGGGTGCAAGCGGCCACTGGCGCGCGAGTGTGAAGTCTCTTCCCCGCGCTTTTATAGACGCTGCCGCTGCTCAGGGTCTTCGGTAATCACCTTCGAGAGATTGACGATTCGAACGGTACCACCATCACCATGGCTGCAAACGACCCAGGCCTTGCGCCGCTGGGCGCCCCGGCAGAGGACCCCAAAGGCGCTGTTGACGTACCGGCTGAAGACGCACCTGTCGTCGTACCAGATCAATTCGACCCGAAATACGAGACGACGAGAAAAGAAATCTGGTCATACTACTCGTATGTAGCCACGACGTACAACTGATCAATGACTTACGTGTGGTTTCAGCTACTATGTCGGTGACAATGGCCTCACGTTGTTCAACTTCGGACCGACGGCCTTTCAAAACCTCATGTACCAAGCTGCTGGCGATGCCGAGGCACTGGAATTTCTCGGACGCACTCGTTCCATTAATTCAATCGTCTTGTTGAGCAACGGCATTTCCTTTGCTCTCCAGGTCGTCGTGTTTTTGATCCTAGGCTCTTTTGCAGATTTTGGCTCATGGCGCCCCAACATCTTGATCTGTCTCTCTATCATCGCCTTTGGAATCGGTTTCGGCTGGCTAGGCGTACATACCGAAGAAAAATGGCACGTAGGCGTCGGCCTCTACATTGTCGGATTGATCAGTTACCAAACCACCGTGACCTTCTGGACAGCTGCATTCCCGGGCCTAGCAAGAAACACAAAAGAGCTGCGAGTCAAAGCCGAGGAATTCGCCGAAGGCCGCATCACACGCGCCGAGTACGACTTCACCGACATGATGAAGCGCAACGAGCTTTCCAACACCGCCTTCTACGTCCAATCCGTCTTTGAAATCGTCATCCTCGCCGTCATTGTCGGGATCATGTTCGGCCTGCACGTCAACGACAGCGAAGCCAACAACAACTGGGGTCTCTCCGTGCTCATCGCCTTCGCAACTGGCGTCTGGATCCTCTGCGCCATCCCCTGGTTTATCTTCGAGAAGCGCCGCCCCGGCCAAGATCCAGGCGGAAACATCATCATCGCGGGCTTTAAACAGCTCGGATACGCCATGAGCCAGATCTGGCAACTCCGCCAAAGTCTGGCTTACCTCGTTGGTTACTTCTTGCTTGGTGATTCACTAAATACTACCGTCACTGTCATCGGCACTCTTCAGAACGAAATCGTCGCGTATAACAGTCTCCAGCTCACGTACCTGCTCATCGTCGGAATCGCCGCTCAGGCCGTTGGCATCGGTGCCTTTTGGCGCATTCAGAAGCACTACGGCCTGTCCACCAAGACCATGTTCATGGTCGTCGCAGTGTGCATCGTGCTCCTCGATGGATGGGGCATGATTGGCATCTGGAGCCAGAATTTCGGCTTCCACAAGCGCTGGGAAGTCTGGGTATATCAAGCTTTCTACGGCCTGCTTGTGTGCCCGTGGTACAGCTACAGCCAGACCATGATCAGTGAGGTAACGCCGCGAGGCAAGGAGTTCTTGTTCTTCTCGTTGTTCAGTATTGTGGGTAAGACGAGTGCGTTTATCGGCCCGCTGGTGAGCAGTGCGATCATCGACGATACGGGGAACAACAGTAGCCCGTTTTACTTCTTGTTCGCATTGAGTTTGGCGAGTTGCGCGTGGCTTTGGTGGTTCGTTGATGTAGAGAAGAGTAGGATTGAACAGGCTGAGTTCTTGGAGAGGGAGAAGAGTTTGAAGGTCGTGCACGAGGAGGCTTTGCTATAGACTCACCACTGCAGGAGATACCGATAAATATGCTTCAAGGACGCGGGGCTGCAGATCCGTAGCGGCACTCGCTTTGGTCAGCTTCGCAGGAGCATCACTATATATTGGGAGCAAGATATCGCTATGACGATTTAATTAGCGTAACTAAACTTTTTGCCTCGGTCTCTGAAGCTATACAGACCCACCCTTGGTTGGACCATGTTGAAACGATGCGATCATCCGAACCTCGCCAGCCTCATTCATTTGAAGTACCCTTACCGCCCGATCGTCCCAAAGAAGCCTTCTTCCATGCATTGCCATCCGCTTCCAATAAATCGTCATCATCATCATCATCGTCGTTGCTGATGACAGGAGCAAGACTGCGTTTTCTCTTCTTCGTATCGCCAGGCCACCGCAACTCATTGCTGTCAGAGTCGACAGCGGTGGGCTGGGGTGGGTGCGGTGCAGCTCCAATTTCTGGCGTGCGCTCGACGACTTGATTGATAGGTTCAGGCAGCACAGTCTCCTCGTCGCTACCCAGATAGATAGCTTCGGAGCGGCCAAAGGACGCAGGGTTTCCCCTTTGAGCGGTGGAGGTCTCCTCTTTGAACTTTTCTTCTGGATGTGTGGCCTCGTCTTCATCACTTGAGATACTCACTACTGACACACCCCTGAGAAGAATGAATCGTTGGTCCAGATTGGGCTCCGCCACTCCTGACTCTATCTCTTCAGCTTGCAGTGAGTCGCCTTCTTCCTTGTCTGCCAACCTATCCGTTGTGTTGGCCGTCTCTGGAGTCGCTCTCTCATGAGTGGCCGTCTCTGGCTGTTGCCGCTCTTCAGGACTCATCTCCGCATCTGATAGCGCCACTGCATCAGAAGGTAGTGCATTTGGAGATGCTGCTGACGGCAAGATTGGTGGAGCAGGTGAAGAAGCGGAGAAGCTATCGCGAGAGTTTGCAATTGACATTGCGGAGACGTAGGTTTCATTGCCACTCTCAAGACTTATCTCTTCATATCCGGTCATCTCTTGAGCTGTATCCCCACAGCTCAGCGGAACTTCTTGTTCTGTGTGTAAATACGACCTGACTAGGTCCACGGGTGGCATCCCCTCTGTTGGCTGATTTTGTCCCTCAGCGCTACTATTGGGTCGTGAACTAGAATGATCTGAAGCAGTAGTCGCTTTTGCTATCTTCTCCGAATACTGATCATTATCAGCTGCCTCTTCACTCTCTATAGCGGGTGCAGCCTTCGTCTTAGCGATGAGGACGTCTGGGTGGACTCGAAGCTTTACGATCAAAGACTGCATTTTTGTGTGAGCTAGATGTTCTCTCCGAATGCACGCAGGGAGTTAGTTACCCGATATGCTTCTTTCTGCAGTTCGCTTGCTGGGTGATTTTTGTTTGAGCGAATATCTTCGTCCGTCGTATCTCCAGTACTTGTATTTCTGAGGTGATTGCACGCAGCGCGGAGTGCTGGTACCATGCTCTCATGTTTCCAAGGCGCAGATAGCTTTCCGATCAGTCCTGCGTGTTCAGCAAGCATGAAGTAGTAGAGGACCAGGTATCGTATTTTGTTGCCTCGACTGGGCAATTCTTGATCGAGACGCATGATGGAATCGAAAGGCTCCACCAGGTCTATTCCAGTGAGGTCTCCGAATTTCCAATGTAGCAGCTCCCCATCAGAATCCTGAGCAAGAATTCTTGTGTCGCCCTTCACGCCCTGAGTGAGGTAGACGTTTACTGTAGACTCACCAAATGCGCCGAATTCCAGAACGATAGGATCGTATTCCGATATGAGGTTTTGTCCGCTGAAAGTGACTGCTGTTGATGGAATCGCGTCAAGAAGTGAAGCACGGTCTCCGAGCGCGGCTATGATCTTCGCCATATTAGAGCCTGGCTTAAGTGGAATCGAGCTTCCGAGTGAGCGTACAACTCCTCCCTTGCAATAAGTGTCACTGGTTCTAGTGTCGATTTCGTCTTCGGTGTCAGCCTCGTCTTCCGCGTGGTGACTGACTCTCTGCGGGCGAACTCGCCTCGTTATGCGTCGGATTGGAAAAGTTTCTGCATCGGTGTTTTTTACGTCTTGCCATCGCTGATAATTTGCGCTATCGTCGATGTACTCAAGCGCCAGCACTAAGCTGTCTTCAAACTTGCTCCACTTGGTTGCCGTGTCCGTCAGACCGTTGGCCAGTGAATAGTACAAGACCAAAGCACACAGCGTGTCGCGAACATGTGTTACCTTGTCCTGTGAATCAAACTGTAGGAAGCAGAATGGTGGAAGTAGTTCCCCAGATTTGCGCAGTAACGAGGTTGCAGCGCGCTTCAACAGCCGTGGCGTCTCGTCACTTCCTCGAATTTCATCTCGTATCAAGATAGGCGGTTCATGTTCGCCTTTCCATTTCTGAAGAGGATTGGCGTGCATAACGTATGCCCAAGAGGTCGCTCGCGTCGCGTCATCTTGTTCTCTCGTTCCCAGGCGCAACCGGACTGCTTTTTGACCCCGTATAGTAGCGTCTTGGAACTCGAAGGATGAGGGTGGTGGAAATGAGTCCAGCACCTCGAGCAGACCGTCCGATGCTAACCTCGACCGAAGCTTGTCGACAAAGGACTGCAAGTGCCGCGGCAGTGGTAGGACGGCCATCGGATCAGCTGGGTTTACGCTGGAGGTGAGGTGAGAGAGCGACGGGCGCGACGGGCGCGACGAGCGCAAGAGGAAGGCGCGATACACAAAGCTTGGGCGCGCCAACACGGCATGCGGAACTGGGCGTTTGTCACTTTATGTAAGTACTGGGTTCATATCAATCATTCACTACCTACACGTTCTAGTCCATTCCTGCCTCAGCTACGTGCTTCTGACAGGAAAAGGCGGGCCTTGTCGCAATGCTTCTCGGCTGGCACCCATCCGTAGCTTACGCTCATAGATACTACTGCTGTAAACTCTTTGATTGCAGGATTCAGTAGTGGAACGGAAGGAATGCTTAATCATAGCTGTGCTAGTGAGCAATAATTTGCCCTTATCTGGCAATGTGAATGGTTTCGTCACGTGTTTCTAACGCGCCGAGTGATAGAGTTCGCAGCGGCATTATTACAAAAAAACCGTATGTGTTGACAAATCTCTATCGATAATCCATTCCATCTATTACCCCCCAGTTGAAGACCTCCTCACTGCTGTTGCGCACATCCACTACGCTCACCACCCCCCTCACTCCTCCTCACTCCTCCTCACTCCTCCTCACCCGCTTCCCCCTCGCGCCCTCAATCTCCATAGTGAAGTCCAAGAACGAACGCTCTTTGTCTGACAGCGACTCACGCAGTCTCTTCCTCTGGCCCTGGTTCTGCTCTTCTTTCAACTTGATCCCTTCCGCTTCCTCCTGGAGGATTTTGAAGTGCGCCTTGAGCGCGAGCATCTTGTTGTACGCCTCTTCTTGCTTAATCATATTGTGCCTGAGCTCGTCTTTGTGCGTATCTTCCGCCTCGACGATATGGCGATACGTCTTGAAGAAGTCGGTGGGGTCGGAGTCGGGGGTGGTAGGCTGGGAGGTCTTGTCTTGGTGCTTTGACATGTTAGCGATAGTTAAAGCAGCAGGTGACTTGTAAAACATACCAAGTTAGCAATGTTTGGCAGAGGCACAGACATCGCATTGACAGTGTCCGAGAACGTCATTGATGCTGTCGTAGATGCACTGAGACCTGCTTGGCTGCTTGATCCCTGCTGAGGGTAGCCGTGCTGCTGATAGGACTGTAGGACTGTAGGTATCTCAGGACCATCATCCTCAAAGTCGAACTCGCTGCTCTTGATATTAATGGGAGGTACGATATCATCTTCAGACATGGCACGTGTCTGAATCTGATCCAGCTGGGGATTTAGACTTTCGTAAACCTTCGCAACATTCTTCTTCTTGTAACCGGGCGGTTCCACGCTACGTTGCGAACTCATCCGTTGGCTGGCAAGGCGGCCTGCATCTTTGTCCAAGTTCGCTTTCGCAAGCCTGCAAGCCGAAGTGAGGTCCTTGACGAACGGCTCGTCCACTGGCCATACTGACGGGAGGTTGACCTTCTTGGCGATGAAGTAGTACCTCACTAGAGCCCTCAAATGCTTCGTGCTCATACCAGTCTTCTGTCTAAGGCACCGAAACGCAGCTCCAGGTTCCGCATTTTGCGCCACCTTCGAGATGCTGGTGTTGGACTGTAATTGTCCGGACTGCGAGAACCGTGCCCAGCGTACGTCGAGTATTGTAGGGATAAGGCCGTTGTATACCATGATTCCCACTGGCACCTTCTTGGCTCCGCCGTTGTTAATGAGGCCGAAGTGCATGCGGTACGGCACTACGGCAACAAGCTTTGTGTTGCTTTCTAGAGGTATCAATTCTACTTCACCGAGAGGTAGGAAGTTGAGCAGCGAGGCATCATCGCCCATGAGTGCCAGAATATTGCAAAGGGCGGTATCGTTTGGGTGTGACCCTTGCATGGTGCTGTCTAGCATCATGTGAGAGCCAGTGCGTAAGGTTCCTAGCAAAGTCTGATGAGTTTTCCGGCATCGACTAGAGAGGGAGCCTTGAAGGTGTACCTATGACAGGGTTACGCTCTGCTGCTAGCATATATCGAATGCGTGTGGAAGGGGAGGAGATGTAGGAGACTAGGTTGCGGGCTGCCGTCGATATTGCTTTAAGAGTGGTGCCGCTATCCCAGGGTACAGTGCAGACAGGTAAAGGTAAATGTTGGTAATTGCCACAAGTCAGAGGTACTGAAATACGAGGTGAGAGAGCTTTACGGAAAGAGCTAGTACTATCAAGAGATCACACACAGTCAGTTGCAGCACTTCTTGATATTATGCGGAGTTCAAATTGCGTTGTATACGCTGATTGGCAATCCGAATGCCCTGGTGTCTCTCTTGCACCGCGTGTCGAAGGTCTTATCCAACCCATGTCGGACGAGTCCCAAAAGGTTCTGTCAAGGGTCAGACTCAAGAAACCACACATCTAAAACCCTTCGGGACTGTCCTGGCGCTTTCGCTTCTTGCTGTCACGCTGCTGGGTAGTAACAAAGTCAAGCAGCTGATCAAAACTGAAGCCACTGCGCTTCTCTCCGAGCTCCCTCTGAAGTACTTCTTTCCTCGTGATTTTGGCCTCCTGTTGCTGGTGCAAAGCTTTAGTCTGCTTCTCTTGCTCCGCTTCCATTTGGTCGCAATTCGTATTCATGAGGTCCGCCTCCGATTTCTGCTTGACATATAACTCCCGGATCTGCTTTTTATGTTTATGGCGCAGTTCACTTTTGATGTAAAGCTGCAAACTTTTGATCTGCTCCCTGAAGTCGTGTTTGACTGCTGCAACTTTGTTGTTTATGTTGTCTAGATCGCGGTCGAGTTCGTCGCTTTCCTCGCGTAGCTTGACGTACTCCGATACATCGCGCATGAAGGCTAACTTCTCTGGATCTTGCGTTGCAGGTTTTGACGGCTTCGCATTCGTGCTGTCAGTCATAGTTTGTACAGGCGGTAGAGCGGGAGTAATAGACTGGTGAGCACGGAGACGAGGATCCGGAGTTGGAGTCTTGGGAACCTCTTGGGCACGCGCGGAGACGGCCACGCTCGGAGAACCGTTGGCGCTCTCGACAAATGGAGCCTCAAAAACATCCAGAGTTTCTGATTTGATAGGGCTTGCAGGTGCTTGTGAGCCGCGACGAAGCGGGCCAAACATCTGGTTTCTTGGGCCGCGTTGCTCGGATTTGCGCATCGCTGGCCGAGCCTTCACCACTATCACAGGACTGCTGTCTGCATCAGAGGCTGAGAACGGGCTACTCGACATCTTATCAGCGCCATCTCGGTACTTCCGACACACTTTCGACAGGGCTCTGATGAAGCGCGGGGTGAAGCTGCAGTTGCGAGGAAGCTCGAATCCCTTAAGGATGAAGCAGGTCTGTAGTTGGCTATTAAATCATGTGTAGGTTGTATAGAGAACAAAGATGTTCACCTTGATGACGACCGCGAGGGCATGAACATCATACGTCTTGAGAAGCTTGAACTCGTCGCGCAGTTCCGCCTTGCTGAGCACATCAGCCACACTGAACGGCTTGTGTTGGCTAAATTCTGGATAGAAGCCGAAGACTTTGACTTCTGGTAAGCCGGAAGACTTGCGATTGATGGTAGTGATGAAGGCCTGCAGCGTCCACTTCGCACCTCCGTCGACGATAGTACCAATCTTGATTGCTTCTCCTGCATAGCCCTCAATCCCTGGGCCTTCGGGGACCACCAGGTGTACTGCATGCGCGGGGATCTCATCGAGGAGCTGGGCATCGCGTCCCAGCTTCTGTTTGAGGAGGTCGAGAGGTGATTGCTGCACACCTTTGCTGCGCGCGGGTGACGTGTTGGTAGCTGTCGAGCTCTTGCGATTCATTGAAGTCATGATTAATCCTATTGTATCATCCAAGAAGATTAGTGCGAGTGTCTGAAGTGGAAATGCAGGCTGTGTTGTGGGCTATCACGAGGCGGGCCGCGCTAGGCCGCATTAGGGATTCAAACAGGTGAAGAAGCGATGGTGTTCAAAAATTCAGTCAGCATCAGTGAGGTAAATAAGCAGTCTCTCATAAGATATGGTGACGATGAGCATCTTGATGTTGTCATTGCTATGTAAAGACCACTAAGGTGTGGAACTCTTCAGAGCTCATGAGCGATCGCGCGCAATCATTCATCCTGAGGTCGTGACCGTATGGAATGTATCCATTACGGCTGTTGATGCTCATGGCCTACTCCTGGACTCATTCAACAGCCTCATCGTCTCCTGCTTCTGCCTGCTCTGCCATAGTCGGATCTCCGATAGTGGCATGGACGCGAGCAAACCAATCGGAGGTAAGCGATTCCCTGAGCACGCCGTCGCTCTCACCTCGAATACCCACTGCTTCCTCCAACAAAGCCTGCCTCTTTTCGAACTCCGCCTTCCCGTTCTGGTGGAATGCAAGGTCCACTTCTGGACGACCTTGTCGAGCGGCTTCGTGCTCATGGACGTGTCGCTCGACCAGTGCGCGCTCTTCAGCCATATGCCTTTTTTTCAAAGCCTCATGTTCGGCCTTGCTGGCGGTCTGGAGGCTCTTCATATCAGCTTCCTTATATTCAAGCCGCTTAGCATCGATGGCATCTGTCGGAGCTGTTAGATGTGCCTGTGGTCCCATTTGTGCGAGAGTCATCCCATTCGCTGCTTTGAGGGCAATGTTCACATCCGCCGCGCGTTTCTGCAACTCGAAGTAGTAAGGATTGCGAATGGATACGAGGACAGAAGCAGAATGGATGGTATCAGTTACTACTTTGGGGTGTCGAATCGAGTTGACGTCCGCTGGTGGTGTTAGTGGAGATATGGCAGGGCGGCCAGGACTTGTGCCCGGGAAACTCGGCTGGTGAGGCGGCTGCGGTGAGCCTTGGAACGTGGAGAAATTTCGTTTGCGCGCAGACTAAATCCGGTGTCAGCGTCTTCTGGAAGAGTGGGTGCCGGCCTCTTACTGGTGCGATGACTACGGGAGGTGCAGGCGATCTTGTTGGCGCAACGCTTGTCTGGCGGCTCTGCAATGAGACATCCGCTTCTCCATAGCCCGCTGCATCTTTGGGAGCAACGTCTGGGGACTGATCATGGTTATTCCTACCTGCAACAATCTTGTACAGGTGGCAGGCATCGCGTAGGCCAGTGAAGAAGCTTTTCGGTAAGATAGCGTCCGCAGCATACGAAGCGCCATGAAGCATGAATAGACACTGCATGTGTTAGCTATAAAACTCTCGTTTCATTTCATGTTGCGCTTACATGAGTTAGAGCTTTCAAGGGGGTCGACGTCAAGTCTTTGACAGGTTTGAACACAGCAGGAAGGTCGCGTAAGGCCATGACTTCCTCAAAGGAAAAGATATTCGAGCCGCTGCGAGAATTGTGGCGACTGCGCAGGTGAATCTCAGGAAGATCCCTCGAGCGTGCTGAGTTCGATAGATAGGCAAAGATCTTGGTTTGGAAGCCCTTTGTGTCTTTGACGGAACCGAACTCAATCCTGCAGGGAGCGTAGCCCTTCCAGGCATCGCTTGAACCGACACCGACAACAAAATCCTTGGGAAGGTAGTCAAGAAGCTTTGCGCCGTCTCCGAGACCCGCGTAGAGTGTTCGCATGATCGTTAGGGGAGGTATGACCTTCCGAGTACGAGTCGGGCTAGAGTCCATCTTCGGAGCTTGCAGAACTGGAACGACACGTCCAGGGACGCTAAAAGTTGTCAGTACTATTAGTGATCTGAAATGGTGACAGATGGCTTACGGAAGTTTCAATCGGACGACCAAAGACGGTGTGGGCATTCTTCGGTAGTGGGATGATGGAGCGTGGGTTGTGCTGTGCTGCGCGTGAGATAAGACCTGGTGTTTACGCGTATTGTTGTGACAAACGCACGATCACAACAAGCCGGCGCGTCGCTCTGGTACCGTTGACCAAGGTGAAGGGAAAATTGCTCAAGGTAGGCCAACATCGCGTTCCTCATTTGAATGTAACTTGCGTAGCTCTCGCATCGACCCAGTGACGGGATATGTCGTTCGTCTCCATGGTCCGCGATATGAAATCAAACATGTATAACTTGGCAGTCCCAGACTTCCTGCGAGTGGATTTGAGCGATCTCTCGAGTAAACGACTTTTACTGCGTCAAGTTCAGGCAAGCCCGGGGTTTTTGCGGCCAGCATTCCGCCAATACAACTGCTGCAGCTCATCCGGCGACAAAACATCCCGAGCTTTCCGCTTCCTCGATTCACAACTGACTGCCTTCTTGTTCAGACTATCGAACGACTCCAACTCTTGGTTTATCTCTCCTTCAAGTGCCTCCATACGCTCTCGGCGAACTTCCAATTTTCGCCGACACTGCTCTAGCTTTTGATCGATTTGCAACTCTTCGTTGCACACTTCGTTGTATCGGGAGATGGCGGACGATGATTCCTTTATAATCTGTGGTTGCCGGATATGATCTGTGGGGCGAGGAGTATCATTGCATGTCACACGCACTGATGAAGTCCTGACATTGTCTTCGTTGAACGGTTGAGCACTGGCTGCTTTCTTGTTACCGTCTCCTTCCATATCTTCGATGCCACTGTCGCTTGTTCGGGACGCTGATGCTATGATTGTCTCATCATGCGGTGTCGCTGCCCTGAAAAGTTCGCAGGGAATACGGACGCTCAATTTGACGACTAGCGATTGTGGCTTTTTTGATTTTCGGATGTCTTTGCAGATGTCCAGCAGGACGCCTTCCTGGCTCTTAGTCATCGCAAGCACATGGGTTGTGGACTCATCTAGTAGCATGAAGTAATATGTCGCTAGCACTACTACTCTCATAGAATCGGTTGCAAACTTGAATGCATCATGCGGATCTGTTGATCGGAGCGCCTATATCGGTGCGAGTCAAATCAGTAACCGATGAACCAATATTCAGAGTGAAGGCAGAGGTCTTACATCATCGACCATGAACACTCCGCCTGGTTCGCCATCGACAAAGTAAGAGTGGAACAGTAGGGTCAGTGAGATTCGGTACAGGTATATCCAAAGTCTAGGCTTGTTGATTGCTAGAACATTGTCCTTGTGGTAGCCGAAAAGAATAGCGGTCGGTACAGCGCCTGGAATCTCAGCTTGTTCCTCTGTAATGAGTTTGGTGATAGGAGGAAGTTGATCAAGGAGGCTGGCATCGTTTCCGAGGCTGTCGCGAAGAGCTCGCAAAGCACGTCTTGCTGGGGCCATGTTCGAAGACAAGGATGTGAGAAAATCAGTTTTACCGTGATTATTTGAATATCATAGAAAGATCATGAAATGATTGTTGCAGAAGTTTAGAAGAGAGGTTATATAGATGACCAGCAATACAGCACGACGTCAAAGTGACCTGTCGTTGCAGCCGACGAAACGACCAGGAGTTTCAGAGAGCGAAGCAAACATTTGCTATCAGATGCATGCCCAGGCTGCATAGGCAAGTGCTTTCTTTGGTTCCACAAAAGCGGTGTGATGTAGCATTACAGGTGTGCTCTCATTCGTCTAACGTTCGAATGTCTGAGACTCTCCACGGACGTTGGGCGCGCTGCCATGCGGGATGACGTCACGTGTCAACAACATGCTCAACACCAGACATCTGGAGCTGCGTAGCAGCAAACATGAACTGGCGGCTTACAAGATGGAAGTCCTGATGACCGAGAATCCGACTGCGACTAACCTCGCTTGAGCCTCTTGCTCTCCATCCTCCGACCAGCTTCAAAGCCAAACTCCAACTGTTCGTCTCCATTCAACGAGCTCTGCACGTCCTTCTTCTCCGTCTTGATATCGTCCTTCTCTTCCATCAGTGCTGCCTTGTTGTTCTCCGCCTGCCGAAGACGCGCCTGGAAGCCGACGATCTGAGCAGCAATTTCGGAGCGCTCTCCCTCAGCGTCGTTGATGCGGCGATCGAGATCTTCTTCTTGAGCCTGGAGCGCGACGTATTTGTCGACCATGACCTCTCGCTCTGGGTATTCGAGGCTGTCGGAATCCGCCTGGTAGATGTAGTCTGGCGTAGGAGTGGAAGGGTAGCGGGCTAGTGACTGTTGGTAGCTGGGGTATGCTGCTGGGCTCCGCGCACGCTTGCGTGTTTGTCCAATGCTGCCACTATGTGAAGGGGGCCGTGAATCGTAGAGTTCGTCAAGAAGCTCAGACGACCTAGTCACCGAAGAGGGAGCTCGAAACACGGATGGTTCCCTGCGGAACTCGGCTGATCTACGCGACGGTGATGCTACATGCGAGACTTCGCGCGACGCCGCCTTCCCCACTGTACCAGCTGTAGCTACTGCCTGAGATTGTGCAGGGTTCTTCGCCGCCTGCGCTTGCTCGTACACTGCCTTGTAAATCTTGCAAGCCCTCACAAGTTCTAATTTGTAGTTCTTGAGCGAGATGGGGGTCTTGAGCTTCTCATCAACTCCGCGCCTCACGAAGAAATAGGCCGCAATCGCCTGTTCAATAAGTGATCTGTCAACAGATAATTTGCTTGGTCCGCTTACCATTATTTGGAACGCGTCGCCAGCCAACTTGAAAGGGGCGGAAGCAAGAGCAATCTTCTGGACGTTCTGTGGCCGTATCGGAGCATCGCCGTTTTGTGCGCCTTTCAGCGTTTGAAACGTAATCATCTTGGCCGATCCATGAGGTCCTTTGTTGGTGTAGTTGGCACCTCCCAAGAGTGTCCAATAGATCCACAACTGGTCCTTCTCCTCCATCATATCGCCATACAGAATTCGCTCTGGCGCCGCACCTGGCAGCTCTGACTGAGCCTGGAAGGTCGTGCGATTGTACGGGAGATACTTGAGAAGCTCTCCGTTGTGACCAAGCTCCATACGCAGGTTAGTGAAGGAGCGGTTATCTTTGGGAGCCCGAGGCGCGCCAGCTGGCGTCTGGAGTCGCGATTGTGGAGTGGACATTGTTGAGTGCTGCAAGGAGTTCAAGTAAGTTGAGTAGAATTCTAGGATAAATCGTAAAGAAAATCTATTGAGACGGAAAGTCAAGCCTATGCAGAAGGGCGCTTAAGCAAGGCGTGTGCGTTGACGGCCTTTCACGACAGCGGCCAAGCGCGCCCGCTTTCTCAACACTCTCGACACACGAGCAATTGCAACTTGTGGTGAATCAGGCATAGTCATTTCTGCGATGAATAGAGTACGGCTATATTGTTTTAAGCGGCACTGGATCAATCAAGGCGTTGGCGCTTCGCACTATGGCGCTCGACCTGCTGTCCCAAGTCGAATGCTGCCTCAACGCTCAAGCCTTTGAATAGATCCGTTTTCTGCCTCTCAAGCTGCTGTTTGTTTGACTTCCTCTCCCGGAGAATTTGCTGCAGCCGCTCGATCTCCTCTTCCGTCTTTGTAATGTCATCGACAACATCTTTCTCCCTCTTTTGTAGCTCGATCAGAGTTTCCGCCACGTGCTCTGTAGAAGCCGGATTCTGCAGCATGTCAGCTTGTATCCTTCGAGTACCGTTCCATTGTGCATACCGCGTCTGGGGTAGGTCGGGGTCCTGCTTCGTTGGACATCAAGCGATTTACTTCGACCGCAATGCTGTGTGCCGGCTCGGAGTCGTCTTCTTTCACACTGACACTCGAAAGGTCGCTGATATCGCTTTCCTGACTGTCGACCTTCCCTACTGTTGTAGCTACGGGCGTGACGCTCGTCTGCGACCTGGTTGCCTGCTCTTCGAACTCACGGCAGACTGCCTTGAGATCGTCCTTGAAACTGGGAGTTATAGGCATCCCAAATTGTAACTTCTTCTTGTCCGACTCCGTGGTATATTCCACCAGCGTTCGTAGGAAATACCATTTAGCAAGCGCGACGAGCTTGTCCTTGGTCCATCTGCCCAGACTGGCCTTGGCCGGGAATGCGAATGCGGATGCGCACCCGGTCACGACCTTGCCAATGTTGTTCTCATCATGCCAGCCAACATGTTTATCTTCGGAGTCGTAGGCATGAAATTGTATTCCTACGGGTCCGTTGACCCTCCTCGCGGGGTACATATGTATCCAGATGCCGTGTTTGGTGCCAACTTTTGGCTCTTGATCGGGTGGGCCCGGCGAAGAGCCCATCGCAGGAGCAATCGGTTTGGAATGCTGTATCGCTCCAAACTTTATTTTGAATGACAGGCTTTGGGGATCGTCTCGAAGTGGCGCTGTGAACAGCCGGTGGAATGGCGGATATTCCAACAGAGAGGCTTGCGCTCCGAGCTCGCTCTTCAGTCGCTCTAAGGTATCCGTAGCAGAAAACATGGGTGCCGATGGTGTTGAAGAAGTCAAAAGGTATCGAATTTCCATGCTGCTACAAGCTCTGCGGCGCGTCCTTGGTGTGCAGTCGCGTCGTTGCGCGTTTGCACAAGTTTGTCGCTCCGAGAGTTTTCAGCAAACAGTCGCAGCAAGCGAACGTCGATGCGAATCAATCTGCAAGTAAGACCATACTGACGGTACTGCTGCAAAGGTATTAGATTCTAACGATGTACGTGGGATCAGAAAAGCAGTCAAAACCGGCTTCAAGCTGACATAATCTCGACGCAAAATGAAAGGACGCACTGGTGTTGGAGGAAGGAACTCATCTCTTTCCAAATCAAAGAATGTCACTCACGACTGCGCCTGCAGCTATAACAAAACGTCACGCATCACCTTTCTCAAGTGGCAGGAGCATCTAGGGAAAGCTATAATCGGCACTGACGATGCAATACACTGCCAAACCAAATCGTACGCTGGACGTTTCCAGGGCACATCTCCACCGAACATCTTCGATCTAAGCTGTAATGATTCGACGACTCGCTCCTTACATGCGTTAAGTACGATCCACTTGTATACCTTCGAGATACTACGCTGCCGTATCTGCGCGTGAACCAGTTACTGGTGATCTCCAGATCAGCTATTCGAACCATGGTAACTGAACTCGAAATACGTAGTATGGAGTTATTTCTAGGCAGCAGTAGGTTGTGTTAAGAGATGCCTCGTAATCTCCCGTGCGGAAGATGGCTACCGCAATCAGCTGACAGTCTTTAGCACCGACTTTATTAGCAAGATGGAAGAGGTAGAGGATCGAACCTGGCAACCCGTAGATGGCCTCATCAGGGCCACAGACAAGGAATCGTAACCTGCAATGAGGAGTTTTCTGGGGTTTGGGAATGATTGGTCAGAGGCGGTGAGGATGTTCCCAAGGCCAAAGGCTGGGCCATATATACAGCACGGAGGGGAGGCTGCACGCAAGTGCTGCGCGACGATGTAATGTTGTGACCCACGTCGAGAGCAGGCAAGATGGGTCATAACGATGCAACATGGTGATCGACCTCGGGGGAGCAGGCCCCCGAGCATCGAATCACACGTGGTTATCGGTCAAAGACGTAATACAGATGTTATTCTGATCGATCATGCGACGACTTGAGGCCAGGGGCTATCGAGGGGCTGTATAATACCTCAATCAAGAAGGCACTGTCTGTGTCCATGGAAGGGTTCTGTCGAAGAGTCATGACTAGGCGAGCCTTACATGTAGAGTCTCCACCGATGTGTGTGTCCCATCGGCCCTTCCTGATCTCCACTCTTCTGCTAAACAAGCTCACCATACGGTGCATCACCATCGAGCTTGAAGTAGCCCGGCTGCAGCTTCTCAAACACACGCTGCGGATCATACTTCCTACTCACCATATTCAACCTCTTTACATTTTCCAGGCCATATCCTTCAATCACCTTTTGATAAGGACTGCTATACGGCATGTAAATATACCTACTGTCCACGCCCAACTCTTTCGCCATTTCCACCGCTTTCTTCAGAAAGTCTTGCGCGGCCTTCATGACCACTTTATCATCCTTGACATCTGTCCACGACACAAAAAACAGAACGTGGAACAACGGTCCATCATCCGGACTCAAGCCCAAAGCATTTCCGCCCTTCTTCTGCATGGCACGAAGGGCAGGTACCGAGAATGCTTGGAAACCTAGACTCGGCACGATACCAGGTACACTCGGTGCAATGGCGAAGAAGTGATCACTCATGCGCCTCATGAGTTCGGCATTGAGCTTGAATGCTTGAGACCACATTGTCGAACGAAAGCCGGCCGGCATACTTTCACTCAGACCGGGTGTTATGCTAGCCAGAGTCGTGTTGCGCGTTTCGTGTTGCGATGGAGGAATCGAGAGGTATTCTTTCAAGATGGGGGGTGGGTTGGCAGGGTCGACGGGCGTGAAGTATTCGTATTCTGTGCTCGCAATCTGCATACCCGAGAAGTAAGCCAGGCCGACGAAGTGCGCAAGTTTCGTGTCATTCTCGGCACCGTGTACTGCGTTGTTGAATGCGTCGATGAGAGCGGGGACGTAAGTGCTGTTGTATTGGCGCTTGGTCGCGAACATGAGGCCTTGCTCGAGGGTTTCGTAATAAAAGGTCACGATGATACCGAAATTATTGCCGCCGCCACGGAGAGCCCAGTACAGGTCTGCATATGACTGCGGGCTCACGTTGATGATCTTGCCGGACGCTGTGACGAGATCGTATGACGCAACGTTGTCGCATGCCAGGCCGTACTCATTCGTATGGTGACTGATGCCTCCGCCGAGTGTGAGGCCGCCAACACCCACAGTCGCTGCCTGCTTGTGTTCAGTGGTTGATCGAGAGTCGCGCGGATATCACTTACACGACCGCCTACGACTACGAGGCTGTCAGGCGTCAGGTAGTCGTATACATCGAGCCATCGGTTACCTGGACCAATAGCGACAGTCTTCTTGTCGTCCGCAAGTTTACGCACTTTCATGTTGACCAAGTCAATCGTAACACCGGAGTCGATGCTCGAAGCACCAGCGAAAGCAGCATGGCCACCACTCTTGACTGCAAAAGGACATTGGAACAAACGAGATAGCAGGACTGTAGACGAGACCTGCAAGGCCGTAGTCGGGCTTACAGTACACTCTGACTGCACATCGCTTTGTTGAAGCGACCAGTACGTCTTTGGTGAGCTAGAAGATACTGTTGCGTTGCCAAATATGAGTTTGAGAGACTTGCACTGTACTCCACATCAGTCGCGAGGCGCATGTGTAGATGAAGCGGCATCTTACTGCTGACGAGCAGCTCTGCAGAGGTGATCGTGCACTTGTATGGGGCAGTTCTGCTATGGTGGACATGTCAACGCCATTTTCGATCAGGGCTTCCCTGATGTTGAAGTTCGCCGCTTCAAACGCATCTTGCCCTGACACAGCCACAGAAGCTACGACCACGCCGAGAAAGTACTTCACAGGAAGATTCATGAATGCGAACTAACGATGAACAAATAACATGCGGTTTCCCGTTGCTTACGACAGCGCGCTGCCGTTTTAATGCGCAATATCTGTTCGCCGGCTAATCGGTCCGGATTACAGCCTTCACTCCGTGTCGAAGTTCACGCCTTGCTGCACGTCACGATGATAGCTCCGGCGGGAGACTTGGCAAGGCGCTTAACATATGTTGACGGCACGACCGCTCGATAAGTTTGTATGGAAACAACACACCGAAGGTGTTCCGTAACTCGAGCGCTGTGTCAGACTTGTCGATGTCGATCTATGCCTTGGGCGGCTCACCTGAGTATTTCAATAAGCTCTCCGCCAAGACGGATTTGTTCCACTGGTGCCGTTGCGGTAAGGAGCCGTTTCTCGGTCAGCATCAACCGTGCATGTTAGCCGATCATTTTCCCATCCAAGGGTCTGGTACCGAGCATGCTGTTGCAGGCAGTCCGAGGAATCTCATTGACATTTGATTAGACCCTGGCTTTAGGCCTTGAGGTCTTTTAAAAGAAAGTTCTAGGTTGAAAGTGAATTCGCGGCGCCTCTTCCTCATGAATGACTTTCGAAGGTCCTCCATGTCGGTCTATTTTCTTGTGTTGCAAGCTACTGCGTTGACTTACCGTCAGAGAATTGGACAACAGCGTACTTACCGCTCCAGGCCCATTTGCGTGCGCCAGTCTTCTCTCCTCCAGTGATGTCTCTGATCCTCTCATCTTCACCTTCTGGTAGACCGACAACGACATCAGCTTTGCAGGTTCGCAACGCAAGGACACGAACACCAGAGCCTGGACCCATGGGTCCAATGGCATCTGTGAAAGGTGTGGTGGGTGCCCATTCCGCCTACAGCTGTCAGTGGGGACTAGTAGGTATTGCATGCGAAAACAACTTACATCCGCTGTTAATTTACGGTAGTTGAGATCTCCTTTGAAGATCACAAGTTCACTCTCCTTCAGGTCCTCAAGCAAGTCTGGCTCAGCCTTAGGCAGTCTCCAATAGCTGCCGCCCGCGGTCCAGAAGTCGTTCGGCCGGAGCATCAACTGGCCTTCAGCGTGCATTTGACTCCAATTTTGAAAGAGGAACTGCAAGTTCGAGTCTTCGGTCTCAGATAGGGGCACTGCTTCTTTGCCTGCATTCTTGTCTTCTTCGGACTGGGTGCCGTAGAAGTTCTGGGGTGCAGCTAGTGCCGAGAGAAGAGCGATGAAGTCTGCTGGAAGCACATCTGACACGAACCAGGGTATCGACTTGGGATGCAGTACGACTGTTGTTGCAAGACCAGATGCGACGAGGTAGCCCGCGAGGATAAGATCAACGAAGAGCTCGAAGCCAGCATTGTCCAAAACAATGTCGACGCGACGCTCCTTCTTGCCCTCCTTCTGTGCTGCTCGCAACACTTTGAACGCCTTGCTCAAATCGTTCACCAAAATGTTCTTTTCGCTGTTCTTGCGTGCCTGTGAGCCCTGAAGCTTCTGAATATCCTCATAGGAGAGGTTGGTGAGGAGTGACAAGTCCGTAGCATTGCCCCAGAGGCAGATCTCACACATCTCGGTGAAGAGAATCTGCTCGGCTGCTTCAAGCTGCTCCTCCGTCTCGGCGCCTTTTATGGTGTGCTTCGACTCGAGCTCAGTCACGATGTCTCGGTAGCGAGCAGCGAGTTCGACTACGGCAGGGCGCGAAGATTTGAAAGTTGACATCTTTTGCCGCGCAAAAAGATCATACGACCTCCACTTCTTGGTTCGTTTGAAGATGCTCGAGATGCGCCTAGCTATGGCTGTCAGCGCTTTCCTCGGGCCAAGCTTGATCTCATGCATACCGGTACAGATAGCACTCTGAGTACAGCCAAGGCACGCTGTGCCATTTCGGAGTCCCTCGTGCCGCCAATTCCTTATTGTATGCTTCTACGTCCTTCTCGCCATCATCGGGTATTGGTGTGAGTTCGCGGTCGTGCTGCAGCTCGTACTTGAGCCTGGCAAGCTCGGATACAATCCATTTGCCCTCGCTCTGAGTCTCCTCATCCTGGGCACTGTGTGTCGAGCGATGTACGTCATCGATCCCCTGGGTGATGATGATGGGCCATCGTTCCCGCGCAGATGTATGGGCGAAGGACGTCGGGTCGCTGGTGTTGTACTGCGCTGTTCACGATAAGTATGCACCAAGTGTCGCTTTAGCGCCTACTCACTCGCTGAGAAGGTATCGTACTCCATGGTTGCGCTATGTCGATGGCGTCGAAGAGAGTCGCGACATAAATGTTGACATGGTGGGGTCTCCATGCTCAACTTTATGTGCAGGGGTCCGTCGGCCTCTCCACATTGAGACTAGCGTGATCGCACCAGGAAGAGTATCATGTCACGTCTCCTCGTATTCACGGCACATCCCAGGCTTCACAGACCCCACCGCCCCACGGTTCAATGGCGCTGCGAGTCCCCACTCGAACTAGTCCTTAACATCATCCTATGCACAACCATCGCAATGAACCTTTAGAATTACGATTAGACCTTTAAGATGCTCGGACTTTCCCACAATGTACTGCGTTAATGCCATCTCGCAGTATTACAGCCTCATGACAATCGCAGCAAGAGTCATTGCATATCTAGGACAGGACGAGCAAAGAGATAGACCGCAACGTAGCTTGAAAGCGACCGGGAGGAGCCACAAAAGAAAACGCAGGGCGAGATCGCCACTAACTACCAGGTCGTAACTTTTTGTGCATACCAGGTTAGAGGCTCACGATACTTATGACAGTGTGGTACTACACACCTCCCTTTCACTTTGTGGATGATGAAGCAGTTGACGCTTCCTCGATCTGTTAATCTGCCAACATTTGTGGAGTTCAATCTATGTTAGTCGGGCCGATAGGGCTTCACTCGGCAATCTTCCCAAGATGAGACCCGGAGACTGTTTCGAAACCTGCGGCGAAAAAGACCGTAGTCGCACAAGCATCAGCCTCCGGTAGTATGAACACTAAATGGGCCCTATCATGAAAAGCAACGTGATTCTCCCGAGGCTTTACTCTGAAGTTATGCGTGACAGTGGACGCAGCATTGCCAAATTGCATCACACTTGGCTTCATCTGAAGAATGCCATGTCGGGCAATTCCCTCCAATCGATCAGGAACGATCATGATACGCGAACTTCTTCCCCGCAATCGAGAACATGCACGAGATCCGAAAGCCTTCCCGGTGGCCGTTTTGGTGAATACCCGGTCTGCCAAGACGAGCGCATGTTCGAAACAGATTGACAACACGACGCTAGTGTTAGACCAACGGCAAATATAACGATCAACGCATTACGGTACCTGGTACCTATATGCGATCGCTCGGATAGTTACAGTCCACATGCTGGGATCGGGGCCGAATGATCGAACATGTTTCGCATCGATTGGTTGGAAGTAGGCCAAGATCAATCAGGGCTTTTAGGCGTCAGAAAGTGTATCGACACTAGCCAAGATGGTCCGAACAAGTAGATCTGATCGATATTGCAGGTGTAAAGATAGAACCGCAGGAGTCTATAAGAAGCTCAGAGAGTGTGCGTTTGTCCATGTCAAACACCGCATCCTCTCATCCCCTACCGAACGCCAAACATGAAGCACACGTTCACCTTCGCACTCGCTGCGCTCGCCCTCGATGTGACTGCATCTCCTCTCGAGGCGCGTCAGGTTAGTCTCTTCAATTCTCCTCCAATCTTTCTTTGCAACTAATACCACCACCAGCAAGGCAGTGGTACTGGCCCCTTCGCCCCTGGCACCTACAAGACGGACAGCAGCCTATAAGGCAAGACAATCTACTACCCAACCAAGGCGACTGGCAGCGAAAAGATTCCCGTGCTCGTTTGGGGTAACGGAGCCTGCAGCACGGATGGAGTCTCAAACTCTGCGCTTCTCCAGAACATTGCGTCGTACGGATTCCTCGCCATTGCCGAGGGCGGACCAAACGGCGGCGGTACATCGAATGCGCAGACAATGAAGCAGTCGATTGATTGGGTCACACAGAATGCTGGCAAGGGTGCTTACGCCAACGTGGATGCTACCAAGATCATGGCCGCCGGCTTCTCGTGCGGTGGCGTTGAGGCCATTGACAACATCTGGGACAGCCGTGTTGACACCATTGGTATCATCAGCTCAGGTCTGTTGACCAACTACACTGCCGCGAGTAACTGGAGGAAGCCAGTTTTGTTCGTGGTTGGAGGACAGGGCGACATTGCGTACCCGAACGTAAGTAAACCTGTTCCGTTGCAAGTTGTCATGCTAACAGACGCAACAGAGTGAGCGCGACTACAAGAACATTCCAGCCGGCGTTCCTACTTGGAAGGGCAACATCAACGTCGGCCACGGAGGTACTCTCGGTGATGCCAACGGTGGTCGATTCGGCAAGGCTATCCTCAACTGGATGCTGTGGACCCTGAAAGGTGACACCAATGCTGCCAACTACTTCACCAGCGGCTACCAAGCGGACGGCTACCAGGTGGAGTCCAAGAGCCTGAACACGTTGAAGCCGTTCTAAGCTGGCCAATGAGGGCTTTCGCGGCTCGAATTTCGCTGATCTTGGTTGCTGCGACGTGGCAAACACGCTTCTGATGTATATATTGTCAATATAAATATGTGTGAGCACTTTATTACGGCTGCTGGATGTGATTGAAAGTGTCTTGTCGTTAAATTTATTGAACCTGCATGCCGGGATCTCGGGGCATTTACTTGCCGGCGTCTGCCGTCACGTACCTCGGTTCGCAACGCCACAGCCGCAACACTGGCATATGTTCACCATGACAGTCAGCCCTAACAGTCAGCCCTAACGGTCAGCATGACCGGATAATGTCTGCGTACCAAGCACATTGAGGTCAATGACTTAGCAGTGACAAGATCCTTCATGTCTGTGAATGGCGATGAGCTAGATAGTATGCCAACTATATTTTCATGTGTGGCTACACTCTCCCGATGTCCTCATGCACCCCGCGCCCGCGCAGATCCAGTGCGCGCAAGGCACACATCTCGAACATCGCTACGATAGTGGTTGGATCCGGAATAATTGATGGTCGTAATGGCTACGGAGAATCATGCTATTTACCAATTCACCTCTCGGTACCACTGCACTCGTCTAGGCATCTTCTTGCCGACATCACGGGCTTACTGGTGAACACACAAGAGTATGGTGTTTGTATATCGAGAGTCGCCACGACTTATCGACTAGCACGAACGACTATTAATCCTATGCTGAACGCTCTAAGCAAGCCATCCGCCAGCTGTCACGGGGCCCGCGAATGTCACACTTTCTGGTTCTACTGACCATAGCGCATACTATCTATGCGGGGTCGCTATGGGCCTCGTTTCCTGCAAAAGGTAGCGAAATCATCAACATGACCTATCCAGTTGGCAATGGACGACTCGCTGCGATTCGTTTCTGGTCCCCTCCTGGATTCCTTACTGGCCACTCAGCACATCTACAGACACAAGCGCGCCAGCACTCATCCCTGGAACGTTTACCCATCCACCCCGACTGCTACACGTGAAACCTTCAGCTTTATTCCATTGATCTCTAACATAACCGGGTCCATAGTCTGCCGAATAATCTGTTCGATGCTTCTCATCAATCCTCACTGCCAGTCTACTACGCCAACTCCACTCAAACGGCGAGCGACAATCGCCCAGTTGGCTATAAACGAACAACTTGATGGCGTATCCCTTCTTCTCGCCCTGCCATGATATGTCGATGCGGTAGTCTGTCAGGCAGAAGGGACATGAGCCGAATGCTCCTTCGCATACTCGGAACTCGCTGGTGGGGCTTGGTGCGAGTTCGGCAAGTTGAGCAGGAGCGAATTCAGGCGATCCTTGTCGCATGCCAATATGTGGACAGACTGTATGTTTGCGATGTTCGTCGATGCTGCGTCGAAGTGAAGTTGCATCGCCGCATGGGTGGGACACGGTCATAACTGATAACACGAGCAACCTGTCCTCGAAGATGCATGTGTGCTGTGAACGGTAATAATGACTGCGTATCTGTATTCATGGTGTGATTGAGCCCGCAGGTTGAATAAACTGACCTGCGGGCTATGTGTAGGGCCGTAGAGATGGCATAACCAAGCGTGCGTGGTAGTATGGCACAAATTTGACGTATGGTAAGTATAACTTGCCTTCGAAATATCGCTTACATGGCACTTTTCTCTCTATTTGCCCTGGGAGTATCGATATGTTCCAGCGTGTGTGCCAGTTGTGTAACTTGATACAACGAGGGCAAAAGTAAACCTTGGGCTCGTCCTGTTATATGAGGATGAGCAGTTTCTCTTTCTCTTCCAAGTCCAAAGACAGAACTGTGGTAAAGCAAAGACTGTGTAGACGCCGACAAGTCAAGGCGAGTGAGGTTGTCGAGGGTTTGTCGAGATGTGATGCAATCAGCAGAATCATCTCAGCAGGAAGGGCGAACGCGCCCATACGCGATGAAGTAGTACGCTGGAAATGTTTGAGTCTCGTAAGGCGTTGATTCATAGTACGCGCGAGATCAGCGACTATCATAGCTGGGTTGACGAGGTGAATAGGTGTTGATCTTCCAGACACCAGCAATTGCATGGGAAAGGCCATTGCGCAGGCTATAGGAATAGATGTTTGTGCAATGGTAGGCAAGTACAATCCTATAGTCTTGCACTCAATGTTTGAGTTTTTGGTCGATTGAGGTAACTTCCAAGGTAATTTTCAGGGTCGTTTTAGGGATGCCTCCGGCACGGGTCACCTATTTTACGCGTGCGAGAGGGCTTGTAAAGATACAAAGAAGAAAAAGGACTTGATAGCTGATCAACCTGAGGTTAAGATGTCTACGGACGTCGCGGGAATCTAGATATAGCTTTTCCGGGTGGCTCACTCCAACGTTTGGTAGCGACTCCTAGCTAGGCTCAGGAGGCTAGACTGGTATTGGAACTTGAGTGTGTAAATTTTCACCGCGTTGAATACTTCAGTCGCTCTTGTTTTTCGTCCTAGTTCGATGTAAAAGGTGCTCTCAGGCGTACATCCGACCCTTCACCACGGGCTCAACCTCCCTGCTCGAGAAGGCCCAATGCCCAATGCCATCTACACTGGTGCCAACGACATCCCACTGTAACTTCTGTTCGGACAGTGAAGCGTCCCCGGCTTCACTATGCTGCCCAGGATGACAAGCAGCACTGATAGCCAAGCTGCAGCTTCCTACCAAAGGCATAACGCGTTTGTAAGGTACATACCCAAATGCAATGGCCGCCGCGACCATGAACATGCCTAGAATAACGACAGCCAATATACTGATTGGTGAATAACCGCAGGTTTTGGTCACAGCATTAGCGTCAAAGCCAACAGCGCTATTCTCCAATCCTTCGTACTGATCGTAAACGTCAAGAGCGACCACGAATATGCTTTGCGAAACGAGCCAGTGTAGTGTGCCGCTAACGGAAATGAGTGGCACACCAAATCGGTATGGTAGTTGCAAAAAGTATGTCGATCTTTAGGCTCCTAATGGCTTCCGTGACGTTCGGAGACCTTTTCTTTTGTGTGCATAAGACACCCACTCGTAGCCCATGAGCATAGCCGTGAACAAGCTGTTGTTCGCAAGGTACATGAAGGACAGCAAGATCTGCGGTGAATTTGCTATTGAAGCAAGAGTTACTATGTCATTTGGCATGAGGGCACCCAATATGAATGCACAAGGATCGACGGCACCGAAGCCGAAACGAAAGACATCGGACGTGCTCATAAGTGAGTGGTAATTGATTGCTCTCACTCCCCATATCATGAGACCGATAATGACTCCGAGAGCAGCTGTGAATCTGGCAATGTGTTAGTACGTGATTTGAAGGCTAGGACTGCCAAACGTGCAAGACAAGGGTCACCGTGCGTCGCTTCTTGCTCGTGGTATCCTTCCACGTAGTCGCCCCAGCGTTGTACCCTCTTTCGCAGTCATGACTGCTGATTGGACCCATGTTCGTCGTTGTGGCATCTCTGTCGTCAAGAAATGACGCCACTGCATCGCCCATGGTGATGATCGGCTTTCGTTTGGTGGAGAATACAATGTGGAACATCAACATGGCCTTGACTGACGGCAAATTAGCAATGAGATTCGCGAAAGCGCTGGCCGCACAATAGTTATATTTGTAGGGGGCAATTATTGGACGGCTGGAACTTACAGAAGTTGAGAGCCGTGACCGCGCTCGCGATCACTGAGCTGAAGTTGAGTGAACACTGTAGCTCAGCTCGCTCACTGAGGCAGTAATCGACAGGCCAACGAGTCCCATCACACGCGCCTAGAATTCCAGTGGCAGACTTGAACCCAGCCAATGTCCACTGCTCAGGTGTGTTTTTCATCTCCTCGATGAGTTTTAAGCACGGTCCTCTTTCGGGGAGCCCGGAACACATTCAAGAGAGTGCATTAGAATCGCACTTGAAAAGCCTCAGCCCTTGGCGCGCATCTTCGTGCATTATGGTGCCGAAGTCAGTATTGTTAATATATGGATAGTCGCGTGGTATAACATTTTCGTTCGCCGTCACAACAAGGAGGGATGCCATAAGCGCTCAAGCACTCAGCGGAACTTAGTCTTTCTAATGCTCCACTTTTCGATATGGTCAAAAGGTCTTTCAGCATTTGGGCCTCCTTGGTAGCTACGGGCATAGACAATCGAGTTTTACCTGGTACGTTAGTTTACGTTCTTATACTATGAGTTCTCAACCGCAACGGAGAGTGACAACGGTAGTAGCCCATCCCATAGCTTGAAGCTATACACAGTGCCACTGGGATCCGAATATGTCAGAAAACCCTTGTACATAGCTTCAAACTACTGGATGAGCATGTGTATCTTCCGTCGCAGTTTATGGCCTGCAATAGCAGAGTAGACAACTTACAAAAGATGAAGCGGGAATGAGCTTCGGCCCAGCAGTGCCCAGAGAACCAATTTTCCTCGGCGGATGTGTTTAAAGTTTCGAAAACTCGGGACTCCAATGTCAAGCCGTCTTTGTATTACATGTGCTTCATCAATCTCCTTCCTGTTAGGTGCAGACATGCATTGCATACAATAACTGCTGCCGCTAAGCAAGATGGTGCCGAACATGTTGATGAGTATGTGGAGCCCGGAATGGAGTTTTTTTATGCGCCCGCAGTCCCCCTGACTGAGTACTCCTTCATTCTCCTTGTGAGCGACCGCGCCCCACACAGTAACAAGCAGGTTGATAACAAAGACAATAGAAGCTCATGTTGCGGAATTGAGTACGCCGAGTCTTACCCCAGAGAGGCGATGTTTGTATCGCTTGATTGTTGCTCTCAGGTCATGTTGAATTGGCGACGCCTGTTTAGAATCCGATCTGCTGGCTACGTCCGACTCGATAATGCGCGTCTCTTCGCTCCTGGGAGCGTTTAATTTATGTAGTTCCGTGTTCTCGGTGTTCGGCGCTTGATAGTAATTGGTGCGAGTATTGAAGAAAGATCGAAGCGAGCCCGTCATCGTGCGCAAAATAAGTCTAAATACGCTGCTGTCAGTGAAGCCGGTCTTTGGAGATCAAGATTCTAGGCGTTGTGGTAACATGAGTGCTGCGTTAGGTGACATGTCTTGATACTTGAATATTCTAGTGCGTGTTGCGGCTGACAATGGGGTCGTAAGGCCTCCCATGCCCGCTAGGTGGATCAACATACCACGATATATACAGTAAGCCGCTGCTATTCATGATGACCTGCATGGCCCTATTCGGGAGCGCTTCACGAGATTGTCTCGACACGCTCAGACAGACTCCACCACTATTGGGGCTGCATTGTTTACATAGTAGTCAACAACAAAGGTTGACGGAGGGCGCCACATCCGGGCATGGAGCGCTCATGATCCTGAACGATGCTACTGTGGATATAAGGCGTGATGCTGTGCAGCATGGAGGGATTGCAAAATTAGAGTGTAGAAAGTGCGAAATACTGAGAGCGACATTCGTAGTTGGCGGGTAGAGGTACTCAGCCTCTAATTGTGAAACGAAGATCGGGTGTCGAGGCTTCGCCCAATCTTCCGGATCCAATTCAGAAATCCCTATAAACTCTATATCGAAGCTTTGAATAGCGACACGTTCAGTTATGTCGACTCTAAAGGTACTGAAAGGGATGTCTCGGAGCTGCGGATTCACTTCGGTGATAATCCGATGGTTAGCGCGTTGATGCGACCTGAGTCTGATGACTGGAGTATAGTTGACCACCGTCTCACGTGCCCTTAATTTCATAGTTCGCGTGGGTGAAATTATCGGTTTGCCAAAGCATTGGAGTTGACGATTGCAAGTGGTGTTGTCTGGCTCGTTATGACGTCTTGCATCCCGCACTATCGGTAACCTGAAAAGACCGAGAGCCCGCAGACCGCGACCGCAATGAAACAACCAACTCGATCTTTCATGCCAATATTTCAACGCATACCTTGGCCTAGGACACGCAAACTCCTTCAGTGTCATACGAGTTGTCGTGCTTTCAAGGATTTGTAAGTTTGTAACTTTAAGACCGATTCGTTCATTCGGCAGCCGAAGCGGAGTGACGTTTGCAGCATAAAAGGCAGAGCTTCTGACCTAAGTTCAGCAATCCAGGAACTGTGCTTTCTGGGCTTCACTATTATACTCGAATCGACTCAGACACATTGTATCAACGAACACGCAGATAACACGCCAAAATGCCTAAGCTTTTCATGTATGTTTCGTCCACTCGTCCTTGTCAAATACCAACTGACGGTAAACAGCACTGGTGCCACAGGTTACATCGGAGGCGATGCGCTGTACGCAGTAGTCAATACCTACCCAGACCTTGAGATCACTGCTCTTGTCCGTAACAGCGACAAAGGTGCCAAGGTCGCATCCCATTATGCCAAAATCCGCCTTGTCTATGGTGACCTGGACAGCACCGACTTGATCACCAAAGAAACCACAGACTCTGACATTGTTCTTCACTGCGCGGACTGCGACCACCTGGCCTCCGCCGAAGCCATCATCGCTGGTCTTGCAAAGAGCCAGAAACAGACGTACTTTATCCACACGTCCGGCACCGGACTCCTGTGCTTCGAGGATCTCGAGCAAGACACCTACGGTGTTAGGCGCGAGAAAGTGTATGACGACTGGGATGGCATTGGCGAAACCACGTCGCTCCCGGACTCGGCGGTGCACCGTAATCTAGACAAGGTCGTTCTAGCGGCCAGTCAGGCATCTGCGAACATCCACACGGCGATCGTGTGCCCACCTTGTATTTGGGGACCTGGTCGCGGTCCGGACAATCAGCGTAGCGTACAGGTTTACAATATGACTCGTACGGCTCTCCAGCGCCACAAGGGCTTGGTGGTTGGCGAGGGAGCGAACAGGTGGACCGAAATCCACGTCCAGGATCTCAGCAACGTCTACCTTGCTCTGGTCACTGCCGCTCTATCACCTGACGGAGGCAAAGCCACATGGAACGACAAAGGCTATTACTTCGCCGAGAATGGACAGTTCAGTTGGGGCGAGCTGGGTCAGAAGCTGGCCAAGCTCATGTTCGACAAGAAACTCATCAATAGCCCGGAGGTCGATCATCTTGACAAAGACGAGACGGAGAAGCTAGACCCTGAGGGCGCTATTCTTTGGGGTACAAACTCGCTTTGTAAGGCCACGAGGGCTGAGAAATTGTTTGGATGGAAGCCGAAGCAGAAGAAGCTATTTGATTCGTTGTCTGAGATTGTAGACGATGAGGCGAGGAAGTTGGGTATCACCAAGGGTCATGCTGCACATGCTGCGGGCGAGACGAATCCTTACATTCCCGCTCAACAGTAAAAAGTTGGGGTGAACCATTGCTTAGCTTTATAACGCAATTCTGGACCCTTCCGGTCATGATGAATATATATACAATTCATTCACATCGGCTCACAATCTGGATCTACAACTTTCCCTCACAGCACCCGCCTTCCTTCCCAACCAACACACTAGCCTCATTCTTCTGTCCCGGCATATCAATCGCGGGATTCCTCTCGAAGAAATCACTCGGCTTGTACTGTAGCTGGTAAATCTCAACTGGCATGACCGGCCAGTCCTCCACCCTCGGATTGTGCGTCAAGCCAAACACATTCCACACGACGAGATCCTCGTTATCCACCTTTTCTTTCCGTGCCACCATGTCGTGCACACCACCCTTCTCTATCTGACTTTGCATCGTGTAATCACCCGCAGCGTACAGCTCGTCGTCGTGGTACTTTGTAACCCAGACATGGTGGTTTGTGAACAGCGCGCGGTTGGCTTGTATGCTGCCTGGTGCTGCGAGTATCTTCTGAGTAGGCAGTGGTTCGAATTTGTATGAGACTGGCTTGCCGCTGATCTTGTTCTTCTTGGTTGGATTGGAGATCTTGAAAACGCGGTGGTCGACGGGGTTGGCATCCAGACCTGCGGACTTAGCCACGACTGTCTTGCGGACTTCGTAGTAGTTGCCATTGGGGTTTGTTTGCGTGTTCATGGGAACTGAATGCGATTCTTCGTATGTGACAGTGTTGTTGTGGCCGTCGATTGCGGGATCAAAACGTGCGGCGAAAATGTGTTGGTGGTTTTGCGCGAGGATACCATTCGAAACGACATTTCCGTAGTCGGATGTCTTGCCTGGGTCGATGTTGACGACGGAGACAATCCCGGTTGCGCGGGTTTCAAGGGTGATGCCGCCGGCGGTATCTAGCTTGTATGCAAAAACATACTCGTAGTTGGCCAATGTTATGATGAACTGTACCACGAGTTCTCGCATGCGCGTGACAACCGCACGTCCAGTGCGCCAATTTGTGTGCTAAAAGGTGTCAGTTTCGATCAACATAACTGGATGGTGTGGTGTACATACCTTCCAGCCGATGCCATTGTCTTGTTCATGTAGACAGACGACATTGGGGTGTACTTTCGGCTCTCCATCAGATCCCACAATGACAGCATCAAAGTATTTGATAACGCCCAAGCAGTCGCAGCCAAGCGACAAGTTGTTGGCACAGTTACCAGCACCACCGTCACCGAAATCGAAAGCTTGTTTGCGGTGGAAAGGTGCTCGAGCGTCGGCATATGGCACTGTCATCTCGCTGATGCTCATACGGTACATGATGCTGCGACCATCGTAGTTCACATCATGAAGAACAGCTCCCTCGCGTGGGTTGAATGAAACGCGGAAGCTCCACTTCTGCCATTCGACAAGTGATTCGTCAATGACTTTGAATGAAGGTCCTTCTGGCTGCGTGATGTTGATGGGCTTGACATCTTGTCGAACTCCGCCTTCTACCATCTCCGGTACGTACTCTGCCGGCGTGCAATGGTCGAGAATGCGTTCTGAACATGTCTGTCCAGTCATGCTGTCGCCTTTGCCACCTGTTGCTAATCGATCAATGCGGACGATCTCCTTCTTGTGGGCGTCCATGACCGGGATAATAGGAATGGGATATGCGTAAAAGTTTGAATCGGCATTCTTGTTGTTCATATCTTGCGCAAAGCACAGTCCTTGGAAGTAGCGTCGGTTTTCTGCGCCGATGTCAAGACCACCATATGGCCTGCCAAAAATTAGCGATTAGCTATGAGTGCAACTGATCGTACAACTGACCATGGCTCAACGACAAGTTCGAATCCTGAAGGAAGCTTGAACTCGGCAATCGCATCTTGGAACTCCTTGCTCTTCTTGCACGCCTCCACGAGCGTCTCGAATTCCCAAAGAGTAAGGGTAGCCTGGTGCTCCTTTCCAACAACTTTATGCTTGACCCTCTTTTTCAGCTCGACGTCGATAATAGACTCATGGTAGGCCGGGACTTTGTCGGAGCCGATGACGTCGTACATGCATTTTGCTAACCGAGGTGGCCGTTTTGAGGTCGGAGATTGTCCAGGTCGTGATGCATGCTCAAGTTCAAGATATTGTTTCATCTTTTCCTTCTCTGGTTCTTGTAAGTAAATCTCTCGAAAGTCGACGACAGTGTCGGCATGTAGAGAAAGAACGACATCGCGGGCAATGCGTGTCTCCTCGACGGTCAAGTTCTTGAAGGGATGGATGGCCATGTTGTCGACTCGAGCCTATGTAAGAAGAGTGACAATGGATAACAGATGATTTATCTTGTCAAGCAGTACGTGTACTCAAGGAGAACGTCGTGTGTGAAGTCATGAAGGCCCCGAGGGAAGGCTTCTTCTTATACTTGTCAAGCTTCGGCCCATCACGGCGCAACCAATGCTTTACGTTTCCGCGTCTTCGAGATACGGCGTGGAGCACAGACGATAACGAGATAGCGGTGCCAGGATGAAAGCGCAACGCGATATGCATGGGGTGTCGTGGTAGAGAGAATCGGCTGTACTTTCCTGTTCGGGCAAGGTCACTGTGGGTGGTCGCCTCCGCAATTCGGTTAATGCTGCACACGGCCTGTCAGGTCGGCAACGACTGTCAGATACCAAGATCTAGGTGTCTTAACATTTGTACAAAATCTAACTAGGATTGAACTAGGACCATAGATAGTGATTCATGATCAACGGATTTGTAGGATGCCCTACGTACACATTTTACGTCTATGTGGAGCTTGGCCCAACGTTTGTCCTTCAACTAACAACTCCGTTGCTGTCAATTAATTTTACGAAACAGTTTTCCAAGTTAATTTTGGACACTGTTGCCTTCGCGCCATTGTCATGCGGATTGCGGTGAGCTGGTCGACGGACTGAAGCGTATTTCCCGGAGCGGCAGTTAAAGTGAGAATAGGCCTACTGGTAGCCCCACAGCTGCACGGAGGAACACATCGGCTCCAAAAATGTATTAGCAGATACGTTGGAGCAGATCCCCCAATACAAATAGTATACCCAACTGCTCTTGCCACATGTCATGCTTATATTTGCTACAAGAAAGGCCACTTATAAAATAAACAAAAAAATGTAGCTGTAATTTGCTTTCATGCATAAGCGAGGCCTTGCTTGCCCATGAACCAAAAATGGCAAAAACATACAACAGCGGGGATTCGCCAGTGGTCACCCACCTGACTACTAATCCGCCGGTGCGCTGCTTAAATATGGCTGAGCGGACGGGAAGCCTTGTATTCAACGCCCTATGGTCGTATGTGAAATCAAGACAGCAAAGTAAGATATATAATGACGAGATAACATGTGACCTCGCCAAGTCGTGGTGTTTCCCATCAAGGCCTCTAAATCACTGTTCCACAATTGTCACCTCACCAATCCAAGACGAACTCCCGTCTCATAGATCTGCCAGACCTGGCGCTACTTGCTTAACACAAAAGCTCTCGCTCTTGAAGCCTCCGCTAGCGCGCAAGACATGGCTCAGTTCCTCTTTCACGACGCGACGTACCACGATCCCTGCTTTTTGGATCATCTGGTACTTCATACAATAAAGAGCCTGAGAACTTTTGGAGCTATCAGGGTTATGCCTTCAAATTCGGGGGACTTATGATTGGCTGCAAATCAAATCTCCAGCACACTTTCACAGAATCAACCACAGTCTGAACTAGACGCTCATTATCTCTCACCGCCTCACAAATGGAAGATTGGATATGATCCTTCACCAACATCAACCTTCCGCTCGACTGTGTGCCTACTATCCGATGTGATAATTAGCAGACTGTTAGTGTTGTCACGAAACAGTACGACAAGCAGAAGTTCCCAGAGTTCGTCCGCCAATTTGACCTCGTTGACATCACTACACGCCTAAAGGGCTAGCGTCAGACCGAAGGGGACGAATTTGACGCCCGCCGTGCTCATGCACGCTTAAGAGTTGCTGCAGGGTTGGTTTGCAAGTGAAATGCGGCCTGGTCGCACACTAGACCAGATTGTCGGACCTCTCGTCCCACTCCCGTCCCACGCCCACGACAACAACAAGGAACAACAAACGTGCCACATCTCTAAACACTCTTCATAGAAATATCAGCCGTTGGCTATGGTGTCCATCGCAGCCTTGATTACAGGCAGCATCGCGTCCACTTCCCTGTTCCTTCGCCTTCTGCTTCGACTCACACAGGACGCGGGTGAACCGCCAGCGCTCCTGACGACTCTTCCATTTATCAGCCCTTTGATAGGCATAATCAGGGAAAAATCCAAGTTCCACACCCGATTGAGGCAGGTTTGACTGAAGCGCACTATGTGTATCAATGAGCCTAGATATTGATACACTTCTTTTGCGTGCTCACACTGTGGTAAGAACGAGTATGATCTACCCATATACACCTTGTGTCTACCTTTCATGAGGATGTGCATCGTCAATTCTACACACATCATTCCTCTGTTGCAGAAACAATGGCGCACTGTCAGCTTTGCCGCGATTGCGGCTGGTGCCGGCATTACTGTCGGCATCAGCAAGGAGGCAGTCAAAATCATGCACCAAGATCTGACAAGCGAGCATGGCTTCAGCATTGGCTGGCCAAGATATATCATACCCGCCATGAGTGCCAGAAAGGACCTTGATGCGATCAACAGACGGTCCGTTGAGGTCCTCGCGGATGAAGTAGAAGAACCTCAGGCAAAGGGAGTCGTCAGGCTGGAACTGTCTCAATGGTCACGCCAAATGATGTTTACAGCAACGACTGAAGCTGTATGGGGCCCTCAAAACCCGTATCGCGATCCTGTTGTTGCCGAAGCTTGGAGGTGCGTACAATCTCGTCTTTCCAGCTGGTTCGTGTCTACCGCCAGTCGCAGAACTTTCGAAGCTGGCTTTTTGAATTTCTCAATGTTTCCGTTCTCATCTGTCCCTTTCCCAAAGCTTCGGCAGGCTCGTGAGGCGGTTGCTGCTGCCATGATGAAATACATGGGCAACGGCGGTCATAAAACTGCGTCAGGTCTCGTACGCATGCGCTTCGAACATCATCACGACCAATTCGGCCTCAGAATCGAAGAAATCGCTCGTGGTGAGCTTTGAAATACGTTTGCCGTGCTAGGCAATACTACGCCGTGCGCTCTGTGGATGCTCTACCACGTCTACTCCGACAACCGGGTGCTGAATGACCTACGGCGCGAGATCCAGGCTCTTGTGCATGAACAGCATGACGAGGTGGGAAATTCCTTCCACTCCGTTGATCTAGCCGCCATCCGAACATCCTGCCCGATCCTCATGAGAACTTTCCAAGAGACGATGCGTTTCCGCGCTGCCAATTCCGGCCTACGCGTGCTTATTGAAGACGTGCGTTTGGACGATCGCTACCTCCTCAAGAAAGGAAGCATGCTCATGATCCCAGCTACTGTGCAGCACAGCGACGCTGCAGCATGGGGTGATGATGTTGGCGAGTTCGACTACATGCGTTTCGCCCGCAGGCCCACTACCGGCCGCAAGAAGCCGAACCGCATTGCGTTCTGTGCCTTTAGTGGCGGTCATATACTTTGTCCAGGTCGCCATTTTGCGAGCAACGAAATCATGGTTTTTGCGGCACTCATGGTGCTTCGATTCGACGTCACGCCCGTTAAAGGCACGTGGGTTGAGCCTATCTGTGATAACACGCCTGCTCGGTCTGGATTCCCGCTTCCTGATGAGGATATTGAGATCGAGCTTTGCCCCAGGGATGTTTCAAAGAAGTGGAACTTCACGTTCTCGGGATCAGACAAGGTGATGGACATCGTAGCAGAAGACGGTTCTTCCAGTGAATAAAGCTTTAATTGAATCGTTAGACGGAGACATTGTGAAGTCACGTGCTACACACATTTTGCAGAAAGGTATGAGATCGTTGAGATGCAGAAGGGAAGCCTAGGGTTATCATCCTAAAGTCGTATATGGGAGAATCCGATATTATCGAAACACATATCCCTAACGCATCCAGACAATACCTCGCCCTTGCCTAGAAATTAGTCACACCAAGCCATTAGAAACACTGAACATGTATGAGACCTATTCAACCAATGCGTGCATTTATTTCAAAAGTCTTTTCAACTACCTCCACAGCATGCCATCTGCCGTCCCTCTATGCAACTGCATTCCAAACCAGTGCTTACATCCCCATCCATGTCCGTCACACAACGTTCTACTCATCCAAATCCCATCTCCCCAGGGTCGGCTTTAGCCTCCCCACCCTATACCCATCCCCTCCATCCTCCTGCTCCACCCCTGCACTCATACTCCCCACCAACTCCATCTGCGCCTGACTAAACACCATGCCACTCCTCCTGCTCCTCCCAGGCGAAGGTAGCAACAACTCGCCCGTCGCCGGATCCGACAATCTCAGGGGCGGCGTAGGCGGCGTGTCCAGCGCATCAAAGACGCCGGGGTATTTCCACACCAGCGCCTCGGAGCGGTGGCGCGTGTGGGTTGGGGTCTTGGGAGCGAGTTGGGCTGCGAGTTTTTCGGCTGTGGCATGGGAGAGGGAGCGTGGGCGGGCGCGGGGAATGGGGAGTTGGAGGTGTGTTGGGTCGGATGGAGGTGTCGGTGAGATAGACTCATCGAGAGCTGGCGAATGCGAAGAGGGCGGGTATTCTGCGGATGCCAATTTACGCGCCATCTTGTAGTTGGAAGCTTGGAGTGTCTTCACTTCTTCTTGGAGAATGGCGACTTTGGCGCGGAGATCGCGGTTGTCAATCATGAGTTGGAATGAGTGGTTTATGAATTGCTCTGCATCTGCTTCGGGAGTTGGGGCGGGATGCGCATCTGGTGGTGATGATGGTGGTGTTGCTGGGTCGGACTCTGGCTCTCGTGCTGGGTAAAGAATGCCATAGCGGCGTAACGGCACAGGACGCTTCTGCTGCATCACCTCGTAAAGATAGTTCAGCTTGATGCCATCCTTCACAGACTGTGGTACTTGTCCAGAGGTAGAAGCCGTAATGAGTGGAGCGCCGGAAAATAGATGTGCAATGCGCGGTTTGATGACAAGGCGTAGGAGAGCATCGATGCGCTTCATCACAACGGCGTGCCAACTGTCGTAGATAGTGCCCTGCCTAGGCTTGATACGCAGAGCCAGTTTAGCATATTCGAGCAGTTTGGACTGCACGGCCTCCAAAATATGAATCTCAGTCTTCTCCTCTACCGTAGCAGTGTTGACCAACGTGGCGATCTGGGAGAACGACATCTTATCGGGATCTGCGAACTGGATCAAGAAGCCGTGCACAGTGCTTCGCTGGAGTTGAAGCCGATCACAGATAGAGTCTAGAACGACAAGGTCGAAACCATAGCTCGTGTCCATAGAGGTGGAGGAATTCGATAAGAATTCACCCAGGCCGATCCAGCCATGCATCTGCACTGCATCTGCAAGGTTGTACCACACATCAGGATCTTCGGGCAGTTCGACGAGCTCGTAATACAGCATCCACGTCAGGAAATTTGAGAGCTGGTTCGCACTCATCGAGTCCGCGAAGGCTTTCGTCAAACGTGAGATGCGAGGATGGACTGGCTTCGAAAGAGCCAGAGACGAGGGCGACACGATGTCAAACTCGGGTTCTCGAGTGCGGTGCTTGTAGAATAGAGATCGAAGACCACCAGAAGTATGCCGACGATCTGAGCGAGGAACCGAGGCGTTGGTCGAGACGGGTGTCATAGGACGTGGGCTTGACGACGAGTCTGCTGGAGGGGATCGAGATCGGGACCGGCCAAAGATGGACATGGTCGAAATCTTACGCCTAAGGCTAGGGTGGCGGGACGAAGGCATTGCGAATGCTTAAGATGTTCGGTTGAAGTTGAAAGTAGGCAGATTTCTGCGTGTAGTTGACGTTATCAAGGTTGAGGTTGCCGAGATGGATGATTGCAGATGATAATGTGGGAAGAAACGAGGGGGATTGTCATTGTACGGGGGGCAAACTTCGGGTGCTTGAAATAACCTCCTAGGCTACATGAGTGAAAAGAGATTGCATGGCCCGCAGCCTATTTGCATTGTGAATTGACAATTGCCGTGCGATGTTTGTGGGTACCCACGGTAACGACTGTCTAGACATAGATAAGACGACGTAACAAGATAGACTGATGAACGTCTATAGTGAATGGATCGTATCGTAGCACCCTGGGTCCGGTCTGTTTGCTGCCTCGGTACCTATGTGGTGACACAAGAAAGTCCTAGATGAACTTCGCGGCGCGATGCTTCGTTGCGCGGTGAAAAGCGCGATGACCTCGGCGTTCCTCGAGTGACGTGACCAAGTTTGCTTCGACAGTACTTCCTCTTGATAGCTTTCTTGAATGCGCTTCTCACGCGTCCTAGGACCCGACCTGTGTCAATATGTTTGATCCGACATAACCCACGTCTTCAATCTTCATCATGAGCCATCTCTTCCTCATCGTTGAACACTTTGGGAAGATACAACTTCGTGTTCTCATACACAACAAACGTAACAATCGTGGTCGGAATAACTCGCAGCGTATTCGGAATGACTCTGCAAACGCATTAGCACCTCGACTCAACCCATACTACACATGCATCATCTCACCCTTTATAAAACGCCAAAAACCCCTCGTTTCTATACGTCTTCTGCAACACATCCAGCAGCCCCGTGTACTGTTGCGCCGCATTGTACTGCTGCATCCTCGCTCTAATCGGCTGGTAGGGATACGTGATAGCGCCCGCCAAGAGCTTGCTTCCGCCGCTCATATACACATATTCCCAATTACTCAGCTGGTCTTGCCCGCCTAATTGGTTGCCTCGTCGCTTCTTCATATTCTCGTATATGCTGAATTGTACCGCGCCGTGCAGCACGCCGAGCGACGAGGGGATGAAGCCCGCCCAGAGCCCTTTCAAGCCGCGCGTTTCGTAGACGTGGCGAATCCCAAAGGACATGGATTTGTACGCCGAGGGGTGGTTTGCGCCGCGCTCGAGCATGCGCGTTTTGACGACCCAGATAGGGTTGGTGCATGCGCCTGTCAAAAGCCCTTTCCTCCTGTCAGCACTCCATCATCCCACCCACCAAAGAAGGACAGCACAAACCAGCAATAATGCTCGCCGAGAAAAACTCCGCGCTACCAAGATGCTCGCCCTTCGCTCTCCGCCTCTGAAACACCTCTTTCAAATTTCCATAGAACAAGAAATACAAGCCCCAGCCCAAACTGTTGCCCAGTAGATTTGGCCACAAGCCGCGGTATAAAGCTTTCACACCGCCCTCATCTTTCACCACAGCCGAGAGTATGCGGAAGGAATCCCCGGGCCGTGAGCGCGAAGTGGTGTTCAGCTGCAGCCGGTTCTTGAGCAGGTCGAGAGGGTGTGCGGCGAGGCAGGATACGACGCCCGCACTGAAGCCGGCGATGCTTTCGATTAGGGAGGCGGAGAGCGGGCTTTTGGGGACGGGGCGGCGCGGGGCGGGGAGGGCGTTTTGTTCTACGGGTGGGAATGCGCGGGGCATTGTGGGTAGTGGGATGGCGGTGAGGGTTGCGGGAGCATGCTGTAAGCTCAGGCAAAGGATGCTGTCCGTGGAATGAACGATTGGGACTGTGTTATTGCTGCATCAAGGGTTGTAAAAATGGCATTTTGTTTTGGTTGGAGTGTGGAAGTTTGGTGGACTCGAGGAAGCTTGGGGCACGGAGCTAAGTTTCGCGTGGGGTGGCACGTCATGGCACGTGGGAGTGCCGTCTCCTCGGCTGCTGAACCCTCAACATCTGGCAACTTATCAGACGATGGCATGTTTGCTGCTATGATGAAAATAACGCGTCAGACATATTCCTACATAGCAAGTAACTATATACCGGCCCCAAACTTCTCCCCCGAGCAGCACGTCGCCGACTCCTCTTTCTTCTCTTCAAACGCCAACCTACTCAACTTATCCACCAGCCCACCTCCCTGCTTAACACCACTCGGCACACTGCAATAACTAGGCGGCACATCCAAGCACGGATTCCTCGTGAAGAAATTGCGCGGTCGAAGCAGCAACGTCATCGGTTCAGCAGGCATGACCGGGAAATCCTCTGGGCTGGGGAAATGCGTGATGCCAAAAGTGTGCCACAGAACGACATCGGTGTTCGTCAAGTCTGCGTTAGGGTTCTCTTCGATCCAGGCTGGTATGCCTTGAGATGGTTCGCCTGAGGTTTGGGGTACGTGCCGGCCAGCGGGGTGCAATTGGGCGTCGTCGTCTGGGTAATGGTTAGTATGACCTACTGTGACGAAGGGAATGTATACGTACACTTTGTTACATGCACAGCATGGCGCGCAAAGCCCGCTCTCTTCCACACCAAACTCCCCGGCTTTGGTAGCAACTCTGGAACTTCTCGACTGACAAGCTTATACGACACTGGCTTCTTGCTGTATGCATTGAGTTTGTTCTCGTTGCACATCTCCCACGTGCGGCTGGTGGCTCCGTTGTAATCGGTTGCTGCTTGCTCAGGGGTGCTGAGCTTCGTCTTCTTCGCATAGAAAGCGTTGCCGTATTTGTTCTCAGCGCTGCCGACCTCGCCATCACCTCGCATCGCATCGACCATGAAGACTGTATTTTCTGGTCCATCGATGTTCGGGTCGATGCGCATGCAGAAGAGATGTTGGTGGTTGTGTGCGTTCACACCTGGGTACACTTCGGTACCCCAGCCATGCAGGTCCTCGCCTGGATTCATCGCATATGTGTTCAAGATACCGGTGAGCTTAACTTCAAGCTGAATCGTCCCGTCGAGGTGGAAGATCCAGTAAACGCAGTACTCGTAGTTGGCGGCTGTGAAGACGTGCGAGATGACGAGCTTACGAGCACGAGTCACAGTAACGCTGTCGTCTCGGAAGTCGGTGTGCTTGAACAGGATCCCGGCATCTTCTTCATGGATGCAAATTGCATTCTTGATTGTGGTCGCTGCACCAGCGCGGTTGACAAAAGCAGCATCCATGTAATGAATTGCACCCTTGCAATCACACCCCAGGCTCAACGAATTGGTCATGTAACCACCGCCATATTCGCCAAGGTCGAAAGCATGCTTGCGCTGATGCGGATGCTCGGGATTGCCATACGGGACAACCATCTCAGCGAGTGACAGTCGCCAGAAAGTGTCACGCACGGTGCCCTTGTCGTTAAAAGTGATGTTGGAGAGGACCATGCCCTCGCGGTAGTTGAAGCCAATGTGGAGTTTCCAGTTGGCAAAGGTGATATACCTGCCATCCATCTTGAAAGATACGCCCTCCGGTTGTGTAATGTTGATCGGCTTGAGGTCATTGCGGAATCCACCTTCTGCTTCGATAGCTGCCGCATGGTAGTTGTTTGGTGGGGCCTGGTTGAGTGGCCGCCTTACCGGTGGCACATCAATGTGAATAATTTCCTGGGTATCTGAATTGTAGATCGGGCAGAAATCGAGTGGATATGTGTACTGGCTGTCATCCACATGTGGCCGGTAGTACATGAGCGCTTGCTGGAGGCGAACATTTGTGCCAAAGCGCTCATCGTAGCCAATCGTCCATGCTATTCGACATTAATAAGAGCATTGTAGATCGCATAACGACACCTACGGTCACAGTAGACTTTGTGCATGTCTTCCGGTGGGATGCCAATGATTCCACATTGCTCGATCACTTTCGGGTCCTTTCTGACAACAGACTCAACAATCTGAAGGTCTTCCATAGTGATCTATTCCCCGTTAGTACAATTCAATATGTTGACACTCACAAACACCTACAAGTGGCTGAACACCGTCTTTCTTTTCCCAGCTCAGGACTTTGCTCGCGGTCAAGTCGACAATGCTCTCAAAGACTTTACTTCCTCTCCCGATGCACACCACATCCGCAACACGGGCTGGGCGCGGTGTGTGTTCAGGGTCTTTGAGCCATCTCATCATCTCCGCTTTCCGCGGCTCCCACAATGTGACGGCATTGAAGAAGACATCACTGTGCTCCTTCCGGACCAGTGCGACGGCTGCTTCAATCTCATGTTCGCTGAGAGGGTCAAAAGGATGTGGAGGCGCGACCTGTCCGGTAATATGGGACGTTGCTTGTTTCAATCTGTCGAGTGACATGGTGAAGATCGGGTGTGTACATCTACGAGGAAACGGAAGATGCAGACTCGAAGATCGGGCGGGGTCTTATAGCTTCACGCGAGCACAGCAGACGTAATTGCGAGAAACGGCGCGATATGAGCCGAGATCTGTCTACTACATTGGCCCTTCACGATCCAATGAACAGCTGATATCGCGCCAAACTGCTAAACGGCAGGGCAAATAAGTTTGTCAACGTCGATGCTCTTATCGCTGTTAATATGGGAAAGCTGCACCTGTTTCGGTTAGTGTTCCCCACTTTCTGCTGGGTATGCATACTCGCGACTCGACGGCTGGGCATGCACCGCGTGTGGTTTGTCTGCCAATCCGAGAATATGTAGTCATGTCAGACCCGAAGACGGCTGGTCTGCACGCAGGTGTAGCTGTCCATGCAGAAGGTGGACCGAAGCATCTCGCTTCTCCGCGAGATTAGACGAGTGACCGCCCGATTACCGGATGCAGTCACTGAAGCGAGAAGAATTTAGTTAACCAGTCGGAGAGCTCACCAGCAAAAACATCTCGTGTAAGTTCGACATTTCGCTGAATGTGGTTGATATCGCACGTGACCATGGCCGGTGGGAGGCCGAGCGCATTGCGATTTCCAGCCTTACAGCACTAGCAGCACAACGCCTCAACAGGATTAAATGAAAAGTTAACACGGTGCTTCGTATACAATTTCCAAAGAGGTTCTAGGATGCTATTAAGAAATTGTTAAAGCTGAGCGAACTTTAAGAAAATTGTATGGGATAATTGATCAGATTACTGCCTAAGAAATATCGATCCGAGATTAGATTATATACCTTCTTGGATCACCCAAGCTAAGATCAGGATCGGAGGAAACTAAGATCCTTTACGTCACATGCAGAGCAGGTGACCTAGCACTTCTCCTCCGCAACAGAAATAATTGTGGTAGTGGATGAAAGTCGATGTTTTGGCATAACTGAGATCCCTGCCGTGCAGGGACCATATAGTTACAATACTTTTGCCTATAACCACAGGAGAGCTGGGAATCGCATTGATGCCGAGCATCCTCGGCCTCCCACCGGCCTTGACAACGTGCAGTATAGTGAGAAGACATTGGCGGGTGAGACGGACGTATTCGGACAGAACTGGAGACTCCATTTGCGACACGCGCTCAAAACAGTAATTTTTAAGCCTAATTTGTTTAAGAATCAGCGCAAGCAGAACGGAGGTCTTCACTGCCCCCTTTTTTTGTGATAGCGAGTTCTACGGAGCAGGCTTACGTGAGCGCTATAGCTGTTCTTGATCAAAACAGCCATCTAAAACGGAGTAAGTAGACAGGCACTAAGCATTGGCTTAATGAATACGAGCTTGTTCTTGCGTTGGTCAATACGGCATACGGTGCTTCGATGCTACGCAACCAATGCTACATTTTCCAATAATGTTTTAGTTTCTTTTTATACTTGTTCTCTCACAAACAGATCGTTGTGCCGTTCCAAAACCCCTGTGGTTTGCGATAACGATCTGTTTATAGGACAGGAGTGTAGCTACGGTAAAACGACGTACAATTGTTGGAAGTTGCCGTATCACCTGTGTCGGCTAGATTTTTATGAAGCAGACCTCAGAAGTTGCTGTGCCACCTGTGTCGGCCAGACTTTCAGGAAGTAAAACTCGGGAGTTGCGGCATTACCTATGTCAGCAAGATCCTTAGTAGGGTACCTAAGCTATACTCTAGAATTGCTATAAGTACTTGACACTGCTGTGCTGATGTCTCTCGCACAACTCTCATCCTCAACTCTCTTAACTCCAGCCTTCAACGCACTCTTCTCCATAAAACTTCATCATGCAGATCTACTCCGTTCTTGCTCTCTTCCTCGGAACTGCTATGAGCGCCGCAGTTGAACGTGACGTTAGTCCTGGCAATGTCCTAATGGAACGTCAAGCACTCGACTGCGCTGTGGGTCTAACTGGCAGTGCATTCTGTGGCGCCTGCCGCGTAAGTTCTCCCTCGTTATTCCCTTTGTTACTCTGTACCTTTTGTGCTTCAGATGTAAGCTAACAGAGCATTGACTGCAGGACTGCCGCGCCTTTTGCGGGCGCAGGGCCGCCCGCTCTGAGGACACTATTAGTCCAGCCAATGTCCTGATGGAACGTCAAGCGCTCGATTGCGCTGTGGGTCTAACTGGCGGTGCATTCTGTGGCGCCTGCCGCGTAAGTTCTCCCTCGTTATTCTCGTTATTCCCTTTGTTACCCTGTAACTTTTATGCTTCAGATGTAAGCTAACAGAGCATTGACTGCAGGATTGCGGTGCCTTTTGCGGAAATTAGGACCTGATAGCTGTTGCACTCGGAGGAGAGGGTTTTTATCTTTTTGAGAATGTACATCAGTTAACTATGAAAGCCATTGTGCATGTGAAATCTCCATCTCCTTCGCAGTGGACAATCTGCAAATGTAGCGAACCTGGTCCCGAATCCTGGCGCATACAACAGGCAGCTATGATTAGTCTAGTCAATTAAACTGCAACCTCTACCCAAACGCTTCATGCATGTGCTGTGTACGTATCAAGAAAAATAATACCGAAAGCATAAAACGAAACTTTGCGCGATCTCTGCTGCCATTGTGGAGCATGGTTTGTTGCTCGTCGCGCTTGCGTCAACGCGCGCTCGGACCCCAAGCGCTAAGCCATCCCGTCATGACCGCAGCGTCCAGGCCTCACTTTCGCATCCAACCTCAGCAAGTGCACATACCATCGCGACATCGCCCCCAATAGCTCGAACGACTGCGAAAACCGCGCAGCCTCCGCACACAACTATCCCACCGCGCACCCCACGCCCCGACCGCCCATCATGGTGAAGCCCGTGGTATCCGCCATGAATGCATGGTCGTGGTACGCCCTCCCAACAAGCCCGTGAACAAGGCAGATAAGCTAATAGCACGGCAGCATCGTCATGTCCGTCTTCGCCATCGTCATTCTCTCCGTCATCGGCTCGCTGTTCAAAGTACTTCCCACCGTCTCCCGCATCCTCGCACAGGCTAACACAGGCCACAGTCCAGCTCCAACCTCGTCATGGGCTCCGAAGAAGACCCTGAGGACGGCGGCGCAGTCGCGGGTGCTGTGTTTGGCGCGGTGTTCATTTACATTGGATTCTTCGTGTTCTGCGGGTTCCAGGCGCTTTTGCACTACAGAGAGAGCCGGAGGGGCGCGATTAGCATATAAGATGCTATTGGGAAGAGGAGGAAGAATAGCTGTGGTGGTGAGAGCTTGTATTGTATAGGGAGGGAGGAGGACCTGGGGAAGGGACTGAGTATGGGATGTTAGATTCGATCAAAAAGGCGTTTTCGCGACGGTGTTGGGATATATAGAGATCTGATTGCACGCAGGTCTTGTTATGCGACCTGTTTATCTTTGACATAAGATCGTCACCAGTTTACTTTGCTGCCAACTCCCCCAATCCTGAAATCCAGTCATACACATGCCCATCCTCACCATTCCCTCTCCCACAGCGGCTCAAGCGTCTTACTCATATACGGCCCATCCAGCCAATACCCCAGTTTCCCATAATAACTCCTCACGCCCACCCCCGAAATAACACTAATCTTGCTACTCCCATGTTCCTCCCGTGCAATCCTCTCCGCCTCCTCCATCAGCAGCGTGCCATACCCCTGGTGCTGGAACTTCTTGGGGTCGCGCGCATGCACCGGCACCGCAGAGCCATACACATGCAACTCGCGCACCAAACTCGACGGCTGGCCCGTGAGTTCCGGGCGGAACGTGTGTTCCTTGGAGCACTGGCGCAGCCTCAGCAGCGCGATGAGGATATCCTGCTTGGGATCTTCGTACGCGAGGAAGGTTTCCCACCCGCCGTTGGCCGTGTAGTCGCGCCGCACGAGCTCGACTTGGTCCGGCCGGATCTTGTGCTTGACTTCGTTGATGCCGACTTCGCGCGTGCGCACGTCGCGACAAGAGGTGCCGAAGTCTTTCATGCGTGCGAGCGCGAGTTCGCGGAGGTTTCCGTTTTCCACGCCCGATGTGACGAGCGGCATGGGGATGTCGCGCTGGACGCGGTAGATGCGGGTCCAAGGCGGGACGAGGGCGAGGATGCGCGCGACGATGTCGATGAGGGCATTGGGGGTGTAGTTCTTGTACCGCCCCGTTCGCCAGAGTTCGTACAGGCCCGTCCCGCGGATGACGAGCGTAGGGTAGATCTTGAGGCCGTCGGTGCGGAAGTCCGGGTTTGCAAAGTACTCGACGAACTGGTCGAGGTCGCGCTCCATGCCGACGTTAGGCAAATCGGGCATCATGTGGGAGACGACCTTGAAGCCGGCGTCTTTGGAGAGGCAGAAGGTTTTGGCAACGGCGGCGACAGTGTGCCCGCGATTGGTGTCGCGGGCGACGTCTTCGTAGAGGGATTGCACGCCGATTTCGAGGCGCGTGCAGCCGTAGCGGAGCATGGAGGATAAGTGTTGGTCAAGACAGTAGTCTGGGCGGGTTTCGATGGTGATGCCGACGCATTTGATGTTGCTCATTTCGCCGGCTGCTACGGCTTCGTCGACGTCTTTTGTTTGGTAGCCGGAGAGGGCGTTGTGCAGCTGCGAGATGAATTCGTCCCGGTAGGATTCTGGAAGTGACATGAATGTGCCGCCCATGATGATGTACTCCACCTTGTCGACGCTGTGACCTAGGGATTTGATCTGGTCGACTCGTCCACGGGCCTGTTCATATGGATCATAGCGCGCTCGTATGGCACGCATAGAGGTCGGTTCATATCCAGTGTAAGATTGTGTTGAATACTCAAAGTCTGAGTCTGGGCCTCCGGGGCAGTAAACGCAGATGTTGCCAGTGTAAGAAATGTGCGGACAGCGATGGGGCTTGCACATTACCGCCACCACTGCAATACCCGACGATGTGCCTATATCACATGTCAGTATATTTCAAGATCATACTCTCTCCATGAAGTTTTGATAACATACGAATAGGCTTAGCGATCAGCTTCGGTAATATGTACTTCTTATAATGTTCCGGCACTGCAGCAATAATCGCCGTAAGTGGCGGCTGACTCTTCAAGTAATGTTTCTTGGCTATTTTCCCTCTCAGTTGGTTAAGATTCAAGTCCTTCTTCGCCTTCGTGCCATTCGCTTGCGCCTCGTAGTCCTGGATGAGGGCAGAAGCTATGTCCGCACACGCGCGCATGTATCGTTCATTCTCGGGTGGCAATTTGACGTTCTTGGGGAGTCGTCTGCCTTTTGGCACAGTCTCTGTCATTGTGACTGTCGCCATCTTGTGGATTTTGTTTGATGTTGCGAGGTGGTTCTCGTGGATGGCGAATCTACTTGATGTTCTGGTGGAGTCATTTTCGGCAGGCGCTAGGCGATTCTCGGATAGCTCTCGCTTGCATACATCAACGACCTGCTGGATTTCTTCTTTCACCTCACCATCTCTCTCAGAATACCGGTACCTCCCCGATTAAGAACTCTCTCTTAGGTGTCGATTGTCGTAGAATTTCTATTGAAAGCACAGCCTTTTAAGAGTCGAGGAGGCAGTCAGAGTCCTAGAAAGTCTCTTTTTCTACGCGTCTAGATTGTACTTTCAATATAATTTCGCAGTAATCGACACCTACTAATACTTACCTAATTAGGAGTGCACCAACTCTCGCAATGATGTTTGGTGAACAGACCATTGGTAGCTTTTGAAAGTGCCTGCAAAAACAAAGCCGCTAATCTTCAGCATATCGTGCAAAGAGAAAGTATTCGTTCAGATCGTACATATTATATTCATACAAATCCACTACTCAAATACTTTCCGACGCCAAATCTTCCGCCAGTCCCTCCAGCTCTTCCTGTCTAAATGGCACCCACAACCTCTCCGTGCCCATCCCATCTTTACGACTCTCAATCATCTGATGATCGTGAAACTCCTTCAGCAGCGTCCTAAAACCAACTTCACTCGAGCACACAAACTCGCCAACAGCCTTGTGATACAAGACGCGATACTCGACGCCCTGACTAGACTCCGGAACCACGATTTTGGGATTCTTGGCTTTGGGCGTGGCTTGTAGGTCGTCTTCATCGGGACCGCCTTCCATCATGGAGAGTGCGAGTTGCTCCATGACTAGGATGCGGAACAGAGATCGTGCGTTCTCGGGAAGCGAGCGCAGCACGAAGCCTACACCGTCTCTGCCACCCACGCGCCGGCCACTGCGGCCGAGGAGCTCATTGACGGTCTCGACTGCGTCGATCTCAGCGTCGTAGGAAGCAAAGGTTGTGGCGTCGTGGAATAGGAACTTGTACTGCGTTTTTAGGCCGACATCCCACAGCAGTGGAAAGTTTGGCGTGTCCGCGGTGCAGATGAGGTTGATGGCGGGATGCGCAGCAAGTCGTGCCAGCATCGAGGGCGTTGGAGTTTTGCGGAGATATGGCGAGTCGATTGAGTTGAGGATAACGGGAGTCGGGTGCTGAGGTGGGTTGTTCGTCATGTATTCCAACAAAAAGTCCAAAAGGGAGGCGGGCTGATTAGGCAATTTGAGGTTTGCTGGCATAATGGTCGATGCTATGGTCGTGAACACGTCTTTGAGGGTGATGCCGGCAGAGTATCCATTGATGACGGCAATCTTCGGCTTGTTCTTCGTGCCCTTGTACGCCTCCTGCTCCAACAAATGGGAGTACAGACGGTGTGTGAACTTCTCCGTGATGATCCGTTTCGAGCCATAGCCGTACAGGCAGATGTTGAAACCCTCCTCCAACTCGAAGATCCACTGATCGTATGCCCGGCCGTGCAAGTCCAACAGGAAATCCATTTCCGACTGGTGTTGGTCTTGGTACGACTGCATCGCTTGGAAGAATTCATCATGATTGAGCAACGTTTGCGCAGACAAGGTGTTGTTGGACGTCTTGGTGCCACCGGGGCGGTTCTGCCAGAAGTACTCTTCGTGCGGAGGAAGTTCAGTCGGTGGCGAGGGGGAACGTTGCTTTCGTGGTCGCCCAACTTTGCCTGATCCTTTCGGTCGGCCTCTACCTCGCTTTGAGGGGGTCTCTGGTATGGGCGCCTCTTGTGCCTCTTGCGCTTCCTCAGCACCTGCCTCGGCATGCTCGTCTTCATCGCCCAAGATCTGTTCGGCCAATTCATCTGCCTCTTCCAACGCCTCTTCATCACTCTCTACGCCATTCAGAGTGCGCTCAAATAGCCGTTTGTTGCTCTTCCGCCGCGCACTGCGGTCTGCGTTGCGCACGATCGTCGGCGTGCCGGTAGGGGTGTCGTCTTTGGGCGTTTTGGTAGGCGTTTCGAAGACCAGCTTTCGGTTCGACCTTGGTGTTGCGCCATTGGCGATGTTGAGCATCGACGACTTCTTCAGTATAGATTTCGGAGTCCCATTCACGGCGAGATGCTGGGCCCTGCCCCTTCTCGACGGCGTTTGCGCATCGCTCGTATCGTGGTCGTCTACGCTGTCCTCGGCGAGATGTGCGCGTAGCTTGCGTGGCGTTCCCTCCTCAACGTCGTCTTCATCCCGTCTACGTTTTGTGCCGACCATGTTGTGGTTGGTTGATGTGGTGGAGGCAGACGCGACTTCTCGCGTTGGGATGATCTTAGCGCGGATCGCAAAGCTTAGACTATAATTAGCCTCCCACGATCAGGCAGTCACATTTCACGAGCATAACAGAACTTTGCATCGGGCTGACGACATGCTGCTAAGCGGCTATCACATGGGCAGTGAAGTAATATTGGAGCTTGCACGTGGACCAAAGTCATCATCAAACATGCTTCACTGCGTTAGCTTATTGATGGTCACGAGACGTGGTGATAAACTTCGACTTTGAAATATTTGAACCACCGACCTTTGTACAAGCTTTCGTACGTCTACCTAAGATTTGGACTTTGACTACGATCCGATCGAAGACACGACGGCGCGAAACCTATCCAACAAACCCACCCATAAACCCCAAGTCGTCGATCAGATTCCTGTCTAGCAAAAATACTACAAGAACAGGTCATTTGATGGCACAGATCTGGCCTCGAGCGCAAACAGCGTCCAGACACTGACTAGAAAAATTCCCGAAGCCTTACCTAGTCTGTCATGTCCGCATCCTCACACCACACCTCACTGGGAGCAGGGTTGTGGAGTAGGCTCGAACAGGTGTTCCAGCCTTTCCGATAGGCTCCAGACGGGTCTCCAGATGCACGAGATGTCCACGACCAAGGCCACGGTAGATGGTTGCGGTTAGGGCTGCACGATTATGTCGAACCTTGGAAGCTAGCACAGCGATTGCTGGTCTAACTGGATGTTCACGGCCCGCCGGTAAGCGAGGATTGCAGTGCATCTGCCGTCCAAGTGCGCTTGCAGAGCGTGAGAGCCCCCGTCAGTCACGCCGAAGGGATGTGAACCACCGTGGCAGGCGGACGACTGCAGTCATACACGGACATCAGCTGCAGCCATGTCTCGGAGACAGCAACGTCACGCAAAGGCTGAGGTGGATCAGAAAATAGCGTTGGAGGGCTCTGTGGAGGAGGATTGCGGAGACGGTGATAGGCTAGTCAAGGCGAAGTGGGTGCGCCGCTTCCCTTTGATGATCTCACTTGCATGCCGGGGCGATTGTTGTTCCTTGTCGTTTTTGTTCGCAGCCATGCGCTTCCGTCCGCAAAACCGCCTGTGCCCCGCCACAAGTTGAAGCCCATTCCCGACCCACCCCTTCAGCCCAACATCCCACAACATCCACCCCCCGAAATCCACGCAGTCGCAGTGTCGATACCGCCGCTCAGGACCCAGCATTCACGCAAAGCTGCAGTCACCGTGCTGTGACACGACGAGAGCAAAGACGCCGCGCGGCGCGCAGCGGGGTCTTTTTACAGCCACGATTCCGCTTCCGAGCACGCAAATGCCAGCATGGAGCCACGACGACGGCCAGAGTACCACATTGACATCTTCGCCGACCTGGCCTGTGTGAAGGATGTCGTCAAAGGTGGGTGAAGAGTCCCGCGCTTGCCGCTGCAAATCTCGACATGTCACCCCACCATGCGCTTCCTCTCTGTCCGGCAACTCGCCCCTGAGACATGGCTGACCGCTGAGCAGCGATACTACACACGATATTCTTCCACCGCTACTTCACCTCGATACTGCCGCTCACGCGCGACCTGCTCGACCTGACCCTCCCCGCCATTGACGACGTCGACCTCGAGACGCTCATCGAGCAACGGACCATGGCGCTGGTCAGGGCCATAGAAGGCACGCACCAGCAGCGAGGGCGGGGCCAGCTGGTAGTGCAGTTCTTCGAGAAGAAGCGGAAAAAGGCCTACTTCTTTGGCCGTGCCGAAGAGGACGTGTGCTGGGAGCAGTGGACGCTGGACGTGACGCTCGCGCAGCCCCGAACCGAGACTGGTACGTTGCCAGTCCATGACGTTGTGTGGGGAGATTGTTACTGACTGGGAGACTAGACGTGTTAAAAGTGCGCCGGGCCATGACCAAGTCGCTGGAAAAGGCCGCGCACAAGATCATCTCCATCGTGAACCGTGACAAGGACCACATCCCACCCATTACCACTACCGACGCGAACCCCTTCCCGTACCAGATCGTCGTGAACCCCAAGTCCGTCGCAGAGAACGACTGGCGGCCCAGGATCGGACTTTTCTAGGCACGATGTCGCTCATGGTGGACGGGGGACGACTTTTGTACATATGACTATGCACGACGTGACGAGAAAGAGGTGCTTCAACGCCCCCGGGGATGCTCGCTGTAGCGACCGAAAAGAGGCGGAAAAGTAATTGCGTTTGAATTTCACGGCCGGACCCGACTGGCCTCACTCCACCACACCCCCATTGTACAGTGCTCGCTATGTTGAGCAAATCACACCCACGGACGACGACGATACTGACCCCAAGATACGTCCATGCGTCTGTCATTTCTGTTTGCTTGCAGCAACTACACAAGATACCCATTTTCCAATAAATTCATTCAATTCATGATCCGCAAACTTTCTGAATTAGGCTCGTGCATGTTTGAAGTATCAATGTCTAACGTCTATGCCGAAACATGCTTGAAACCGTCTATAACACACGCATTTCCTCTACTCATTCGCCTTCTCCGCCCAATCAACCCACCGCTTCACCACCTCGTCCACCTTCTTAATTCCTTCCTTCGACGCCTCCACCTCAAACCACTCCTTGTGCGTCTTCCCACACGCCTCACAACTCTTAACCACCCGCTGCTCCGCCAGCTCCAAATGCACCAACCGCTCCACGCGATGCGCATGCGGCACCTTTCGCACACCGCCCGACACACGCCTCCCCGGTGATGGCGTCGGCGACGGCGTCCCACTCGACGGCACATACGGGTAATACCGCACGAGACTGAGATTATACCCACACTGCCTCGTCCACTCATTCATGCGGCGGTGCACATTATTCGCGCGTCCGATTTTCAGAAATATCGTATCTTTCTTCGCAGCACCCTCTCCACCACCACCACCACCCCCACCGCGCGTCGGTTTGACGCTATACTGCCTCATCAAATCGCTCGTCCTGCGCCCGTGATCCGGTCTCGCGGGCGCAGTCAGCAGCGTCGACGCGGCATTCGATGGTGCGGCGAGGGCTTCCGGGGTCAGCCAGAAGATGTAGATGTACCCATCCTCGTCGTGGGGCGAGATGGGCTTCGAGGCTTCGGCGAGGAGGGTGGAGGTTAGTTGCGGGGAGAGCGAGGGGGGGATGAATTGCAGGAGGCGGGAGGTTGCTGAGACGACGCGGTTGTTGAGCGGGCGAGTGGTCTTTTCTCCTAGGGGTTTCCGACCCGGGACGCTGCTGATGGGTTGGGGTGGGGGTTTTGGATGGGAGAGGCTTGAGCGGCGGGAAGGTCGTTGAGGGATTGGGACTTGTTGCATCTGCGGAGTATTTTCTGGCACAACGTGTTGGCTCGTCCGCCGCTTATGTCTCACCACCTCAATCTCCTCCTCATCCGCACTCCCACAACACAACCCCGCCCAGAAGCTTTTCTTCTGCCTCATTGGCGCGGGCTTGGGAGGCCGCGTCCGCCGCTTCTCAGCAGCCATGACGTCGCCTGGAATCGACATCAATGGGCCTTCGACATTCTCCCACGTCGGCGGGCGATTAATCCTGCGCGGCGGCCTAGATCCAGACGTCCGTCTCTTTCTCCGCGATCCCTGTTCCTGCGGAGTGTCATTGACTTCCAGCACACCAAGTCGTTCAACCAGCGTGTCGATGCTATTGCGCTCTTTCAGTGGGTAAAGCGTTGTTGCGGGTCCCTGCGCCGCCAGGCTCTCCGCCTGGTCTTTATGCTGCCAGCAAAAATACGCCGCGGCGCCGACGTCTTCCTCCTCGGAATCATCGCTGATGACTGATGTTACGGCGAGCACGCCGTTGTCCTCTGAGGCTTTGGAATCGATGGGACGCCGGCATGGACGCCCGGATTTGGTGATGCCTTTACATGTTGTCGCTGGATTTCGCGAGTCGGAGCGCGGGATTAGGGATTCCGGGGTGCGGCCTGTGAAGGCCATGGTCGAAAGTTGTCGTCAAAAGAGTGTATTGCAAAGAACAGGAATAGTCAGTCAGGAATCAATCAGGTCGTGACTCGTTTAAAAGTCGTTGGCAAGTCTCGCCTCCACTGCAGATTCACAGCCTCGATATGGCGGTGAAGCCGAAGCGAGCGAGGGAATAGCGGAGACCATTCACAATATATATTCACGGCCATGCATTCTTAAAGTTACACGGTGAGGCGCGCGAATAGGATTAGGCAGACATCGCGTCGCTGTGGGCGCGTGAGGCTGTAAAAACAGATGGCGGGTCGATGTTCGTGTGGCGCATGTGCACCGCCACGTCCGTGCTGGCGCTTAGCCTGGTTTTGACTTTGCCTTCTTCAGGATGAGAAAAGACAGCTACTTGGGTAATACAAGAGAGAAAGAGATATCTAGAAGCTTTTACATATGTTCTACTTCTCTGTCTGGTGATTCTATGTTCAAGGCTCTTCTCCCATCAGATTTCATGCAAAACTCCACGGGTTCCCTTTTCCGCTTCATGCACCTCAATTTGACCACCGCGCACCACTACCAGAATACTACGATGCCAAAACAAAAGCGCCCTGAATGCACCAAGAGTTGCTTGTTCGCGTCCAGTTTAATGTTTCATGTTCCTCTTCTGCGAAAACTCAGGCAAAAAGTTCAAAATCCCGTCTCTGCTTCCCACAGGACAACTCCACCACCACAACCTCCGTCAGAACACTCGAAAAACAAAAAGAAAGCGTATTGCATCGGCCGGGAATCGAACCCGGGGCTAGCCGAATTGATCTGTACAGATGGCAACGGCTAATTTTACCACTAAACCACCGATGCTTGTGATTTGTTGACGGAAAGTTTCCATAGCTGATTCAATATATTGCAAGAAAAACGACTCGATCCAGTGCATAAGAGTTAATAGTCGAGAGCTGGACACGATCGAGCCATGGGTTGGGGAGTTGTGTGGCAGTGTTGGCGTTGGTTGTGTAGCCAGCTAGTGAAGGTTCTGCATTGCTTGCCCCACTAAGAATTCCGCACCCTGCAGATGGGACCTAGCCATCTCAACTAAGACACTTATTTAGGTATTAAGGCACACCCATTTGCTGAAACATCTATCGCCATATGCGGAAACGGATATGACGAGTTTGAAGCATCAGTGCAGTTTTCGTCCAGGCAGCTTTAGCCTTGGATAGCTTCCCTTCCCTTGCTCCTCAGGCGCTTTTGACGACAACGAGGGTCACTCCAGCCTCCATCTTCGACTTTGCCTTGCTTTTTTCAACTTGTCACCTCGGACCGGTGAGTGGTCTGAAGCGCTGGCGGCGTCCAATGAGCAACCTTGATGCACTGCGTTGACGTCGCGGTTCGCTTAAAGCGACCACTTCCAGACGCAGATGCAGCCATGTCCTATCAACTTGCATGCTCGGTTTTGCCTTAAGGCAAAGTTGGTGAGCTAGGGAAATTCGCGATTTTGCCTTGCGCTGCAACGCTAAGTCCAGAGGGATTCAGAGCGCAAGAGATCCGTGGAAGATAAGTGTGCTGTCCGTGAATAGTTCTAGTGGGATTTTTGTACATCAGTCATCTTCCAACTCACATTGATTTCAATCGACCATGCACCCATTGAATCACTATGCCGCATACGTTTATGGCTTATGCTGCACAAGCAAAAGAGGAAAATCCATATTCGACCAGTCCATCTTGGCCCGGTACTGTTTGCCCTCCCTACGATCATACCAAGACGATAAATTCCGAAATCGCCACGGAGATGTGAAACTCGTGGGTATTTGGGATAGCCCATGGTTCCTGGGTATTCTCGAAGATCTAGAAACATCTCTCGAAGATCTAGAAGTAGAGCAGCTCTGTGATGGAGACGAAAAGACGCTGGACGATTTAGACCGAGAGTACCGAATGGAACGGCTTGAGCGTTTATTCAAGTGGTATATTCGGTTCCTTGAGAAGCTCTTTAGGGCACTCATGTTCATTTGTGTCTTTTCGGTGTTCCCAAATGAGCGTCGGCCACCATGTAAGACAATGCCTTGGGACATCCTTCCATCTCTGGCCGTACTTTGGGGTGTATGCTGGATGTTCTACACCCCCACGAATGGAACCCAAGCAGAGGAGGACTACAGAATCGGTGTGAACAACGCATTTCTCAACTTTCCTCATGGTATGTCAACTAAACAGCTATTACTTCATGTATTGATGATGCATTTAACTAATTTGTCTACAGCCTCCTTGGCCGAGAGCCCCGGTCACCAATTCCCGTTTTCTACTTATGATAGTGATCAAAACTGGGACTGGTCAAATGTCGATTTTGGATACATGACAGACCGCTTACAGCCATGGGCAATACCAGCGGAGGTGAATCCTCTGCAGAGTACCTTCGAGCCAATATCGAGCTTCGGCATCGACGCAGGCCTAGGGGTATTCACGGTGCCGTCGACAGACAGTGATGGCGGGAAAACCTTAGCGGGACACGGTATAGCCAGTGCAATGCCCAGGAACGAGTTCTCTACAGAAAATAACAGAGCGACCGGCCAGTTTGACACGGCCGATCGTCAGCATGCTCCACCTCCTGCTCCATCTAGAAGACAAAGCGCATCCGGCGAGCCGGGTCAGGTAGCATGCGTCTCTCATTCACTTGGACCCACAACACTGTCTACCCTACGACGTCGCATTCAACCTCAATGGAGATGTGACAGGACATGTTGTAATGGACAAACGTTTCGCACCCAAAGTGCTTGGAAGTAAGTGGCATCTACCATGTTCTTCACAACTTTAGCATGTGCATCAAAGCAATATTCGGCAGCAAATTGACCAATCATAGAACGCATATGAATAAACACGACCGGCCATTTACTTGTGATATACCAGGATGCTCACGAACAGAAGGTTATGGCACGAAGGGAGAGCTGCAACGGCACCAGAAAACCCATCGTTCACATCTCCTGCAAGACGAAGCGCTGTCATCGAACGACACATACTACTACTGTCCGGAGCCCAGCTGCGACCGATCCAACAAGCCATTTGCGCGGAAAGACAATCGAGACGACCACATCAAACGGAAGCATGTGAATTATTTCGACCGAGATTCGCAGAGTATGCCAAGCAACTCTATGCACCAAGAGAACGACAATCAGGTATCTGATCTCGACTTCACCCAGCAAATGGGTCCCGAAATAGCGCAACGGCCAGCCACGGGGAAGAGAAAGCGTGTAGAGACCCATGAAGCATCCGCCGCAAGCTCAACAACCGCATGCGAGGATTGCGGTAGTGTTCAGGCCGAGATTTCCACGCTAAAGCGAAGAGTGATAGAGCTGGAGGACAAACTCAGATCCTCGAAGGAGAAGGCGGAGACGCTGTCTGAGGTTATTCGAGGTGGATGGAATCGAGGAAACTAGAGATTCTGAGTGGGAAGTGAGGCCGAAAAAATGATTTGTTTGTTGCCGTTAAGCGTAACACGATAGGTTTTGCTAATAGCCACAACCTCGAGGGGTCCATTGCCGCTTCCTCAAAAATGTATTCAAACAGCGTATCTCTAAGTTCTATTATAAAGTGATATAGGCGCAGAAGATATAGGGGCGTTACTTGGAATGTGAAAAGAAAAACGCGTGTACAGTGGTTTTAATCTCAAGAAAAGGGCTGAGTTCGCCGTCCATATGATCTTCCACACATTTCCGGTTGAAGGTTTAAACACCTCAAGTCGTCAGCCAAAGAACCATTTGGGCAAGTTTGATAGGTTGGGTAAAATCATGTACTGTTGAGCTGTGCGACAGAGATCTGCAGAAGGTACTGATAACGCGGCAGAGTTGAAGCTGTAATGTGGCTTCCTTTCGTCGTGGTCCATCAACCCCTCATTACGCCATCGCTAATTCGAGAGTAGGTATTTGACAGCCCGCCCCATCGTTATTGCCGTTCCGTTGCGCATCGAATCAGAACCCGGAGCAAGGACGTAGAGTGGTGTCGTGCGATGATGTACACGCGATCATGGCCACTTGATGGCAGCAGCGATTATCTTTGGCCTGTCAGGAGGCTGTGTCGCCACTACAGCCGTTTGGGTAGGGATAAACCCGGTCGCGATGCATGTAGTCTTTCACCGGTCGATAAGCGTATAGCCTTCCATATAAAAGAAGCGTACTCAACATGGCTCCCTGTGTCCCTCTTCACGTCAAGCGCCTCGCCGAAAATATCAATACAGATATGGAGAAAGCTATTGTCGACTTCGAAAAAGAGCAATGGCGCGAGGCTATGGAGCTATTCAAGGAAAGCAGCGATAGAGACGAGAGCCGTACCGCCAGCTTCCTGAGAGAATGGGACCGACCGACAGTAGTCAAGGAGTTCTTCGAAAACACGAAGCGAAGCGCTGATAAAGAGTATTCGCCTCGCTTTGGTCGGATACTGGAGAAAATTGAGGTCGCAATGACGGCCGGCGACATCGCTATGAAGGGTGCTCCAGAATCTGTCGGGCTAGCATGGATGGGCGTCAGGATGTGTCTGTCAGCACTCACAGATGATCATACCACGTTCTGCATCTTTGGTCAGGCTTCCATGGATATACTGGGCATCATGATCTCATGCGCCGTTTTCTCCAGGATGTACGGCCCATCCAGAAATATCGAGGCGTTGGGCACGAGAGAGATTTACCTACAAGTGACGGAGCGCATTCCTAAAGTCTATGCTGCCATTCTAGACTTCTCTTTCTCCGTGAAGAAATACAGAAGTCAACATGCAGGCGGTGCGTACTAGAGAATTTTAATCCAAGGCTAGAAAGCTCACACTTCCTAGAAAGGTTCATTCGAAGCCTCCTTCGCTCTGCTACTGACAAATTCACTGAGAAACTCAAATTCATGCAAAGCCATGACGAGCAGATGAGCAAGTTCGCTACAATAGCTTCCCAGCAATTTTTGGATTACAACCAACGCGCTGTACATGATTCACAAAAGCTCATGACAAGCACTCTAGACGGCATCAAAGCGCAACTCGACGAGAACCTACGACTAAGAGAAGCCCAAGCCGAAGATTTTCACGCCCTTCGAACCTTATTCGCCGACATGAACAAAGATATGACTCCACACGACGTGGCTTTGAAACATTTCGAGCAAAACATGCGCAAACTGAAAGCCACGAGCGATCAGCGGGTTGAACTCCATGCCAAGATCGCTCGAAGACTACCAGAACAGACATGTACATGGATTTTCGATCAACATAACTTCTGCGATTGGTACGATTCAGCTAACAGCGCAATGCTCTGGATCTCAGGCGGCCCGGGAGTCGGCAAATCCATCCTCATGGCTGCAATTATCGATGAACTTCAGAGACGAGCAAGTAAGGGAGGAACGAGTGGACATGAAGTTGTTTTCTTTTTTTGCAATCGAGGAGCTGGCAATACCCGAGAAACTGATTGCATTCTGAATGATCTCTTGTCACAAGTTTACGCACATCTCAGGGAATCACCTACAGAAACACTGGACAAAGCGAACAAGCTCGTGACCCAGAGGTTAGGTGCATCTGGGAAGCAGAGTCTAGCAAAAGCAGGCGAGAGCACTAACTTTGCCAATGTCTTTAGTGCGGAGTTCGCGAATGTGTTCAAAGGTCTGGTCGCTCTGTTAGATCGCCAGGTGTTTGCAGTCATCGATGCATTAGACGAATGTACCGATCGTTCAATTGGCTTTGTAGAGACACTAAGCGCTATGGGCGATGCTTGTAATTCGCGCCCAGGACCAAAAGTCATCGTTTGCAGCCGGCCTGAGCAGGACATCCAGGACGCATTGAGCCGAGTGCCGACAATCCTGGTCGAAAACAACAACGGACCTGATATCAAGTTGAACGCCGAACGCCAACTTTCTAGCTTAAGCGGATGGTATGTGCAAGAGAAGCAACTGGCATGCGATAAGATTGTCAAACAGGCAGGTAGCTACTTCCGATACGTTGACCTGGCATTAGAGTTCCTGAAGCAACCTTGGCAACGTCCGCTGAGCACACATCTAGAACGGCTGCCCGAAGGTGTGGATGCATTCTATGAGCAGATCATACAGACCACGCCTCCAGCATACGTTGAGCTACTACGTTGTAGCCTAACATGGACAATTCTTGGCGGTGGTTCTGTTCGCGTGCCCGAGGTCATCGATGCATACAGTCAGATCTACACAACTGCAGGCATTTTCGAGCACGAAGCAGTGGAAGAAGAAAATGTTTCAGAATTGCAGATACACCAGATTCGAGCAGCAAGTGTGAACTTACTCTTGGTTGATCCGGAATCCTTGGTCATACAAGAGCGGCACAGCACTGTCTCCGATCACTTCTTGTCAAGAACTAAGAGAGACGAAGAAGCAAACCTCGATCCTGGTTCCATATGTGCGAAGTGCGAAAAGAGCGTAAGTGTTGTCAACCGCTTTGACATATCCGAGAAGTTTGGACATATCTCGATCGCGAGCACAATCTGTAAGTCGCAACCTCGCGTGCAGCAGTTGTCGCTGATGAGAAAGCAGTACAACATTTGATGAATGAGGGTTTCAGAAAAAGATATCTTGTACCCCATGAGGAGGCTTCAGCAGAAGACGAACCTACTCTCAAAGATGCGGATCCAGAACTGAGCCAGAAAACTACCGTCGGAGCCCCCGAGGTTACAGGCATAGACTGCAATGAAGCAAACGACTCAGAAGACATGGAAAAGCGCCTTGGAGAAGCACACATGGCGCAGAAACGTGACAAGCTTGATGAAAATCCAGGGCCAGATCTGAAGGAATCGATCTTCGAGGGAGACCATTCGGACCCCATATCGGACGTGGAACAAACGGATGATGAAAAACTTTTCGACCTCGCCTCGGAAATGGGCACCGTAGCAGACAGTGATGTGGATCAAGCTAGCCCCATGTACCAGCCGTTCGAAGGCAAGCTCCCAGGCGAGTTCCGCTACGAGATAACATATTGCCACTATCATTTGACGAAGGTTGAAGAGCTATGGCAACCTAGAGACAGACAGGGCTCGACGTGGCACAATTTCGAGGCACTGCGCGATGCGTTCTTCCAGGATGAGTCAGTTTTCTTCCAATCATGGTCTAACCTGTTGCAACAGGGTAACTGGGGTTGGTCGTGGCCCTCACAGGCTCTGCATTGTGCTGCAAGACTTGGCCTCACCACTCTTGTGGAGCGCCTTATCTCTAGAGGAGCTGACATATTCAAGCGCGATACCATGTACAACGTCATGGACCATGCGGTCATATACTATGGCAAAGCCAAAGAGGACGAGGTTTCGAAAGCGAACGGTCTACGTTTATTTGAAACTTTGTTTCGTGCTGGCATTGATGTCAACATGAGAGGCGAAGAAGATGGATATGAGTTCCTGACTTTTAGGTTCTTGCTGGTTCAGAATCCAGATATAGATGCAGTGGAGCTCTTCTTGAAGTATGAGGCCGATGCGACGGCCGTAAACCAGGGATCACTCATCAGTGTCTTGCACACCTGCTTACAGTTTTGTGAGAAGCCGGACGTCCTCAAAGCGATTATTTCTGCGGGTGCCAATCCTAACGCAAAGGACAGCGATGGAGAAACACCCCTCCACAACCTCATGCAAAGATCGGAAGTGCCTGAAGGTTTCTTACAGCAATTGCTTGATGCAAAAGCTGATGTCAATGAAGAAGATCTGGCATCGCAACGTATGCTAACATATCGCTACCGAATGATCTCAATCTAACCGTTACAGGTCCTCTCTTCGAGCTTTGTTCAAGTTCTGGCAATGTAACGGCCGCTCAGCTCCTGGTCAAATACAAGGCAGACGTCATGGACATCGATGTTAGGTTGCGACACTTTTTCACAGAATAATTCACTAAGTCTGGCTAGGTCAATGCTCAGACTGCACTCCACGTGGCGTGTGAGAATGGGCACAAGAATTTGGTCATATTTCTCATCGACAACGGCGCGAAGGTTGACGCCCTCGACGCACAGAACCGCACGCCATTCTTCCTTTCTTGCTGCGCCGATCACGACGAGACCGCACTTTACTTAATCAACCATATTAAGCAATCCGACGAAAAGGTCTTTAGGCTTCCTTCAAAAGACGGCAAAACGCCTTTGAGAAAAGCTGCAGCGAAGGGGCACGAGACGATCGTGCAAGCGCTGTGTGAAAAACTTGGCTACGACAATTCCATCCTCAATGAACAAGACATTAAATACCAGCAGACTCCACTCCATGTTGCTGCACGTAACGGAAGAAAGGGCGTGGTCGAATGTTTGCTGAAAAACGAGGTTGCAACTAACCTGAAAGACAAGTTTGGGCGCACGGCACTTGCAGCCTGCCTAAGCGGATGGATGCCGACTTCTTCGGGCGATCACCAGGCAGTGTGCATTTTGTTGATCGATGCTGACAATGATAGTAACATCGATAATGGCATCCTTCAAGGTGCGGCTATGAAAGGAGTTCTCCCGATTTTGGTAAAGCTACTCGACAAAGGGGCTGATCCTAATCGTCCTGATGAACATGGCTGGACAGCCATCCAGACGGCTAGGCAATATGGGAAAATGGAAGCTGTGGAACTCTTGTCGTCCCGCAAAGTGTCTACAGCACTGCGCCCGACTCGCCTTCGATTATCAAGGCGTAAGGATTCCAAATCAATGCCGTCGCCTGGGCTTTCGGGTACGCCAGTGCATTCCCGTCAGAAAATTTAAGTAATATGCTTACTCAAGTGGGCAGCCACGGACTGCTTGGCGATTGCAGATCACCCAGTACCTGTAGATGTTCCTGGCTTCTACTATGAGGTACTAATCGAAGGTTCCGCAGAGGTCTCGGATATTACCATGTGAGTACGTTATCCGTTATTGTTTGAGAATGGTAACCTAAACTTTGCAAAAGCTCTGCACGATTTGGTCTATGCGCGCATCAAAGTCCCAAAGAAAAGTACTGGGCGCCCGGAGATTTCCCGTACCAATCATGGGGATGGGATGGAGGGTCTGGACGGCAAAAATGTTACCCAAGTAACGACAAGACCGAACTTCGCACGATTGATGTAAAGTTCGGCAAGGGTGACGTGGTGGGTTGCGGTGTGGACATGACTTGTCGGTCAATGTTCTTCACCAAGAACGGAAAGCTCGTGTCCCACACCAAAGCGGGCAATCTGCACACGTACTACTCGTTCACAGAGGTCTCTGGCAGGGTGTATCCGGTCATTCTTCCTTACATTGGAACAACGGTTGTGGTCAATTTTGGTAACGGCAAGGAAACGCCTCTTTTGTGGTTGCCAGGAAACGACCGGGATGGAGGGGTGCACCATGTTGCACGAGAAGAAGAGGAATTGAACAAAAAACTTCCTCGACGTGCTACTGCAGCGTTGTGAGAATTCGGCGGCCGCTCTTTTCTCCCTGTAACTTTTCAGGATGAAGACGTACATACATACATATCCTTGGTGCACTGCTTGTTATGTAAATGAGAATGAGCTCAATGTTTCTCGGACCGCTTGATTAGTGCGGTGCTATACAAACCAGTGTGGTTTTGGGCTCTTGTTCAAACTGGTTTAGACATCCTCATGTCTCCGTATGACGACAAGCATTCCCTAACGTACCCTGTGTGGCTGTGAGAAATGACATGCCAGCTCTACGCAATAATAGAATGGGGTCGGGAAATACCCTCTCCAGCTACAAGATCCCTAATGATATCGCTCCTTGATCATCCATGCTTATCTGGGGAAATGGCTTTTCTACGTGCATGATTGTAAGATAAAGCTCTTAAATCAGTAATAGTACTTGGTAACGTATCGGCCAGGGACGATACTGTCAAGCTGCCAGGCTATTTTTAACGTAGCCTACATATTGCACCAGCGCTTCCATATTGTTTCTAAAAGCAACCGAGTGAGGGCGCATATATCCCCGCTGTAGAAGGGAAAGAGCCTGTTGTTACCCCATTAAAGGGTTTTTGGCGTCCAATTAACATCCGTTCTGCATCGTGTCGTTCTGGCGTCGCTTATCGCTCGAGGAGACCAATCACAGCTATAGATGCAACCTTATCCTATCATGTTGTCCACGATATTGCTTGGATGCACATAAACCAGCCACGCAGCAGTGGGCTTTCGCCTTGTGCAGTGGGGTAAGGATGAGGTTAGAATTAGGTAAACCTCATCGGATCAAAACCTCCTTGAAGTTGCACCATGGAAAAGATGTAGATAAGCACGTCCTCCATGACGCTGCATTGTATGCTTCATCAAATTTTTATGTCTTTGACAGCTTTGCCGCGTGAAGGTAATGAGACTAAGTTGAGGTAAGTGTAGTAAAAGGAGAAAGAATACAGGCCTATTTTACAATGTTGATAATCATGAATAATCGTCTCGCCATTCAATTATTTCGCAATAACGTTGCTATTGAGCAAGGCTAGTTTGAGGTGTGCATACTCTTACTGGTCCAAAAGCCCGCATGTCATGTCCTGCAAGCGATGATGCTTGCCCTGAGGAAGCATACCTAAACTCAATTGATTGAAACAAACAAGGGTACACTGAAGGCGCTTCACACCTGGCTCATAAAGCCATCAGTGCTCCCTGCCTGTTTCCCTTGACACCAGAGAAATTGAGTTACCTTACCATACAAGCATCGTCAATATTGCCCACACCAACACACCAGCTCTTTCAACCCCTGACTATACGATTGTTGCCCATAACTTTGCCCATCCACAAATATCGATCCCAGCCATCCGAAGGCGGCTCTTGCATCGTACGGCGCCAATGGACTGGTCGTGTTCGGACCTGCAATGCGTCGTGTCGTTCTCTTACAATATCGCCGCGACAATTATGCGCGACATATTCCGTCCGCCTCTCGTACGCGATACCAAATCACTCTCGAGGGCTCTTGTGTTGCATCAGCTTCACCTAGCCACATACGAGACATTTGGTACTGCTCAGAATGTGACACCAGTCGGCACTGCTCAGAATGCGACACGAATCGAGGCTGTACCAACCTCAATAAAGATCTGTTGTGACACCCATCATACTTGTTGTGACGAATCTAGTCATAGCTCCAAGGTGGATTTGTTGTAGGAAATTATGACCACATATCGGCAGTCTCGAAGTAAGCATACATCGAACAAAGTTTTGAAGCTCATGAGACAAAACTGACTTACATCATAGTCCGCGATTCAAGAACCAACCTTGAAACATGCCTTTCAGTATTTCTTATGTTTTTCCTTCGGTACTTCCAAGGTTGATTCTTCATGTTAGATTCTGAACACAGTGTGGTGTTCTCCTATGTTTTCCCCTGCCCCAGTAAGATTGCCAGCCTTCCGATGCTTCTTTCCAAATTTCCAACATGCAACCTCCCCCACGGACCCTTTTGGCTACTTTTAGTGCGACTGTACGATACATGTGACAACATGAATCATACAGTCTTGTCTCTCTTACAGCACATTTCCTACAAGACAACCGCGGACTGAGCGCGACAAAGTACCCTATGCAGCCTGGCCTTCATCGCCAACAATGCCAACACACACCAGAGGTTCGATTGTGCGTCCATATCGAACTGGCAAGTAGATGCACAATGCAGACAAGACAATCGTCCAGGACCATGACGACGGAAAACTCTTGTGGAAAACAACTCATAACCTCAATTAACAAAGCATTGTGCACCTCGGCCTACGTCCCTCTGCATACTCAATCTATACAACTGCGATTGAAACACGATCAGCATCCAAGTCCACAATCACCGCCACGAAAGCACTCTCACCCTAGCTGCAACCTCACCATCATATACACTCTTCCTATTTGCAACACATCAGCAGCCAAGCGTTGTCTCTACAAATGTCGTCATATTATGCCTTCTCCGGGACCGCCGAGTCTTCAGGAGTTGTCCCGACGATGCTTTTTGAACTCCAACTGAACATTGAATTCAGAAAGACACTCGAAGGCAAACGTCCATGCAACGCTGCAAATACCGACAGGGACTCTACCCCGGCATCACTTCCACATCAATGTCGTGATGCCAAGTGCGATAGATCTGAGCTCACATTGCCGTCAACGCCCTGCGATATCCACCCTCCCACCACATCCACACCTAACACTTCGTCGTCATCATCACCACTATCATCGACCCCATCAACCAACGGCACCCCACCATGGTCAGACACCTCCTGCAGCCCCAACTCTACCAGCTCCGCACACTCCGCGTCCACGCCTCCAAGATCAGCAAGTCCCGCACCGCCCCCTCCACCCTTCACGCACACATGTCCCACTTGTGGCCAGTCCTTTCGCCTCCCAGGACAGCTAAACAAGCACTGGTTCAGCAAGCACAAACGGCGCTTCTCCTGCGCCGTACCAGCGTGCGGCAAGGCATTTCATCTCCGCGCCGACCTGACCCGCCACACCAAGAGCAGACACACCGCGTACGCGGGCACGCGGTGCGAGCACGCGGGCTGCGCGGAGACATTTTCCCGAAGAGACAACATGATGCGCCACATCCGGGAGGAGCACGAACATGGCGGGAGGAAAAGAGCCGGATCGAGAGGAAGTTTTATATGATGTTGATGTTGATGTGATGTGCACCAGCGTTCTTTTCCCCTAGGATTTGTAAACCCAATTTTACGTAGATTACGAATTTCCTTGAATATTATCTCCTTGATACTTTAGATTTGGCTTGGGATGTGATTACATGGTACACGCACGGCTAATCAGGCGAATTCGGCAGTGCATTTGAAATCCTCAAACGATGATATACAGCAGAGCTCTCAAGCGCGCAGCAGAACAGCTAAGCCAGTTTGCAAAAAAGCACTGGAGGCGGTGTTGACAGGAGAAACTGCACATAGAATGAGTTCGAGCTGTGAGAGGTGCTGGTAGTAACACAAAGGCTGGGTTTATCAAACGGCAAACGCACCTTCAATCCAAGCTGCGCGGAACGCTCGATACGCGATTGCTGAGTGACGACGTTGAAAGCCGACATGCATGAGCGGATAGGTTTCTTGAATTGGACCTGGAGCCATGTCATGAAGGAAAGGCATACACTCCGTGTGGATATCAGTGTTCACTCCAAGTCTGCAATGTGACATCACGTGCTTTCTCCAGTCTCAGGCTTGTAGCCATGCGCGGGATGAATATCAAATGCTACGTCTAATATTGTATATGCATCCCACGAGAACAGAACGCCTCGCTAATCAAACGCAACCCCGCATAGCCCCTTGATCTTGACAAATCAAGACTTATGCAATGCAATAAAGCAATATTTAACAACTGCCGCTGCTAGTCCACCATATTTACATAACCGCACACTCGCGATCCGGGCGATTCTTCTCTTTGTGTTTCGCCTTGTCTAAAGCTTCACCGGGCTCCTTGCTTTTACTCCTGGACTTGTCCTTCTTCTCCTTCTTGCTCTTACTGCGCGACAGAGTTCCGTCTTTCTTCTCCTTCGTGGGACTCTGAATGTTTTCGTTGCTGATTACCTCGTCAATGACGATGACGGGGTCATCCGAGGTGGCTGATTCGGTGACGATGAGCTTGTCCTTGCTGCCGCGACCGGTCAGTCTCGACAGGGTGAAGGAAAGTCTATTTTCGCCGCTCGGACTGCTTGGTCGACTTCTGTTGGTGCCGAAAATGCGCGAGCCCCGGCGGGATATAGAAAGAAAACTGTTCTTGTGTTCGTCGGGTGTTGGTGGTGCTGTGCGGCCGCGGGAGAAGCTTCGCGCACTTCCTTCGGTGTCATCGATGGCAGTGCTGCTTCGCCGGTTGCTCGAAAGGCTGTTCCGACTTATGGGCTCTTCCGAGAAGTTGGACACGGTTCTTGCATGGAACGGGGCAGTTGGTGCAATAGTGTCCCCGTCTTCACCTGCATCCGTGTCGGTGGCCGCGGCTGAGGCAAGAGTCTCCCTAGAAGGATCCATCGAGGGAAGGCCGCTTTGCAGTTCGTATGCTGGCGGATCTCCTCTCATTGCCAGCTCTTCATCAATGGGTTGAACCTGGTAAAAAAGGAGATACGGAGACTCTTCTCGCAAAGCCTGTTTGATGTCTACTTGGGCGACTCTTGGGTTGGCCAGGTCGTCGAATCGCAGCCAGCTTTCCGCAATCTCGCCTTCTCCTGATTGAGATGTGCCTGGTCTCTCGTGGTCATTGGCACGGACTAATGAAACATAGTGACCGGAGTCGACAGACACGCCACGATGGCAGACTACAGATTGGAGAACTAGCTTGAAGTTGCCAAATAGCGGGCCCTCGTCTTTCATGCGCTCGTCAGATATGAAATGTGGCAAGCCTATCTCCAGCGGTATGTCGATGTAGGTTTCCAAACGCTTTGGTGATCCATTTGGTGTCATGGTGTATCGCTTGAGACAAATGCCGAGAACCGGGCGCTTGACTGAAAAGTGCGCCGCTACTTGGGCATCACTCTTGGGTACGTTATCGGTATACCACGCTAGATCACGGTTAGAATGAGTTGCATTTTGAGAGAGAGCACCCACGGATTAAGCTGAAGAATTGCCATGCAGGCATCAGAATCTCCTTCCTAAGCAGAGAAGCAGACCTCGGGCGACCATTGGAACTGCTGTCCAACATTTCTTGCAAGTGTGCCTTCTCGTTAAAAGCCTTTTCTTCTGGCGTCTTTTGCGCAAGCCTTTGGCTAAAAATGCTGTCCGCACGCCGCCTTCCGTCGAGCTGGGGTCGAGTTGGCGTGGCTGGCGTTGTGTGTTCCATTGCAGTCGGTGTTGCTACAAGTGGTGACTCGGGCCCCAATAGCTCAACCGTCTCGATGTGCAGAGTTTCACTCTTCTCTGGGTCTCTTTCTACAGTAGACTCGTTTGTTGACTTAATCGAAGCTATCGTGTTCTGCCGTTGCAGATAACGTTTGACCTCGATACGGTTGTTGAAGTAGGTCTCGAGACAGTCTTCGAGTGTGATGACATGGTCGCCGTCTTGCTCTGGAATCGCAACTTCGAGAAGGCGCTCGTTGACAAACCTGTGGTCGTCCTCTTTGTCTTCGCGCCCCGTGTGGTATATATCCATCTTCAAGGTGAGCAGTGGTAGCTCAAGCACGCCTGTGATGAAAGTGAAAGCTTCGGATGCGTCCTGCTGACAGATTTCAGCAGCTTCTTCCCAGCCACACTTGGCCAATGAATCTTGTAGGTGCTGTGTCTGGCGCATGTGTTAGTTTTGACCACGCCAGCGAAGATGCTGACATACAAGCTCGACTCTGATGAGCTGACCAGTACGCAAAAGATTGACCCATAAGCGCAAGACTGCAGCGAGCTTCATCCGTGGCTCGTCTTCAAAATTGTCGTACAGCATGGCTTCAAAGCTGTCGAGGCGGGCGAACATGGCGAAAAGCAGGGCATCCAGATAACATGTGACCATATTTCTGTTTATAGCTCCCAGCATTTGGACATTTGGATCATAGTCCTTCAGCTCTCCCTCGAGCGACTCGTTCGCGAGGACCAGAATATCGTAAGCCTTGTCGATGTCATCGGGACTCCAAGAAAGAGCATATTGGGCCTGTTCCTCTCGCATGCGCGTTATACCGGCTCCATGGAGGCGGGTGAGGAGCATCTTGACCTGCAAAGGTCAACGATCGAAGACGGACGAGTCTTCGGTCCGACGCACCTTCTTCTCGGTATCCTTGTCCGCTGCGGTCTCGGCGTCCTCGTTGGTGAAGATGGTGTAAAGGTCTGGAGAGGCATGATTGGAGAGGCGCGACTGTGAAAACAAAAGGTTAGAAATACGGCGTGCGGATATGCAGCGTTGTGAATGTTACAGATGCGCGATTCGGTGAGCTTCGGTGGAAGAATAGGATACCATCCTCCACCGACGACCAGAGCGCATACGGAAGCTTGTGGTATAGCGACTCGAGGCTTTTTGAGTGACGTTGATGGCCATGCCGCGGGAACTCGGTCGGAGGCAGCAGCGGCGTCAAGGAACTACATGAAGCTGAAGGAGACAGGCGTACTTTACTGGGGGTGGCCTTGGACGAGCGCTTCTCATGGTGCTTGTCACGACGGCTGAGGAAGCGCGAAACGCCAGAGGTCTTCATGGTGGTGTAATGTACCCATGCAGGCTGGAGACGGCGGCAGGGTTAAGACAGAAATCGTGGGGAATGCAGCCAACGGGGGGAGCGTGAAGGGTGAGGCAGGTGCAGACAGGCAGGTGGGCAGGTGGGGGACGACACGCCGTGGTGTGATGACACGCGGCGCACGGGTCGGCGGTCACGGTGAAGCTGTGGCAGATCAGGTGACGGGACGGGAACGCGATCGGGGGCGACGCAGAAGAGATATTCTTCTCCAATTCCTCAGCCGCACACTCGATGGTGAAGCGCAGGCGCATGCAGACACACGGTGGTGGACGAAGGCAGATGCGGGCAAGACACGCGCCCATTGGCTGCAGTCGGACGGGGTCTGGCCTAGACTCTCGCCAAGACATCGAAAAGTGCATTCGAGCGTGGTGCATCCACATGGGCACCGCATCCCAAGCCGACGTCAGCGAACAATGGCCCTGCGCGAACTGCCATTGCGGACCGCCTCTGCGCTGAGCAGAGATGCGAGGCCTATAGTATGTGCGGCCCTGCCACTATGTCGCCGCAATGCCTCGACCGACGCCGTGAAAGAGGTGGAATCTGCATCGTCACTGGTAGTGCCACCGCCATCAGAGGAGCTCGTTAAGAACTTCGACCCTGTTGCGCGGAGTAGACTGCGCCGGAGAGGCAAGAAAGAGTTGCCGCCCAGCAGGTGCGAAAGAGCGGTCACGGGAGCCATGTGACCACCAGCTAAGGGACTACAGATACCAATACCGCTCGCCCAAGTACTACCGCGGGCCTCTGCACCCCCATCAGCCGCCGCCCGTATCTGATCCTGCATCGCGAGCATTCCAGCCCGGCCCTTTCAGTCTCCCCCGTCTGGAGCAGACATACCAGAGCACCATCGCTTCCGACCTGCTCAGCCTCACATACCAACACTATCCGCCCGGCTTCCGCGCGCCCAAGAACGAACAGCGCCTACGAGAATGGACCGGCGACTCGCCATACTACAAGAACCGCCCGCTCAGAGGTCCCAGAGGGAAGGGTGAAGTCCTTCGCCTGCTCAATGAACCTCGCACCTTCCGCAATATACCCAAAATCACAAAAGTCGTCGTTCACTCTTTCGTACCCGAGGCGCAAGAGAACAGTGGCAACCTGCATGTAGCCGGCATGATCTTGCAGGCCATTACCAACGTACGCGCCAAGTCACATCGGGCGCGCCACAATGTAGTCGGCTGGGGACTGCGAGAGGGCAGATATGTCGCCGCCACAGCCACCATGGAACACCAAAACGCAACCGAGTTCCTCGCCAAGCTCATCGATGTAGTCCTTCCCAAGATCAAGGAGTGGAAGGGCGCAAAAGGCTCATCAGGTGATGGCCATGGAAACATCAGCTTGGGTCTCACCCCCGACCAGCTTGCTCTGTTCCCTGAGATTGAGGTCAACTATGATGCGTACGTCTACCTTTTCCTGACCACCCGTCGCACCACTGACAACAGCCAGATACCCCCCGAAGATGATCCCTGGTCTGCACATCACCATTTGCACAGACGCCACGAGCAACAAGGACGCGCGCCTGCTGCTCCAAGCAATCGGCCTCCCATTTTATGGCAAACTGAACGACTAATGCACCAACCTCTGTACAAAACCTGTAAACTGCACTTTGAATGTACATTGTGCTTCACCCAAGTCCGCGTCTTTGTCCTCATGTGACTCCTTCGTTTCTTCCCCTGATCCCATCGCCAGCTCTGTATATTTCTACACAATGCACACGAAGCCCTCGTGCTGCAGCAGACATGATCTTGAAGTCGCACCACCGCGAACAAATCTACCAAAGCCAAACCATCCCCCATTTCACCGTGTCCTCTCCCCTCCCCTCCCCTCCCCTCCCCTCCCGCCAAACGCGTAGCATGACCAGAAACTGCCTGGAAATCGTGAAGCTCACGCCCAAGGTCACTAAAAACTCCTCCAGAAATGCAGATAGACTAGCAAATACTAGTTGTGCACCGCATGCGCAAGTTCCTATTGCGAGGGTAGGGGGGGGGGGGGGGGGGGGGGAGGTAAGGATCTTGTATGACATGCTGATTCGTGCACCGTGGAGTTGTTGACTGCCATCACTTCACGGAAAATAGCTCGGGTAGTTTCAGCAAAGTGAAAATTGCATAGTTTTTCGTACCCCATCTGTCATCTGGAAAATTTACTTGCGTTGAGAGATGATTGCTTTGCTACGCACATGGCAATCCACCCTGCCCGATTATACTATCAGGCTGCATTCATCTTCCATCTCTCTCCGATGCACCGCCACACAATCGCAGCGTATGCTCCGTCTAGCCAACAATCTCGGCACGCCACTCCGCACGTGACTTGCTCGCGTGCTTCTGGATATGCCTCTGCGCCTCCTCCTTGAACTGAACTTCGTCCCAATGGTAGTTGAGCGTCACGACAGTGTTGATCGGGTCGCTGAACTCGGGCACCAGCAGAAGCGAGTAGATCGTGTCAAGCAAGTCCTTGTTGCTAGTGTCGACCGTCCAGTTACGATCGAGGATCGAGTGGCAAATGCGTCCGTGGCGATTGATGTTAGGGTGGTAGATCGGGGTCACGAAGCGAGCTGTAGGTGCGAACATGGGATAGTCGGCGCCCATGTCGATGTACAGTAGGAACGTGCCACCAGCATATGTGCTCTCTGGGGGGCCTTGCATAACCACCTTCCAGAAAGCCATGTTGGACTCGTTGATGTAGACGTCGTAATCCGAGTGAGCATGTGCGCCGGAATTGCGAATTTCGGTGTGCAAACGATTGAGCCTCAAGTTGCCGTCTGTACGAGCCTGAGTGGATTGTTTGGCAAAGGTCCCGAGCTCCACAAATTCCTCTGCTAACTGAGGGTGATCCTTACGCTTTGGGTAGATATCTTGACTGACACGTTCGACCGACACCTCTGCACCAGCCTTAAGGAAGTTGGATTGCGTAGGGTAAGCATGAAACGCGTCTCTGAACCGGCGATGAGCAGATTCAACTGGCTCTGGCCTCTCGAGACTTGACAATACAGGCTCAAGCTCACATATTGCCATAGCTTCTTCGAGCGTCTTGGGCTCGAAGGTATAGCCCTTTGTGAGATAGGACATTATCTGTAGACTCTCATTGCTTGCGTCGCCTAGACAGAATGAGTCAAGCATGGTTCCATTTCGGCACAATCTCGAAGTCACGTTGACTTTATCCTGATTGGACTTGGTGTCTTCTCCATCGGAGATGCAGATGATTCGCAGTCTAGCCGTAGGATATTTCTCGGCGTACGTTTGAAGCTGATCCTGCGCAAGCGCGATGCCTGAGGCATCGGGTCAGTTATTGTTTAATATGGTTCCAAGAGCTTACTTACTGTCCCAAATGGCGGTGTCGCCCGAGGCTAGCATGTTGTTGAGCTTGTGTCGGAAGTTTTCCACAGCATTCGTAATGGGCTGAGCGACGGAAGCCTTACTCCCGAAGGCCACAAGACCAATATGGGTTTGGAAGTTATATGCCAGTAATCGGTTGATGAAAGCATCAAACATTTGCTTAAGCACATCAAGACGGCTCAAATGGGGGCTCTTGACCACATTTGAGGAAGATGATTTGCGATTGCCCAGAATGGTCAGCTTGAACACCAATGGCTGGTCCATACCACGGCCGCTGCGTGCTCCGCTCTCATCAGCCTTCGCAACGCACGGTTCTTCCGTCAACCCGCCGGTCGAAATATCTTCGTTGAAGTAATTAGAGAGCCGCTCCCAAGGACCGTTGATCGTACACCCAGTGGTCTCACCGTCGCCGACATCCACGAGGCAATACCACAGATGGAAAAAGCCTTCCACAGAAGTCCCTGGGCTCGTTGCAAGCTTTGCACGATAATATTTGAAGACCGACGAGCCTACTGACCGCGTGGTATTCATCGGTTCCCAGTATGACACGACCATCTGCCTAGACGGCCATCCATAGACTTTCACAAGACAAATCTGTTGCATGACACCAGAAGTCGCGGATGATGCCGTCTGGGGGTCCGTAGGCGTGATGAAGACCGCGTTACTGGGGATGAGAGCGGTGATAATGGTAGCTTCAGAAGAAGCGAGACGTGCGTTACGATGTTGTAGCTCGAAACTGAAGTATCGTCCTTTGGTTAATCTGAACGCAAGCTCCCACAGCTCTGATAACTTGAGTCTACGTGGTAGAAGCAGTGACCAGGTATCAAGAGGCGACTTGAGCGAGACCCGCATCAAATGGGTGTTCCCACGGAGATCTTGGTACTTTGAAGTAATGTCCGCACCCCTCAAATACTGCGCGATCTTCTCTCTCATCGGAAGGTTTGGCCGGAGATCGAGGTTGGAAAGCACAAGATTCGTGAGGGGCGAGGTTTCGTTGGATTGAAACCATCGCTCAATGTTTCTGCGCTCGTAGGTGAAGTTGTCTTCGGTAATGACAGGATCGTCCATGATTTCACTGCCAATATGACAACAATACTCCCTGGGAACACGAAAATCTAGTCGTGAAGTGGCTCCCTGTTGCAACTTCATCGGTATCTTGGGTATAGGCTGTCCAGGTCGCCAAACTAGGGGGTCTGCAGATGCGTCTTCTGTGCCCAAACAGGTAAGCAGCCAAGCGCATATGAGTGCTTTGTATTTCTGCAGTCGCAATGACCGATTCTTTACAGTGTTCAGTTCAAGTTCGATATCGTTGGCTTTCATCCTGTAGTTATAGTGAGTGGTGCGGTTTCGAAGCTGTTCAAGCTCTTTAGTCTTGGCCTCAATTTTCAGTCCGTCAATTTGCTGAATGATCTGTAGCACCTTCTCGGCGTTCCGTCGACGCTGATAATTGCTGTTACCGGCGCGAGTGATGGCTAGGAAGTCCTCGAATGACTCATGGTTCCTCAAATACTCTTTCAGCTCGTCAGAATCGGGCAGATGGAACCCAGGGTTTTCAGTCATCGTTGCGCTTGGTGCTGCTGTCCGACTGCTGTTGATCCGCGCGTCGGCATCCTCACTGTCTTGCACGTCTACGAAGCCGCATCTAGAAAGCATGCTGCGGCTCAAATCGACACAAATAACGGCGACCTCGTCTGGCACGATCACTCGGCGCTGCTGATCGCCATACGCCTCAAAGATATCGGTCCCGTCTGCCTTTCGCTGAGCCAAAATAGGTTCAAGCAATTGAGTGATGATGGAAACATCGACGCTGTCCTCTTCCCTTAAACTTGTTGGCCTGAATAGTAGGATATCCCTACCTGCTTCCGCGCAAGCCGCGCGACCGATGTAAACAGCCAACGAGCCGTCACGGTCTAACGTTAGCACCGGAGGCGTCGCAGAGGGCAATGCTGACGGAGGAACGACGCCCAATTGATTCCGCGCGCATAGGCCTGCGAGATATGGCAGCTCTGAGTACTCTGCTGCAGCAATGACATGATTGACGTCACCTTGGTCAAGATATCGGACACTCGTGCTGACAGCATCAAGATTGAATCTCAAAATCCGAGCTTTTGTGCCTCCCGAAAGTGCTGCCATGCGGCTCCATGCTGCGTCAAACGTGGAGGATCTCGCAGTGTTGTTGTGGTTCGTCCATGTGATGAGACCGCCATGCTCGAATGCTTTGAAAAGGCCGGATTCGAGCAAGCCTGCTTTAGTCTGCACTGGAACTGAGAGTACGGGCTCCATAGTGATCATGTTACGAAGATCGTACACACTCATACCAACGTACGGCAAGCTTGAGGCATTTTTGGTCTTTGTGATCTCTAGGTTCTTGGCCTTTTCAAGGATTAAACCAAAAAGCAGCCTAGAACCTTCAAAGAAGCGCAAGGGGTCCGACCCAACGACTTGCAGGGGAACCACGGACTTGAGCACTTCGTATATAGATTGAGCCAACGCAGCACGCTCCGCCGACGGTGGTGTCTCGCCACGCATGAGAATGTAGATTGCTCGAACCGCTGGCGGAAATTGGGTGAGCAGGTAGATCATGTGTAATACGGCGTCCTGTCGTTCATCTTCCATGGCCCGGCCCGAAGTGAGGTTGGTGAACACGCGCAGAGTCGATAACAGACTTGAAATGCCCCGGTCTGATTGACCATGCGGGTGTTCCCACGCAGCGGATTTTTGAAAGATGCCCGCCTTGCCATCGGCAAGCTCTTCTTGAGGATCAGTCCATCGCTGGACCGCATAGATGGTCAGAATGCTGTCTACTGCGCAGTCCTCTAAGCCCGCTTCGGCCAAAGTAACGCTGCCATTGTGCTCAGTTACATTGATAGGGCACTCTGACGTGTGTAGATCGACAATAAGCTCACGGCCGTCGAAAACTGTGTTTGCTGATGTGGGGTCATGAGCAGCATGACGCCGTTTCGAGCAGATGGCCAGAACCGGAGCTTTGATGTATTGCTTGTTGTCATCGGACTGCGTTGGCAGTGCGACACCGCCAATGAACGTGAGCACCTTGTTTGGCTGCATCAGCTCTTGTGCAGCTTCTTCGAAATGGGATGTGTAGGGTCCGTCGACGGGCACAGCAAGTATATCATGACTGCCATGTACAATGACGGCGGTGCGCGCAGCTTCGTAGTCTTCTCCGAGGACGGCATGCTCATCGATCTTCTGGGCCAGCATGCAGTTGCACGCAAGATCCGGACAAATGCCATCGTCGGCAGGGAACCCAAGGTGCACTTGGACTCGTGCCTTAAGTTCTGTCAGGGTGCAGCTGAGGGGAATAACATCAAGCAGAGGGTCGATTCTGTCGATGCGGCTGTTCCTAGCTGACTCAGGACTGACCACGCGGATTTTGAGTGAAGGAACGTTGGCGGGAAGCGGGCCGTTCGGGCTTTGCGAGTTCTGATGAGGGAGATGGGCCTGCAGTGTGTTTTAGTCGTGTAAATAGATGTGTTAATCATTTTGACCTACGGTGAATGCCTGCAAGGCTTCGAAAACAATTACGACGATCTCTTTCGCTCCTGGAAGGACATCCTGGAGGGCGTCGCCAGGATACAGCATGGGCCCGTCTGCGTCTTCCAAATGCAACGTGGCATCCGCATCTTTGATGCCGGCAAGCTCTTCTTGACCTTTGAGGCTGAAAAGCCGGTTCTTGACAGCGCCGATCAAAGATGAGCAGGGTTGTGTAGGTGAGAGCGGAACGAGGAAACTGCCCTTGCGTTCGCCAGCGACGAACTTGACAGTATACCTCGCCATGTTAGACATGGTGCGGCGGTTGAGGTTGAGATCTTGGTGGGGAGAAAAGAGAAGAAGAAGACAAGGCGGGGCAGGTGCAGTGGGTGCTGCTGGGGTGGAAGGCGCGCGTAATCACGTGCATGACGCGTTTTCGGGAAGTCGCAGGCGCGCTCAGGTGAGAGAGCGGTGCCGCAAGCAAAAGAAGACACAGCAATTGAAAGCAGACAATACATGGATGAGAGAAAAGTAAGTCAACTCGTGACACTTAAGCTTGACAATTCACCTGAAAGCATTGCCCTGATATTAGGCCGTATTCATCGACGGTGAACATACTACTACGCAGGGCAAGATATCACTAAGTTAAATCAGTATGCCCGGTGGCCCAATGAACAATACTGTGGAGGCTACTACATGGTGCCAGAAATATAGAGGATGGGGAACCGGTCGTGTTTAAGGTCAGTGAGGTTTGGCGGCTTGGGGGAGGGAGCCCGGCGAGGTGAGGTGTTGGGTGGTGAAGTATTCTAGGCCTAGGGCGCCGCGGTTGAGGTCTTTGGGAGTCCACCGCACCGCTTTGCTGCAGATTTGGATCCGTGGGCTCACCATGTAGATGACTAGCCGCGCTGAGGCGTCATAAAGATGTGATGTACTACCAATATAGACAATGTGAAAGAAGAATTGAAAAGGTCTTTACGCTATAGATGCCTTGCAGCGCTGGTTGATACAGGTCTAATGCAGTTCTGCGACGGCATGTCGTAACTAGATTGTAACCGGTCCACGGAATTATCACCGAACATAACGAGATGAGAATTGACATTGAAACATTGAAGTGAGGGAGAAACGAGTGAGCAGGTGAACGCGACGTGATGTGGTATGCGCTAAAGTGGATTCGAGCTTATCGATAAGCGCGCCTTCCACAATTCATTCCAAGTGTCCACATCCCTCCACATCTCCGCCAACGTCGCAACATCTCACGACACCACAACTTGTGTCCCCTACACCTCCAAACCCACAGTTGGCCATACTCTATCCAAACCTACAGCACCACAACCACCCACCATGGAGTCGCCCGACACCTTCACCCTCCTCCCGCTCGAAATGGACCCCTCCACCAAAACCATATCCGCATCCCACAGCGCGACGAACGCACTCAACGCCGAACTCGAAGCGCTAAACGCCCTGCACCGCAACCTGCTCAATGTCGAAACACCCACGGGCACGCCCCCACCTCCCGTCCCCGTCAACCCTAAGCGCTCCGCGCAAATCGGCAAGCTGCGCGAATCCGGTAACGCCGAGTTCCGCAAGGGCAACCACGGCAGTGCAGTCAAGCTGTATGGTCTCGCGATCGACATGGCGCTTGGCAGGCCATCATGGGAGCCGTCAGGGCTGGTGCGCGAGGAAGTCTCGAGCCTGTTGAGCAATCGCGCGCAAGCGAATATGGCACAGCAGCTGTGGGCCGAGGGCGCGATAGACGCAGAAGCGAGCGTGGAGATGAAGAAGGTCGGCAATGCGAAGGGGTGGTGGAGGAGAGGCAAGTGTTTGCTGGAGATGGGCAGGTTGGAAGAGGCGGAGCAGTGGGTTAAGCAGGGGCTGGAGTTTGAGGCAACGGAGCAGGATCTGGTGCAGTTGAAGGATGAGATTGAGAAGAAGAAGGGCGGTGCTTCTGTCTAGAGGGTGCTGTGTACATATGGGCTTTGATTATGCGCGCGGCGTAACGGCGTTGAAAAGGCCTGGCAACCGGCTTTTTGAGCATTGGAATGGCGCTTTGAGATTCCTTCATATCCGGAGATTCTGGGATCAATAAACACACTTCGCACCTATCTGTTCGTCCTACGTAGCCCCACTACGGCCAAAATACACCCTTGCAACCTTCATACGCCCGAGCTTCGAAGCTGAAAGCCCGGGAGAACCAGTGAGGCGATTGGCATGATCTACTCCTGTAAGGCTCAGCACTGCATGCCATTCGAATCACAGGCGAGCTCAACTTGGCTCAACGTGTGCTCACACGCAAGTAACTAAATGTAACAATCGTCACGTCGCGATGCGAGAGGTAGTGGAAATTGAGTGTATGCAACATCGCCAACTTTTCATGTTATACATTTGACAAGCATTGCTCGTCGTGCTATGCGCGCAGCCCCAGCGGTATGCGTCCTAAAAACGGTTTTCCCTAATCTATCCAAGATGAATCGGAATCGGTCCAAGACCAATCTACTCGTCCTTGACGCCACCACGGCCGGCGCGCTCGGCAGCCTCAATGCTCTTCTTGTCCGTCTTGATCTCGCCGCCCGACATGGCGCCCATCATGCCACCAGCCGCCTTCCATGGTCGTGCCAACTCGCCGGTTGCGGACTGACCCAGGAGGTGGACCTTGACGAGGTTGCCCTCGAACGCGCCCTTGAGGGGGATGATGGACTGGATCAGGAGCGGGTTGGTGTACTTGAAGTAGATGTGCATGACGGCCATCATGCCGACACCCATCAGTTGCGCCTTGTACAGCTCGCGGAGCTTCTGGAGATCGTAGGCCTTGACCGTGGTCGCGACGAACTTGGGCTCTTCGCCGGAACCCATCGGGGCGGGCTCGACGTACTTGACGACAGTCATGTCTGGAGGATTGTTAGCATGCTACTGCTCATGCCTTTTGCTAGGCCGGAAATGACATAGACGGACCATTCTTCTTGTTGATTTGCTGCTGGACGTAGAAGTAGATGCCGGCGATGATGATGTTGGACACGATGTAGAGCGCGCGCACGCCGTTCAGGACATTCGGGTCATCGAAAGGGATCTTCTTGGAGATTTGCATAAACCCCCTATGAGCGCATTAGTATTCGATGCCGCGAAGTACGAGTCGCGTGAGTCCTACAAGATGATGACAAGGTTGGAACTGCGCATTACTGTTAGCAAACTATTTCAAAACTCCCAGAGACACTCAAACGTACATTTGCGGGCTGATGGCCATGGTGGAAGTTGGGACAACGTCTGTGAATTGATTCGATAGGGCTGATTGGCCTGGCGAGCTGCAGATACGATGTTGACGGAAAGTTGAGGGCAAATGTAGAGTACGGCAATTGTCGCGCGCCGCAGAGGTTGGTGGGAGTCGTTCTTGGCGGAGCTACTGAAAGGCCACCTGGGCGCCTTCCCAACAGAGCGGTCCGGGGTCGGGTTCTAGCGCGAGCGATTCACTTCTCCAGCCACATCTTCATTCACTTCATCAACATCGATTGTTCTCGGGAACCACAACACGTGGACATTGGATTTTTTAAGTGAGATGTTTATCGACGATACTACGAGAACGATAGGTGAAAGCTTGAAAGGCCATCGCTCATCCTACGGCGACGCATGCGATGATCTAGCATCCGAGACACCAGCTGGTCATTGACTTATGCGACAAATGACATCTCAATCTTGCTCACCCAGCGTTTGGTAATGTCTTTGTACTTTCTCAAATACCCCTCTTTACAATCGTTCTCCAACTCTTTCTTCACCACATCCGGTAGGTCGTTACGCACCCGTGGCAGTGTGTAGCCAGCATCTGCTATGCCGGCCCACAGTGCCAAGTACGCATAATTCTCCGCATTCTTGCTCGCAACATCAGTCGCCTTGTTTATGACATTGTCCCAGGTGTAAGCTGAAGCCTGGTTAGGTAGGTCTCGGATCTCGAGACCGGTCACCGCATGAGCGAGTTCGTGGATGATCGTGATTGACAATATAACTGCCAGATTGTCTGCGTATTATGTCAGTCGGCACCTGCATCATGGAGGCGACAATATGTCGCGGTGACAAGCTTGTTTGGACGAAAGGTTTGCCTTGCGGAATCTTGATAGTCGCTTACCGATTGGTGAGTCCTCGAGGTCCTGCTGTTTGAGATCATCTGAAAAATACAGAGGAGAGCCGTCTTCAGATTTGAACGCGCTATCGCATATCTGCACGCCCTTGTTAGTGCGGTTTGACAGCCATAGAGTGGTCGTTTGGTCGTGGGACCCGAATTGAAACTCACAGATATGACTACTCGTGCTGGGTTCTGTCCTGCACGTGGACTGCTTGCATCGGTTGGGGCGATTGCGCGTGCGCCATAAGTAACGCCCTTGGCTTGACCATGACACGATGGTGTACCCCCACTCGCTCTCAAGATCATGTCACTACGAAGATAGTAAGTAAAATCTCAAGACATCGGCGATAACAAGCCGCTGAGCACTGCGCGATGGGATCAGTTGACCCCACTGTGTTTGCCCAGATGTGTGAACATGAAGCATTCCACTTACTGTACTGGATCATGCCAACCTCTGCTCTTTTTTTGCCACCGTTCGTCTATGGCGAAATCAGCTTTCATTGCTGTGTGATCAGAACGAAGCGCAAGCATACCATTATCGCAATGGAATCTGATGTCCGATGCCTTCAGATCCGTTGTGGGGGTGAGATCAGCGATCGTTCCTACAGTTTCTGTGTACTGGTGGTCAGAACATGCCGGCATCAAGAAGGGGACTAAAAGCAACACACCTCTGATATATTTCGAGTTTGGGGAGGATTTTTCGGCCTGAAAGATTCTTTTGTAGACAGCTGCGAAGTCTGTATCGGAATCACTGTTCAATCTCTCCGCGCTCTTTTTTGCGAAACTGAGGGCTTCGTTCATGTACTTGTTCCATCCATCCTTTGCACTACAGCTCTCGTGCACGAAGTAGGTTTTGCAATGGACGGTGATTGAAAGAAGAAGCAGGATCAAAACTCGGGAATATATCAGAGTCATCTTAACAATGATTAGGCAGTGAGTTGGATGTTACAGCTGGGGAGAATGGAGTGGAAAAGACTGACAACCAAGGCCTGATTATGAGATGTCATGATATGAGAGAAGATGGCATGAACTTATAAGGAACAGTCCAACTCAAAATAGCGTCATCTAAACGGATGATTCCTTCAAGGGAGTTAGAGATGAAAATTCAGCCTCGCGCAACAAGCATATTGCTATTTAGCGGCAAAAGTCATCACCAACATGTGTCAGTCACGATATGGGGCGAGAGAGCGCCCACGCGGTATCAGGCCGACAAGTCAAGGCTGAGTGTCTTACGCTGAATACCAATTGACGAGGCTGTGCCAACACTAAGACTGAGCGGCACAGCGGGCTTTGGCATTCTTGGCAGCCCGGAACAAGGTTCGGGCACAAAGATACTGTACGGAAATAGGATATGGGAAACTATATGCCAGATCTTCTCCATGCTTGTGGTCGAAAAAGGGTCGTGTGAAGGGCGTAACTCGTGTTGGAGTTTGCGACGAATCGATCTCCGGCCGCACGCCCGAGCGCGCACCGGTACCTGAGTCGTAAGCGCCAATGAGAAAGTACGCCTGCACGACTCGACCACCCTCACCAGCATCGCCTCAAGCCACGCAAAACGACAGTAAGAGCATCCATCTGCTCTGCAACACGCGAGATACACTTTCTTGTGCCTGTATACATTCCATTGACTCCAAGATAAGACCCTACAGTGCTCACGCGGCCGTCTCCTGAGTAGCCTTACTCTTTCCTGCGCAGTTTCATGAATATATTGCATCCTCAAAAGTTAGACATTCTACCAGCCATCGCTAGGTCTGCCAGCGCTTCTCTTCGTGGTGCTCCAACAAGGAAGCACGTTTAAGGCCAGACGATAGTGGTCCCCGAAGCAACTGCGCCACGCGCCGTCATGATCACCAACGCAGGGCGAAAACTCACATGTTGTGAACTCGAAACGCTGTAAGGCGATGACTTGAGATTAGGTTCCCTACACGAGATGCGCAGCTAATGCTTATGCCTCCGCCGTGCCGCAAACACTAGGCAATGGGCCGGACCGAACTGGAGGTGGATGATGGAATTGGGGCCAGTGCCGAGTGAATGTTGGCCGATGTAGGAACACCCTGTCAAGCTATCAGCCACTGTCATTTGCGCTCGAAGCTTATAAGACCAGGCTGCTCTCCAAATTATAGTCATCATCACTTCATTGCCTTGCCATCTTCTACATCGAACCATGAAATCCCTATCTTGGGCCGCTCTTTTTTCTACAGTCTTCCATGGCGTTTCCCTTGGACAGTCTGGCAACAAAATCTTTGCATGTCCAGAGCAACTCGGAGCGGAGCCCCAGGCGTGCCAATCCGATACATGCGGAAATGAAGACAAGAGCAATCCAAAGCATTGCTCTAAGAAGGCTCCTGGTGGCATCAATTGTGTTTGTACGTTATGGATCAAGAGCTTCACGACATGAATACAATCGCTGACTCAACTGCAGGTGACCCGTCACGAAAACCCTCAGGACCGGCACAAACCACTAAAGTGGTTGCACAAGCATCGGCGACCACAGGTGGAGTGACTGGGGTGTATGCTCTTGCAACCCTTGCAGCATTCTCGAATTTGCGAGAAAAGATCACGGCAACTATAACGATTCCAGCGTCTCAAGCTACCGGTGCCAGTACCCCTGAAAAGGTAGTGCCTGTCGTTGTCTATGCTGGGGGTGTGGCATGGTATCTTGCCACTGTAAGCGGTGGAGAAGCAGCTGCTCTAACTCCTCCTATCGAACCTGCTGGCCACCCGAATGATAACACTTGTCCTGCTAAGAAGACTGCATGTAAGGACTGTGGCGGAAAAAGTGGAATTTGCGTATCACCGAATACGGGCTGCGGGTGCGAACAAAATTCTTGTCCGAAAGATAAGCCGACATGCGATGATAAAAAATGCAAAGGGGACAAAGGTAGGTCAAATTCAATGCGAGTGTCTGGTAACAGCCCGAGACTGACCATAGAACAGGCAAGTGCACCTTCGAAGCACTGGATGGCTGCGAGTGCGGATCCTCATGTCCTACCGGAGACAAAAAGCCAAAGTGCAAGGATACCAAATGTCAAGGCGGGTCGGACAACAAGTGCACAGTCCAGAATAAAGGCTGTGAGTGCGATCAACAGAAGTGTCCTAGTGAAGAAGATCTCCCTTTCTGCTCCGACTGCGGAGGTGAAGAAAACGACAAGAGCATTTGTGGAGGTCACACTCCTTGTTGTAAACAGGTATACTGAGCTGAACCCTTCTTCAGACTATTGAAGTTCTGACCTTCTTAGGATGCTCCTGAGTTCGAAGTCATTAAAGGGTGCGGATGCTACAAGCCCATGAGAGAGCAAAGCGCCCCGTACACGCCACCTCTCGACCGGAAAAAGATCGGGCAGTGGCGTAGCAATCTTCAGTCTAGAGAAAAAGAGATCTGTCAGCCGAGAGATGATTCACACTCGGAAGTGCTAGCGCCTCAACACGAGAAAGATGGCAAGCCCAGCGTCGAGTCGGCTGCCAAGGACTGGTGCTCAAAGGTGGATGGAAAAACGTTGGGAGACACCCCGGAATTTCAATTCAACAAGTACAAGTTCAGTACTTTCTGGCTTTCGGCATCGCTCCGCAAGGATGCACCGGCGAATCTTAAATGCGGAAAGGATGCAAAGATCAAGAAAGACGACTGCATCAAAACTATCGATACCGCGATGGCAAGATGCGAGCCCTATCAGCAGTTCACACATGGGGCATCCCTAGCTAAAGGGTGCATTTTCTATGTAAGTAAGCCGCGACTTTGCTAGATCGTTCGCTCATCATTTGCAGAATGTCACCTTGAACGGCGAAAGTAATTCTGGGAGCCCACCTTGGGCGCCAAGTCAGGACAAACCATCATGCGACTCCAAGATCTCTGACATAACCAATACCTTCTTCAAGAGCCTGTACCCTGCGTTCTGCAAGCAGATAAAAAATGGCGCAGCCTTGAAGAAGACATTGACCAGTGCTGATATCAAAACTTCCGGGTCTCGCAAACGTACTCCACCACCGAGTCCGAAATCTTTCCAAGGGTACAAGTTCAATTTTGAATTCAGTGGCGGTAACAGTGGCTGCAAGAAGACCTGTGAAGAGGCATACGCAGATTTGAACTCTGCATGTAAGTCTAAATGTCTCGACTGCGCGCACGACATTGGCTAAAAAACCACCAGGTGGGCGTGAAGGTACTACAATGAAGCAGAAAGGACAGTTCGACGTCGGATGCGGCAAATATTCGTACTCCATAGAACAACCTCCACCAAAACAACCAACGACTTGCAAGCCGAGGGGATCTACCAAGGAAGACATGAGAAGCCTCTGGCGAGATCCATGGGCCGGTTACCCTAAGAACACCTTCCAAGCGGCATCACACCAATACTGCAATGGGGGTTGGGACTGGGTAGGCAAGGTCGACAAAGAATGGTCAACCGACAACTATTTTTGGATCGATTCGGCTACCATTAATCCGAAGACCAATTTACCGGAGTACTGCATGGGTGCAGCCATAGGCGACATGTCTCAATGGTCACCCAACCCAGTAAACTGCAAGAGCCGAGGAATGCGGGGAGGCAATGTCAAGATCAACCTCCATATCCAACCCGCAGTCGATCAAACAGGTTGCAAGCCCTTGAAAGACCATAAGATTCCCAAAGGCCCAGAGTGTACCAAAATCTTCGATGCAGTAGCCGATGACTGTATCAAGGGAGCGAAAAACGATGGGCCTGGAGGCTATTACTTGGAGAAGTCGGACGATGGTTGCTGGGAATGGTGGATTCATGGTTTGGATATAAGATATGCGGGAGCTTCTCCGCCAGAAACCTTCCCCTTGCAAGAACCGGTTGAGGATTAGTAGCATGTATATGTTAGGCGCGGGAACTGTGGGCTGAGCAGGGCACCAACTTTGTTGAGGTGCTCGGGGCGTAGGCTACCCCACTTATGCGGCGCAACAGGTTTAGCTTTCATTTATCGATCGGGTTCCATATTGATCAAACAGTGTGTACTTCTCTCCCTCACACTATGTTGAACCCTCTGCTCCCTTTGAGCATTCATGCTTTGAACTCGACTCCAAGCTCGGAACGGATTCTACAATTACCTGAACCCTTCTCCGAAGATACACACCCAAGAATCTCACACTTTACGCTCTCTCCACCGCCACACCTTAGGCTGTCGACTTCGACCGATAGTGTAAGGAAAGTTCTACCAACCACTCGAGCCGTTGCAGACTCCGAATCAGGTGCAGATGGAGTCGTTCACACCCAAAATGATCCAACGACGGGAAAACCAAGATCTACATGTCCTACCATAATTTGCATTTTCGACTGCGATGAGTGTGGCGGCGGAAAAGATGTAAGGTCGGAGAAAATAATAAACGGCGTACCAAACGCGTCCTGTATTGGCGTAAGTAACTTCATCCACGGGCGTGAGCCTTTTTTATTATTAGCACATTGTGTAAGTTGATATTATGTTTGATAAGTCAGCGAATGGTCTGTGGGAAGATTGCGATTGTTATCACGGCCCGCCGCAGAACAGTGCGCCTTAAACACCACCTCACTTCAAGAAGCCGACGAAATGAGAGCGGAAAAGATTGGAGGCGGAGAAGGAGAATGGGAAGGAAGATGAGGAAGTCAGGAAAGGGCAAAACATATCAAGATGATTCGGAGCACAAGAGCATACATGGTCGGGATGGATATGCAATGAATCCTCATTCGCTCACACTTTTGGCTGCTTAGATCTTGACACGGAGCAGTGAAGAGTAGGACCACGCATCAAAATTACCAGAAGCACAGTCCTGATCCCACCACAACATCTTCTCATCAACCGCTCCTCGCCACGCCATCACCTCTTGTCTTCATACACTCTCACCCCCAACAACTTCCTCACAGCCCAACTATGTCCTCCCGCCCAAATCGGCCCTCCTCTCCACAAAGGCAGCACATCATCTCGACCCCGCCGCCGCTTTACAACCGCATCCTCCCACTCGCCCTGCTGAAAACGCTCAACATCCTCCCTGCTGACCTTGTGCGTGCGCGCATTCGCTGCCATGGTCCAGAAGCCAACGACATGTCCCTGATCGATTTTGTGCTTGATGAATCCGTTACCCGTCCCCGGTCCAAGGAGAGCAAGTAGTTCCGAACAAGTGTATTCTTGTTTCGAAAGTTTTGCATCGCTAAGCTGGGTGCGATGCGATGTGCGTGGTATTTTCTCAATGTTGATTGTGGATAGCAGGTATGGGAAATGCGCATACATGAGCTTTAGAGATAGGCTGAGTATCACTGCGACGGGGAAGTCTAGACCCAATGAGACGCCGGCTCGAAGACCGGAGAGAAAGGTTAGTCGCGGAGGTTGCGTGGGGGTGGAGAAGAAGAGGAGATGCCTTTGGAAGGCGGTATATGTGCTCCGAGACATTTTTTGAGTTTGACTTGAGATGATTTTGGTGTCTGTTGTTACTCTTTGTGTTGTGGATTGATGGAATTGACAGGTGCGTTGCGATAAGAGTCGTGATGTCATTCCCAGCCATTGATCACAAGAAGTTTTTTTTGAATCAGTCAAGCTTGTCAAGCATAGAGTTTCGCGGCAATTTGAACTCCCCAAATTCTCTATCATCTGTATCATATTCTTAGATGAATCTGACTCGTGCTTTCGACCATTCTCGATGATGGGTGTGCTGAAGAAGTATAGAGAGCTAAAGTGGCGGGTGGCTGTGATCAAACACCAACTCGATTTCGAAGCATTTTTCATAACAAGAGCATGTTCTGAAAAGCATTTCTATCGTCACAATTAATGTCTTTCTTAGGAGGAGATGCAAGCGCTCCATGGTCGATGCACAAGGACTCTAGCGCTAGTCATCGCCTATCCCAAAGCCTTCCTTCTCGGTGAGGGTTCGCGCTCACATAACCCAGTGACAAAAGTTGACCATGATGTTCTTTCTCTTTCATCTGTCTACAAAGAATTTAGGTGACAACGTCCTTAATACATCGACGCCATGTGAGAACAGTGATGACAAAGATGTGAATGCAACCCTTGAATCTTGGAACGCCTTTCTTGCAATGGCTACTCGACAACTTCTTATAATGGATTCATATTTCAATTCACAAACAGCTTTCTACATTATAGAGAGCGAAGGTACTGGCTTTTAACGGCTCGGGGATGACATTGCAGTGTCCAGAGGTGAGGTGCAGTCATGTACCACTCTTACAATCCTCTCTTTTAGCTCCACTGATGCTCTAATCCTCGTTACAGCCTGTGTTTTAAGGCTGCTGAAATGCGCTAGACCAAACAAACGCGAATGGCGGAGATGACCGACCCGTAGAGCGGGAGATTTGTCGTCAATTCTGATATCACTGTTCACTTCAATGCAGCAAGGCCATGGAAGTCAATGGATGAGATTCATTTTTTTTTCAGTTACGATAAGGTCTATAATGAACCCTCTCTTCTGCTTCTTGAATAGTGCATCTGGTGGATTCGAAAGGCAGTCGGTGCACGTAACTTTGTATTGTATCGCTTGTATCAACCGCAATCATTCGAATGAGCTCATACAAGTCGCGAGTTCTGATCGTTTTTCATTACTCTGTCTTTCACCTGGGTTCTTACCTCTGCCGTCGGCCGCTCTATCTCGTGCATACTATCGGCTGGCCTCTTTCGTATACCGTTTGCGCTTTCACCGCTACCGCTCTCGCGTTTGCTAATCAAATAATCCCTACTAGTAAGACGAATCCAACCTCTAGCGCGTCGTCTCCCCTCTATATATTCGGCGCCCGCCGGGCAGTTTCTCTCAATACGACGACACCACCGCTACACGGATCTATCAACTGCGACAACAACCGTTCTCCCGACCTGGTCAACTGCAAGTATGCTCGCCATTCCCTGCCGCTCAAAATTAATCAATCGCAGAGCTATTACCATGGCTCATCACAACAACTACATCATGGTCTTTGTTATGGCCCTCTTCCTAGTCCTCCAAGACGCCGTCGTGCTCTCTGCCACCATCAAACCATCCCCAGACCAGTACAAGGGAAAGTAAGTGAAGACCCCCGTTTCAGCGCCATAGTTACATACTGATCGCAGCCGCAGCGACCCCGCCAAGATCTTCAGCCGAGACTGCTGGAACGGACCTCAGGATTATGGCTGCACTAGAGGCATCTGTTGGCGCAGGTGCGGCGACCATGGCGAGTGGTGCTGGACCACTCTCAACACCAATCCAGAAATGGCGACCGGGCTACTTGTAATGTCGATTCCGACTGTCATCCTTCAAGGGCTTTTAGCTGTCTCCTTGGTGACTGTAAGCGGTGTGGATGTAGCTGCTAGCGCAGCATATTTCCTCCCTGCGTCATACTGCCGCCTGCTAGAATGCAAATAGTGCTCAATCTTCAGAGTGCGAAAGAAACAGCGGGCGGACACAAGGAATAATCATGGCGATCATGATGGCGTATTGACTGATTGCATCTCTGAATTCCATGAATACAATGAATGTCACATTGAAAAGAATCTCCCGCTCCCAATGTGATTGCATCATAATATAACAGTCTGAACGGGTCCAAGGGACTATTATAACACCCTGATATACTGTAATGTCTCTTTGATCGGACAGCGTAACCTATTCGTGATTATCTTGAGGTACGGTACACGAATCTGTGCACCAGTAGATGAGCTCAAGACGTATCCCTACATTGCTTTTGCTGTCATAAGAGAAGAAAAAAACTGGAGAAAAACCCAGGATCGTACATGAACATAAAGAAACTACTGCAGCCCTTCATCGCACGTCGCATCTCAACAATCAACATTCTCGATGCCCCTCACTACACACTACACAGACGATGGATACATACAGCCTTATGAACGATTTAACCATTAAGCCTTCATGAAAACCACTCTGCCACATTAGATCACGCTGATGTCGCCCAATCACGTACATATGCGAACACCAAAACCTTAACACCGCTCCGTGGGGCTTTCTTCTTCAGACTACTTTACTCCGCGCAATTCGTCACACAGGTCGGGCTTCTCAACTGGCTAAACGTTCTACACAACATCGCAGTAGACCTCGACATCAGCAGCCCTGGCGTACCGTACTGACTTGAAGCAGGCCACGAAGCAGGCGGGTGGAATGCGTTTGATAGATCCCCATGTGTCATAGAATATCAACCCACTTTGCTAACTATTTTCCAAATGCTCTAACAGCTGCGCGACATACTGCTCCTCCGCCCTATCGTCAGCATGTTCATATCTAACACTTCTTCCAGGCCATGCACGCCGGTGTCATCCTCGATTATGAACAACAACGACTGAAGCGCGAACGTCAAGCCGACTTCGAGATGCAACACGCAGATCTCCCTCAGCCCGCGCTTCTCAACGACCTGCAGTTCAGACTTCCTTGCTACCATCATAACGGGATACCCCATCTCACGCATAGACCCAGACTGGATGATGTCGCATTCGTTCTGGGCTTGATCCTCATCGCTATCGATCTTGTTAGTCGATCAAATGTACGAGAAGTCACCTCTGATTTTTAATCTCACTATTTCATGGGGCACAGACATAGGCTTCCCGGCTGGTACGCTGAATATCAGTGAGGCGCGCGCAAAGACACAGCATGGAATGGCTGGCTACTTTGCTCAACACAGGCAGCGATGATGGTCTCATCATTGGTGTTTGAAATGCCGGTTCTGAGGAAATCCATGTCAGTCATGGTGGTAATACGAATCATGGGGATTTGGAGGAATATAGATGTACGCTGTACCCGCGTGTCTTGACTATAATGATTTCCCCGCGGACGAGACATGGGCAATTTCGAAGAATGAAGCCTTATTTTACAGCCTAATCAGTCTTTAGAGAACGAATATTAGTGGAATAGAATGAGGTTGGAACACGATCTTGTGGATTGAGCTTCCGTAGCATGGAGCTGCAGTTCTTCAAATCCACGAAAACTGATGGAATGGAATCGGGTTTTGAGGAGTCCTAGATCACATTTACATGTTGCGCCGGTTCACTCATAGGTTTGTCAGTCCATAGATCCTTGCAGAAATGCAGGACCCCTTGACGTCAGCGGTTGCGCTAACGGTATTACCGGTAAGCGCTGGGACTTGATCATCACACCTTTCCAAATTACCCCTGTGCCTCCATGCCATCGCTTCCACGGGACGAACTCGACAGACTTCTATCACATGCCGTGTTGGGATAACACGCATTTGATGTCCGTTAGTCCACTAGGCTGCAAATTTGCGTGGTGAAGAAGGCTAGGCGGTCCGAATAAGAACTAGACACCGACATGTCACTTTATCGGAGGCTCGAATGTCACAACCTCCGGTACTTCGTATAAATCTTTGTGGCGTAATAGCTCATCTTCCAATGGCAGCAAATAAATCTCAAGGCTAGCTCTAGCTTTGCGTCTTCGGTCAGCCACAATCCTTTATCCGCCTTGCGTTTGCAAGCACCCAGTATTGATTCTTACACACTGCATGGGCAGTCATCCAATCCTGCAAGCGTACTTCTACAAATCACAGTCTCGTAATTTCGGCTATGCCCGTGTGGTGTGCTTACCGGCTCTCGAAGTCTAGGAATAGCATCAACATGTGTTAAGCACTAAGAGCAAAATTGGCAACTGAAGCTTCCAATCCACACACAGATCACAGTCCAATCAAGTCTTACACAAATCGGTCCGCGATTAGCCTTTCGAGCGCCAGGTCAGCACTACAAGCAAATTCGGCCAAGATGTCGTCGGACCTAGCTAGTCCGCGTGCCACATTGGTGACAGACTCATGATTGAGTTTGAAGGATTAGACAACTTCTCTTTTCTAACAATTCTGAGTGCATCGCTTCGTACTTCGCTTCGTACTCATTGATAGTGGGGGTGATATCCTGCCTCGACTAAGAGGTTGCGTAACGTGTTAGATAAGATTTGAATGACGAAGTTTGACAGGCAAGGTAAGCCACAGCACTCATGAGAGACCAGGCGTGAGCAGCATATAAAGGTTATCGCAGGGACTTCAGTTTGCATTTCTTATAAAATACTGTTCAACCGTTTGTCTACTCAAAAACCTACTTTACACTATGGTCAAGATTAACCTTGATCTTTCTGCTTTCGCTACTGCCTTTCTATGCATCAGCGCAGCCTTATCCTCTTCTGTAGCAATCAGTCGTAATGGTTGGAGCGCCACTGCAGATAGTTTCGAGACGGGCAACGAGCCCGCGGGGGTACTTGATGGCAACGCTTCAACACTTTGGCACTCGAAGTTTACCCCAGCCCCAGCCGATCCATTACCGAATTGGATCGCCATAGACATGAAGACCACGTACAACTTACAAGCCATCAGTATACAGCCACGGCCGGCCGCCAGTGGTAACGGCAGGATAGGAGGACATAAGATTGAAGTTTCCACCGACAATACCACCTGGCTAGTCGTTGCACTTGGCACATATAACAACGATGCAACCACCAAGAAGACGACATTTGTCACGAGACCAGCCAGATATGTAAAGATTACAGCAACAACCGAAGCGCAACAGGCAAGCAACCCATGGACCTCAATCGCTGAGGTCAACGTCTTCCAGGATGTTGTCAACTCGTCCCCGACTCCCTATACACCACCAGTAGCCGGGAAAGGCTCATGGGAGAAAACGATTGACTTCCCTTTGATTCCAGCTGCTGCTTCGCTCCTCACCAATGGAAAAATACTTTTATGGTCATCTTTTGCGAAAGACAATTTCGGTGGGGATCAGGGCAAAACACAGACTGCTATTTACGATCCGGCAACGGGAGAATCAAGCGAACTACAAGTGTCGAATACTCAACATGACATGTTTTGTCCGGGCATATCGCTTGATTTCAATGGGCGGGTTATTGTCACGGGCGGGGATAGTGCTGCAAAAACAAGTGTATATGATTCGTCAAGCAATGCTTGGTCAGGAGCGTCAAACATGCAGATTGCACGCGGATACCAATCTAGTGCTACATGTTCAGATGGCCGCGTGTTTACTATTGGCGGCTCATGGAGTGGAGCTAGAGGTGGCAAGAATGGCGAAATCTTCGATCCTGCTGCGAATATTTGGTCTTTGCTATCAGGCGCGTTGGTCAGTCCTATGCTGACCAACGACGCTGGTGGTGTATGGCGAGCAGACAATCACGCGTGGCTATTTGCATGGAAGAACAAGACCGTCTTCCAAGCTGGTCCTTCCATCTCCATGAATTGGTACGATACAACGGGAAGTGGTTCTACAACAGGAGCAGGGAAGCGACTGGACGATGGTCATGCTATGAACGGAAACGCGGTCATGTACGATGCACTCGCAGGAAAGATACTGACTGCTGGCGGTGCATCCGACTACGAGAATAGTGCCGCCCGCACGAATGCTTATGTCATTACCATAGGCAGCCCGAAGACGACCGCAACCGTTACAAAGACTCAAAGCATGACCTACGCCCGCTCCTTCGCAAACGGCGTCGTTCTTCCCGATGGCACCGTCTTCATCACAGGCGGTCAAGCATACGCAAAACCATTCACGGACGGTACTTCAGCCCTAGTCCCAGAAATCTGGGACCCAGCAACAGGGCAATGGTCGCAAATGAACCCCATGGCTATACCACGCAACTATCACTCCGTTGCTCTCCTCATGGCCGACGCCACGGTCTTCAATGGAGGCGGTGGTTTATGCGGTCCATGTACACAGTACGGTGGCACTGCAGATTCGAATCACTTCGATGCAGAGATATTTGTACCACCTTACCTTCTCAATAATGATGGTACGCGACGAACGCGACCGACCATCAACAGTGTAGCTTCGTCTGCCAAGCTTGGTGCTACTCTGAGTGTTGCGACTAGTTCGGGAGTCACGACATTCTCACTCATTCGCTTTGGTACTGCAACACATACCGTTGATACTGACCAGCGGAGGATCCCATTGACGCCTACTGGGAGCGGGACCAGCTTCACAGTTACTGTGCCGGCGGATCCAGGTGTTGCTCTTCCAGGGTATTGGCTCTTGTTTGCGATGGATGCTGTGGGCACGCCTAGTGTGGGGAAGATCATCAAGCTGAGTGTGTAGCTAATGCAGACTGCTATCAGTGAGGGCATGTGCATTGATGATATGGTCTCGCATGATCAATAGATTACCATAATTTTATCAAACGGTACCGGGAAAGAAATCCAGTAGTTACTTTGACTCATGTATGATTGAGAGGATTGGACATTGTAAGATCCTGTTATCGTGTCATCAACCAGCGCACCTCGCCCAGTTTTCCTTCGTGACATACGTTCAGGTTCGCTTCGATGCTATTTTCAGTTCGATAGCGTCCAGCTAAGGAGGGTCAAGTAAACTTCGACAGCCCCATCTACACGCGATGGTCCGACGCCGTTCCACTTTTTCACTATAGAGAGAGAACGCAAACGACGTGTTGCGCTTTTCGAGCAACGCGATTCAGTAGTTGACGCGCTTGGCATCGAAGCCTGAATAGTGGCCAGAATCAACGAAGCTGAGTGGCTGAGAGAGCATCTCGACATGTGCTGGGACAACCCTGCTTGACTGTCCATTCTCGTTGCCTGAGCCATCAGCCTCTTCACCGTCGCTACCGTCATGATACTCATCGAACCCAAGGTCAACATAGTGGTATATCCAGAAGCCACAAAAGACGAAGGTGGTTCCAGCTATAGCGCAAACTGACAAATACATGACTGCAATCTACGGTCTGTCAGTCGTGATATTACGTACTAATACTAGTATTACTCACATTGCAGCCATCATTCCATCCGCCTTCTCTTTGAATCAAAGGTGTGCATACCAATATCGTGATGCCAGCGAGAAATGAACAAACCGAATACGACATAAACATGAGTGGACATTGCCATGCGAATACCATCTTCTGTCTTGGATGGTATCTTGAGCGATCTTTCGACAAAAGCACAGGAAGATAGCGCTCTAGACATTCCTTTGTCTGCCTAATCTTCTTTGGTGATGGCATCGGCCCAAGAAAATTTAAAACCGTGACTTGTTGAGCGGCGATCAAAAGACCCAAAACAGAGAGCACAAGACTACCATGCCAAAATCCGTGGGTGAGCCAGTAGGCTTGATCAATAGTGGTCCATGAAAAGGCCCCGATCACTGCAGCCGCAAGAATAGCACACTTTAGTCTTATCAGTACGCAGGTGCATAATTTTAGATGACAACTTACTGCGATAGAGATAAATTGGAGCTCTGTAAGTTTTCTTGCTCGCCATAGTGTTACCGCATATAACAACCGAGGCGATCCTGGGTGATCTGATGCAATAGATGCAATCCTGCTGATGGGGGCTGCTGTGTTGAAATGGTAGAGACGATAGTATGGTAATGTGCCAAATCGGACGCATATTGTCCTTATCAGAGACAACAGCCGCTACGCGATGTTAGTGGGTATGTAAACCGCATGAGTTTAGTATGTCGATCTGAAGATTTTAAGAAAGTGGGATATTAAATTGACTCACAAAAAGGCGTATATGCGTGTGGTGATTGAATTGTGTGAGTAGATGTTTCAGTTGGGCTAAAACCATGATCAGGCTGAGCGCTGCCCACCTGGGGCTAACGTTAGCAGATGACCGTCGGCCACGAGTCTTGTACTCGAGCACGTTATACAAATGGATCTGATCGCGTCACGGAGGCAGATTCAGCACAAAACTGAACATTGAACGTGACTGGGAAAGGCAGAATGTTGGTGCGGTGTCGAAGTGAGCGTGCTCACACACACTCACAGCTTCGCAAGCCACAGAAGACTTGGCGTGCATGAAAACTCCCTCGAATGTCAGCCGCACCGCCCCAAGGCTCCGTGGCTGTGCATACTTCAAATCTCAAATTGGAGCCACACCCACAATGGTAAAGCTGATTGATACTAGCGCGGTCAGCTTACGAAAACTTTACATATGTTTTATCTGCATATCGACATTCTTGCATTGAAGTGTTGCTAGAATACAGAGCCTCTACTCTCGTAGGATATTCCCTCTAAACAGTTACAGCTATAAAGTGGCATGATGGAAGAAAGCACACACATAGTGCATATTAGATGCATAATAACAGCAAATCAGACAATCCGGTGACATGAATAGATAGGTACAAAATCAAACTCCTGATATTGGAAACGGGTCAACACATTGTTCTTTGGGTGTTACTGGCCGAACACCGTTCCGTCGATGATAATGAGATCCGTTTTTCTCTAGGCTCTGCCTCAAGCCAATTATTGTCCTCAAGCTTCTGCATGCGGTATTTGATATCGCCACATTTTTGTTGCTGCCCCAACTGTGCTATAAATCTCCGATTCTGCAACCGAATGGGTACTTCTCAGGTGTGTCTCGAGCGTCGTACGATCTGCGATAGGCCTGTTCCGGCACTCACCAATCTCGCACATGTACGAAGCACTTGTCGCGTAGATCTCCCACTTTGCAAAATTCCTGATTCTTGCTCTTCTCCTTGAGACGAGCTCTCTGGCACAACGCCTGAGGTAGGCGCTATTTTCCGGATCTGCTGCCCATTCGTTGAACTTGCTCTTGATTTTTTCGAGAGTCTTGACGCCAGGAGATTTGGAGAAATAGCCGTTTGGTTTCCATTCGTCCAGTTCCACATCGATGCCACTTTCATCATTAAAACGCCATTCGTAGGGCAGATTCATGCTCGCAACCTTGGCAGCAACACTGTCCGGATCTGTGGCGCGATCGAACGAGTTGTGGACTCTTTTGAAGAAACTCTTGCCGCCTGCCTGTTGCTTCTTTCGAGATGTCCCTACGTTGACGACTGCACCGAGGTTCTCCAAACCATGTAGTGACCGGATCTCTGTGATACCTTCATCAGTGGGATTGTTCTCCGCGCCGAACCCACCATCAGAAAAGTAGGTCACTGTCCCGCTCTCACTTATACCGTCCTGTCGATGTGCCAGTTCCGTAAAATACATTGGCGCTGCCGTCGCTGCGCGTGCTACTCGCCAGACTTGCCAATTATCTGCTGACCTTTCATTTCTTCTTTCATCGTTGAACGTGCTGCTGTTGGTGAGCTGTCGACTCCTAGACACGAGACGCTCTCTCCTTCCAGGAACGTAGGTTCGAAGTAGATAAAGCTTCTCCACAGTCACAGGTGCGTCTTTCTTGCGTTCGTATCCGCGAGTGGTGACAAATCTATTGGCAAGTTAGCATTTAGAAGATTAGTCGCTCACCAAAACTTGTGCGAAGTTGGTCTTTGTACTCACGTCTGGCATATACCTTGTGGCGAGGGAAAGGTTATATCTTCTGTGCTTCGAAGAATTTGCTCTCGCCTTCTCGCGGTGACATCTTGAAATGCTTTTTCCATAGCAGTAGCACTAAACTTTGGCCACTGCACGATTCCAATGTTCCGTTGGGAGATGATGCGTGGTTTACCGAATATCAAGTGGCTCATTTTCTCGTATTCTTGTAAGCAATCCCACACGGGCATGCGAAAACGTCCTAACATGATTGCAATGAGTCTTTAACATTATTGTGAGTGATCGTCATGTGGGAATGGTACAATGAAGACTTACGCGCCAGTGCTAGAGCCGCATATGTAGTCAAAATAATGACATGGAAGGAATTTTCGAGCATCACGGACACAAGCCCAAGTGAAAGCCCGGTGTCCTGGAGCGAGCCGGCGCTTTTCTTTTTCTTCATCATTGTAATCGCCCCGGGTTACGTTTGAGGGAAACTGCGACGGGTAGAAGCTATGATGCTCTTCGCTACCGTTCATTTGACGGCTTTCTTCTCTTGCAATACATATCATGAGCTGTTGCAGAACCAGAAGTGTCCAATAACCTCGGATACCGCCTCCATCTGCATTGTATCAGCCAAATAGTTGGTACAATGCAATTGTATCTACGTACCAAGACTAAGGAGGTTTTGCTGACTCCAAGCTAGGTCGGGCGAAAGCTGCGACGGTACCGGATAATCATGATTATGATGCGATGATGTATGTGAGCTTTCATCACTTGAGGATATCGGGACCCCGAGTGGCACAGCACGTTGAGATGTATCCATGGCACGATTGTTAGGTGTTGGTTCAGATAGGTTTCAAGCACAGGGATGAGTGGCTCAGCCGGACTAGTGTTACTGCAACATAAGTTTATGCCTTATACTGCTTGAATATGGGCTCTATGCACAGCCTGGTGTACTCAAGCTATGCTGGCTATGCTACAGAGCCTCAAAATTTGTTCATGCATAGGCGACAATGAGTGGCGGCTGACGCTGAGTATGGACCAGATTACATCATCCAGCCAGGCAGGTCGACTTCCGCCATATTGGGAGGCTAAGTCGAAGGAGTAAAGAACCCATGGCTCGTGATCGGTCTGACGGGAAGGATCTAGGTTCGGGCGTACAAAAATGGACTAAGAAGACTGCGTCGTCCAGTGATGCACCGCCTGGAGTAAGCGAGGAATATCGAAAAGAATGGTCGGACGGACCACCTGTTCGTTCTGTGCGGGCCGAGTCTGAAAGGGGCGGGGGCGATGAGTAGTCACACCTGTAGCCCACTCAGCCGTGCTGCAGCCTGGGGCGGGAGCTGAAATGTCACAATTCCCAAAATCTGTCGAGAAGTCCTTCATTATTAGCTACAATTTTGACCTCAGCTGATCGATGCAGATTGGGCTTGAATCTGGAGCGAGGATTCGCCTCCACACCGAAGGCAAGGTTGACTCAGCCTTGTGGAATCTTCGACTGTTCCAAAGTTTAGCGAACCGCAGCACATCGAATGAAGTCGCTTGTGGAAATAAACGACATACGAATTTCGGAATGACTGCGCATAAGTGGCGTTAACCACAAGTCGAGAAAGGCGAGTTCCGCCTTTCCTGCAGGCGAGATTGCTGTGCTTCGCCCCCACCCTTTACAAATGAACATCATCAAGGACCAACGATTATGTTCCTCCTTTGCCCTTTGCGCCCTGACATGGGTGAATTTGCGCCCCGTGGAGGATCACTTGATATTCCTTGGGTGAGGATAACGGCAGGGGTCAAGCATACCTGCGGCTGGAGCCATGATGAAGAGCCCCAATTGAGTATGAATACTGCCCAGGTGGTCCTTCTCGATCGCTGTATCCATCATTCAACAGGCCATTACATAGCATCACGGTAAGCGGAACCTGATTCGGCCCTACTACACCGAGTGCATCATTCGACGTCGACTATCGCTGTTCATTCAATCTTTCCACCAAATCAACTTACTCTTGATTGGTACTCCGCAGAACCGTGCCATATGCAAGCATCATATCAAAACGACGTCGCTAGCGCGGGCACTCCAAGCCCAGCCAGACACCAGCATCCGAAGAAGCTCCAGAAGACCAGAAGTTGGGATCGTGTCATTGTGTATAATGCGGATAGTGGCGACGTACGCATCCGAAGGAAAGGAGATGTAGATAGAGGTAAGATAGTTGCTTTGCAGTGAAGGCTACGCTAATCAGCTTTGACAGAGCCGAATGATTACAAAGAATTGAAGCTGCCAAAGGGTAAAAATCAGGTCTCACTTTTCGTCGACCAAGAGACCGAGACCAACTTCAAAACCGAAGAAGAAAGTCGTGGGAGTGACGATGTGTTCTTGGCAACTTTAAGCCTGGACAACCTCGGAGTCGTCAACCGGGCATTCTTTGTCTTTGGCTTCTTATCGACATTATACGTCTCTACACCCTGGCAGAATCCAAATCTGAAGTATCTGAGCTAGTTTCTGCATCCTAGCTTGTCGTTTCGTAGTGTTTTTCTTTGACCCTGGATTTGGTCGACATTGGAGTAGGGTGTATCCAAGCAGGAATTGGGCGCAAGTCCTCTGAGATAGATTTCCTTGCGCATACCACGACGTCGTCTCGAGACATAGAAATGATAACACTGGTTCTACTGTCACTCTTTCTGCAAGCTCTGACACTGAAAATGTAAATGTAATGAAGCTTCCAAACAATTTTGTGTCCATACTTTAATTGAGACAAGGCAGATAACAAAAAACGCCCAACGAGGGAAACCAAAACTGGAATGTCAGGCTACTGATCGTGTTATATCTAGCGACAATACGCCATGAGACTGGCAGTCCGGATGGATGGGAAGCATCGAGCAGAGTTTTCGGCGCAATACGGACCTGGATATGTTCGCTATGTATGAAGCCTTATTTGCTAGCGACCAAAGCCTAGATAAACATTCATTCTTTCTCATTGACTAATTTCGTATATCACTGAATAGAGAGCAATGCATCGGGAAAGTCGATAGGGTGGCACTAATCTCGAAGGCACCGGATTTGTAGTGCTGCTCATACCTCGGGTATGGTCAGTCATCCGTTCGATTCTATCTGGGTGATAGAAGGCTTAAACATCGCCTGGCATAAAGTGTGAAGAAGACGATTGCGTCGACCCTGGACCATCTTCAAGCCCTCAAATCCGAATCATTGTCGATACCATAGCTATCCTCAAGAAACGATTCAAAGTCCTGTTCACCGTCCTCCTCAACCACAACGACCGCTTGTGGTATAAGAGCCTGCAGATCCAACTGCATTTGCGCAGCAGAAGGAAAAGACTTGACTGTGACATCAAAGGCCCAAAACTGTGTCCGAATTCCTCTGTCTTCTTGATAACACCCGCCAAAATCCGTGTACTCAACATCTTCAGTATCCGCTGGCATAGGATATTCTTCGGTGTATTCGCGAGTGGATTCTCCCACGCCTCTGATTACCATCTTCTCCATGTGAGGCCATGGCGCATCCATGAGGACCGGGAGAATGAAGCGCGCGAATATGCGATCCATTGGGCGCGGGAATATCTTCTTTCGCTCGGTCGAGGGACGGTCCCATTGGACTTGTTCATTGAAGCTGTAGCCTTGCTCAAAGTCGAGTTTGCGAAGCGTCTTTCGCACTGAGCTAATGAAGCGCGCACAGGATTGATACAGGCGCTCTTCGCGCGAATCTGGCCCCTGCTCCTCGCACGGACCCAGTATGGCGATGCGGAGCGAGATCAGGTGTGGACAGTGGCTAATGAGGGGATCAAGGGCGTCTATCATCTGCCTAGAATTACGGACGGGCTTGTGGTCATGGTAGTGATCCTTGATATATGCCTGGCGGTCGCGCAGATGAGCAATTGTAGGCATAGGCGGGGTTGCCTCCGCCCACTGTGAGATGCCATTGAGCTCGAGGTGTGTTATATTGGAGTCATTTGGTAGCTGCGGCCGCAATATGCAGGCGGCGAGCTCGCGGCTCATACAGCCACTTAGGCGAATTGACGTGGCAGAAGGAAATAGGTATCCTGGTAGAGTTACCTCTCGCCAGGCTCTATGTTTAGAAGTGAGCGCTCACACTATGGACGAATTATATGGCACCTACCTGACCCAGCAGAAGTCTACGTGCGTGATATTGGTAAAACTTTGAAAGATATTCCACAGCGGTTCTGCAGCTACATTAGGATGAGTCGAAGAATGGGCGCAGGATCTGAGTACCATCTTCGGGCACATAGAGTGGCGCATCGTCATGCTCCTCATCGGTCTTGTTACCAGAGTCAGGCTTTTCCGGCTTACCCCAATAGCAACGAGTCGTATCAAGGACAGTCCAGCGAAGCCTACGCACATGTCGGGCGTACATGGGCTTGCGCTGCATTGTTTCGACAAACTTCTTCTGTCTCCAGAAAGCTTCCTTGTCAAAGTATCTCCAGTAACGCTCTGAAAACGTAGGAAGAACGTTGACCTCGCCAGCATCCCTGCCCCAAGGCTCACAGACCTCATCAACGTTATGAGAACTGAGGTCAATGGTACGGTATAGTTCGGGCAGCTGGGACCGAGACGTGAGCCGTGAGCCGTGTATAGAATGAGCCCCAGATACTGGCAACTTACAATTCTTTCCCTCAACAGTTGACAGGTCTCACACAGCTGCTTAAGGTCAGCGGTGGAACATGCCTCCGCTATGCAGACTTGTATTTCAACAGGAACTTTGAGTAAGTACGACATCTTCCTGTGAGCGCATAGAATCAATTTACGAGGAAGGAATATACTGGCAAGTCATAGGAGAACACTCAATGCGGATCAAGTATATATCGGGAAAAGACCGATATGCATTGTAGCGGCAAAGTTCAGACTAATTTTAGGCAGACTAGGCAGCAGTAAAATAGGGTATGTACGTGCGTGTGGTTGCAGGAACCCGCCGACGTTCATTGACGTTCATTCGTCGTGTTGCCGCCTGAAGCCCTTAAAAAAACTCCGTATGTCGTTGAGGAAGTAGACCTGCGGTGAAGGACTGCTTGGCATGCTTGACGCGCTAGCTGTGGACCCTGAGCCCGGGCTGGCAAGCGCGAGGCGGAGCCCCACGAGAGCTTCAACATACGTCAACCGCGTCGACATGGGTCTGCAACAACACCGCGAGCTATCCCAGTGAACGACACACCAAAGCTTACTCCCTTGTCATAAATCAATTAGTCGGCCATGGACATCGTGCAGGCCGTCTCCGGCTACATCACCAAGATGGTGTCGGCTGGAGACAGCGCCGCAACAGGCACCACGGCGGCGAAGATGAAGATACTCTTACTCGACAATGAGACTGTGGGTTTGTCTCCTCCTTCGATTGGATGGTCTGCATATGCTGACTACGACTAGGTCTCGATAGTGTCGACGGCAACTACACAATCCGCGCTGCTCAGCCATGAAGTCTACCTCACCGAGTGCGCACTACACAACCACTACGCCACGCATGACTAACGACATGCAGCCGACTGGACAATGCAAAGCGAGAGAAAATGCGCCATCTTCGGTGTCTATGCTTCGTCCGACCTTCACCCGAGTCTATACAGAGCTTAGATCGAGGAGCTCAGGGACCCCAAATATGGCGAATACAACATCTGTGCGTAGAGACGTTACGTGTACCGGGTGTGAAAGCTGACCAATACAAGACTTCAGCAACATCATCAAAAAGTCCTCCCTCGAAAGGCTAGCGGAAGCAGATGACCATGAAGTCGTGCGCGCAATCCATGAGTACTTCGCCGATTTCCTCGTCATTAACCCCGACCTCATGTCGCTCAACCTCAGCTACCCAAACCACCGGATATGGAGCACGAGTCCAGATGCCTGGAACCAGGACTCATTGCACAGATCAACAGAAGCCGTCATGGCACTACTCCTTGCGCTGAAGAAGAAGCCTTTGATACGGTATCAGAAGAACAGCTTGCTAGTGAAGAAGTTGGCAACTGAGGTGCGGTACCATATGACTCAGGAAGACCAGCTTTTCGACTTCCGGAAGACGGACACGCCGCCGATTCTATTGATCGTGGACCGAAGAGACGACCCTGTCACACCCCTGTTGACACAGTGGACATACCAGGCAATGGTGCACGAGCTGCTGGGTATCACAAATGGCAGAGTCGACCTGCGCGACGTGCCTGAGTATCCGACCCGAGCTCAAAGAAATCGTCCTCTCGCAAGATCAAGACCCATTTTTCAAGAAGAACATGTACCTCAACTTTGGTGATCTCGGTCAAAATGCCAAAGAATATGTGGAACAATTCGCGTCAAAACAGCAGGGCACACAAAAGCTGGACTCGATAGCCGACATGAAGCGCTTCATCGAAGATTTCCCCGAGTTCCGCAAGCTTTCCGGCAATGTAACGAAGCACGTCACGCTTGTTGGCGAGCTGAGCAGACGGGTTGGCCAAGAAACCCTGCTTGACATCAGTGAGCTTGAGCAAAGTCTGGCATGCACAGATAACCACTCCAACGATGTCAAGTCATTACAGAGAGTTATCCAAGACCCAAAGGTCCCAGCTAATAACAAGCTGAGGCTGGTTGCAATCTACGCCTTGCGATACTCAAAAACTTCCTCAAACTCCACTGCCATGCTTCTCGACTTGCTTGCTGTCGCAGGTGGACTCTCGCGTAATCGCATTAACCTTATCACGAAGCTTTTGGCATACCACGACTCATTACAAACGATCACAGCAGCAGGAGGTGTGCCAGACTTGTTCCAGCCTGGCTCTTTCTTCGGCGGCGCACGCGATCGACTAAAGGGTCTGAAGGGTGTCGAAAACGTCTATACACAGCATTCACCGCGCCTGGAAGCCACGTTGCAAGACATGATCAAGGGACGGCTGAGCCAACAATTGTATCCTTTTGTTGAAGGCGGCGGATCCACAAAGGACAAGCCCCAGGATATTATCGTTTTCATGGTTGGAGGATCAACATACGAGGAGGCAAAAATGGTTGCGCAGGTCAATGCAAGTTCGCCAGGCATCCGAGTCGTGCTCGGCGGTACCACGGTGCACAATAGCACTTCGTTCTTGGAGGAGGTGGAAGACGCGGTAGACTCATGGCCTGAGCCACCTCCCGCTTCAGCTGCGGCTCGCTTGAGGAGAGAGGTTGGACGGTGATGAGGGCATGTCACAGTATTGTTTTGTTAATCTTAGCGACAATCTTACCGACTTTGAAGGAACTTGAGTTCATCGGTGCAAGCGACGCGCATTCTGATTTTGGCGCTAGGCGGGGGCCGAAGTGGGATGATCCGCGTGTGGCCAGTGAGTATGCTGTGAGATGTCAGCCATACATACGAGTTCAGTATGTTGCATGTAATATTTTCAGACGTGTTTTACATTGAGCTACCCACATAATGAGTTCTTGTTGCTCCGAGATGACCTAGCCGTTGAACTCGATCCATTGGCGAGGCCCTCAACGACCACTCTCTACGCTGCATAGCCTACTCCACTGCGAAATCGGGACTTGTACCTGCATGACGCTGATAGGCGCGCGACGAACATAATCTGCAGCGGCTAACCGGGAAGCAGCCAAGTCCAGCCGTCAGGGCTGAGGCTCTCATCACGTGGCCATGTCCGACGAGCAGATCGGCCACATAAAGGCAAGGGTCCCAACGTTCCAACCGGAGTGCCTGCTCCACCCATCGCACGACCGACCGAGCACTCAGCCACAACCTCACCAGACGTCGACAAATGGCGCGAAAATGAGCAATGCCAGAACCAGGACAACAGGTGCTGCAGTCTCGAGTGGTTCGCAGACGGAATCCACGGCCTATTAATTCTTGCGTCGAGTGTCGCACGAGGAAGTCGAGGTGCAGCAAGACACATCCTTGGTGATTGATTCTCCCGCATATTTGAGTGTGTTTGCTGATTCGTGCGTAGTAAGTAATGTGAAAATACCTCGCGATTGGGTTCTGGGGGCTGATGAGGGCATCAAACTTGACCAGGCCAGAATTGCACCGCATTCGGAAGAGAGTGCATTTTCATTACCGTCCCGGAGAGCGCTGCACGCAAGAAAGAGAGGGAGCAGAGAGAGCGCGCGGCGAGCAAAAGTGGTACCGGGGTTACTATCCCTGATTGGACTAAGAATCTGCCGGTGCGCACGCAGAGCTCAGCAAGCTTGACGGACAAGTATGAGAATTCGAACTCTGTTGATACGACGACGCCTGGAACGCCGCCAAGAGACTACGAGTGGGAGGCGTACCAGCAAGATGTGGAAGCCGATGGGGATGCGTGGGAGCGACTACCTGCTGAACCCGAGGAAACCCAGGACGACGTGTACGAGGACGAAAATGACGACGAGGACCAGATCGCGACGGATCTCACGATCAGAATCGGGCGGATGATCATCTGCGAGAACGTGACCGGCTTCTTCCGTCCCCAGTATGCTGAAGAGGTATGGTCCGCCCTGAAATTGGTTTGCAATTGGTTCCCTCGATCAAAAGCTGAAATGCTGCGTGTAGTTGGGCAAGCTTTTGTCTGAGAGGCCTAGTTCGTCTTCGTCTGTTGCTGGTCAGCGAGCGTCGCAATCGAGCGGGCTTCTATCAGCGGAACAGATGCCATCCCTGGCACCTTCGCTGAATCTCCTGCTCGGTGGATCGTTGTCCTTACATCAGAGCAATGATGCGGGCCCGCCACAACTGCCGACTAAAGTTGAAGCAGAAGCGCTCTTTCAGCGCTATAACGAAGCTGTCAGCCCTCTAGCACATGTGTTGCACATTCCCTCCTTTAAGCGGCTTTTCGATCGGTTCTGGCTCAATGTTGAAATTGGCAGTCCGAATCAAAATTCTTGTACTGCGTTGATACTTGCGGTATGCATGGCGGCTGCTGCATCGGTGTCACCACTACAGGCAAAGTCCCAGTTTGGCATTACGAAAGAGGACCTATTTTTGAGACTTCAGAAAGCCACCGAAAGAGCATTGTTGCGTGCCAACTGGGCCAAGACGTCGAATATCAGGACGCTTCAAGCATTAACGATCTACTTGGTAATTTTCAAAATAGATTTCCCTACGCATGTTGACCTAGGAGCTTATATTTTTAGATTCCACTCTGCCGCGCCCAGATATCACGCGCCACTTCTGTCGTAGTTGGGGCTCTCGTCCGCCTCGCTCAATGCATAGGAATCCACCGCCTTCCTCACACGTCTGCCAACAGTCTCACACCCCTTCAACGTCACGTGCGCTCTCTCCTCTGGTACCAAATCTGCTTCCTAGATTTCAAGACTGCCGAAGCACAAGGTCCTCATCCATCTATACGCGCTGACGACTTCGACATCGCCCTTCCTCTCAATGTGGACGACGATGCATTTGAGTTCGGCACGCCCAGTTGGCAGCAAGTCCCGCGCGACAAGAACGGCTGGACAGATGTAACATTGAGTCTCATCCGCTACGAATGCAACGAAATCCACCGCCTCATCTTCCGCGGCAGAATCGAAATCGATCGCAAGACCCTCACACTCCACGACCTCCGTGCCCGTGTCGAAGCCCGAAAACGCCTCATCCAAACAAAATACCTCCAATACCTCGACGCCTCCATCCCTATCCAGCGCTATGCCGGCCTCGTCGCCACCCTCCTCATGTCTCGCTGCGACTCCATGCTCCTCTACCGGCACCTCCCGCAAACCTCTCTCTCCCCACGTTCCGACTCTGAGAACCGCCTGCGCGACCTACTTCTCACCGCCGCGTTGACCACCTTGGAAATCGGCGCCACGCTCGACACGCTCCCAAGCCTGAGTGCATGGGCATGGTACTCCACCACCTACCAGCAATACCACGCCGTCCTACTGCTCCTCACCGAACTCTACCGCACGCCCGACCTCCCGCGCAAAGAACGCATGGCCACCATCATCGACCACATCTTCGGGCACTGCTACGGCGTCGGCGTGCGCGAGCGCTGCCGCGACCTACTCGGCCAGGTCAAAGAGAACCTCGAGGCCTTCTACGTGATGAAGGGCTTCAACAAGAAGCGCCCCACGCCGTCTCAACACCCGACCTTCCAGCCCTACTCGCTCACCTCCCCGCAGAATTCGAATTTCGGCGCACAGCACCAGTTGCATAGCCAGGTCCAGCGCAACGCGCCCGCGAATCTCGCGGATATCAATGTTGATTTTGATAGTTTGCTGGGGAGCATGAATGGCGCGGGGCAGGGGGATGATTTCGAGTTCTTTGGGGGAGCGGGCGCGGGGGGCATGCAAGGACAGCAGGATCCGGGCGCGATTTTTGTGCCGGTGGATGGGGCGCAGGGGGCGGATGGGTTTGGGCAACAGACGAGTCCGAATGGAGGGTTGCAGCAGTGGGTGAGTAAATGCCTTCTCTTGAGCCTTGGGATAAGTGCTAACGGTTGTGATGCAGGAGAGTTGGAATTTCCCTACGCAGCCCAAGTATGAAAATTAGTCGGACACGAATTCTTGGGACAGGTCTTTTCGATGAATCTGATTCCATGGGTCACATGTGTGATTTCGCGCTTATAGATTAAATGCAACAGTTGATATTCATTTTTGAGCTTCAGATATTTCCCCAAGTCCTGATTCGAACCAGCTCGATGTGAATCATCCACAGAACGCCGCGGAACGCCACACTACAGCAAACTACCACGCATCGAACATACACCGCAAACGCCAATGTGCATGGACCGCACAGCAGCCGCTCTTATACAGATGCCTTCACCACGTGCCAAACTTGTTCGACACTACCGTGTTCCCTAGAACACAGTGAGTCAGCCAACGAAACAAGCAGATAAGAATTCGTCATTAATATCGTGCTAGTTCAGAGGCACTCAACGCACTTCGCTTCATTGGAGGCGGAGGTGGCGGGGGCTTCTTCGCGCGCGACGGGGGAGGTGGTGGTGGTGCTTTCTTCCCGGTCGATCCGAGAGAATCCGCTGCGCTCCAGCTCGCGGCTCGCGACATCACACTGCCGCTGCCCACGGAAGATCGATCCGGGCTAGGAGGCGAGCGGTCGCGCGGGTCGCGTCTATGGCCGTTGGAGCTCGCATAGTCGTCTTCGTACTCATCGGCGAATGCATTCGTTTGGCGAACGGGGCGGAGATTGTTTCGACTCGAAATGACTGACGAATCGGTGGGCACGCGTGTCAGACGGCGAGCGGGAGAGTCGTCGCGACCGTTCGTGGTGCTGTCATAGGTTGATGTTCGGCTCATCGAGGGGCGCAGCGCATAACCCCCTGGCGACGAGTTCTCCGTTGGGGAGCGGTTGCGAGAAGACAGCTTTGGAATAACAAGGCGCGGGGCTTCGGGCTCGGGCTCTTCCTCTACCGGGTTGAAGCGGTCAGCGTAGCCGTGGGCAGTATTGACGGAGCGCGATCGTGCGGGGCGGGTGGCTTGTGCGGTTGATCTAGATTACGTGTCAGCATTTGCTGTGACCAATGTCTCGAATTGATGAGTCTCACCTGACAGGCCATTCACGCTTGACGTTCAGGAGAACCTCACGGCAGCGATCGTAGTAGCTCAGCTCGGCCTCGAGGAAGGAGGTCAAGTCCTGAACCATTTCGACTTCAGACTCCTTGATGTCCTGCATTCTTCGGAAGACGTCTTCGCTGGTCTCTTCGTATTTGGCCTTTTGTGCGCGCAGCTCCTCCTCCATGCGGAAGTCCTCTTTCTTGGTCTTCTGCATCTTGGCGAGCGAGGTATCGTAGGCCAGGCGGCGCGTCTCGAGCTTCTTGCGGGCAGCCTGGGTGCCGGTCAGCTGCTGTCATCAATTGCATTAATTGATGTGAGACGTACCTGGTACTCCTTCATCTGAATCAGGGAGCGTTCAAGACCCTCCAGCCATGACGTAGTGGCGCTGGCGACATAAGTCTCCTGGACTCGTGCCAGTCGCTCGTTGGCGCGACCGAGAGCTAGGGTCTATTAGCATCGCAGGCACGCGAAGGCACAATGTACGCACATGATAGGCAGTTGCCAAACTCGGAGTCGGGCTCAAAGTCCTCGCCGTGGGTGACCATGGTTGAGCCCAAGTGGCCTCCAGGGAGCTGCTTCTCCTTGTCGTCGCCCTCTGCACGCTTTGACAGCGACTTGACGTACACCGCCATGGACTTTTGCATCTTGTCCATACCTGTGGGCAGTTAGCATTCACCCTGCGAAGCTGTGCAACGGTGCAACGGCGCATCCATACCTTCATGGCGCAGATTCATCTCCAACTCCAGCGCCTTGAACTCGTCGGACAGGCCAGTGCGGGCCTCGGCGCCCATTTTCTCGTTGGTCCATTGCTTCAAGCGGTCGAATTTCTTGTTGATGTTCATGATTGCGTGTGGTGAAGGAAAGTTGCCAGCCAGGTGGGGGTTGTGATAACGAGTGGTGGCTTGGGAGGCGGCTGGGATTTATTATCGATAGTACAGGGTCATGCAGGAGCGATGGATAAAATGGGCAGCAGCGGCGGGAGGATTCCAGCACGAGCACCACACCAGCAGCAGCAACGAATGACGTGGTGAAAAGGGAGTGAATGAGAACAGCTGTTACAGTGTCGAGGGAGGTGTCGCAAGCAGGTGCAGTCACAGCAGCAGTCCATCTCCTGGGGAAACGCGTGTCAATTGTACCCTCATGCCATAGCGCGACCCTGAGGCACTGGGCCAATCCTAGCCGAGCGTTGATCGACGCCTTTTTGACACCTTCTGGGCTCGATTCGCTCTCCACCCTCAAAGGGCCCGTTTCACCCGCCATTTGCCATCCTAGACACTATCGACCCGCTCCCCACTGCTCTATCTTTGGCAACTTCCGTCATCTTTGCGCGTCAATTCACGCGCCCTGCTCGACCCATACAGCGTCATCGCCTGCACTCTGCCCTATCGCACACCCCTGGCACCTTGCGTCCTGGGTTTCACTCAGAAGCTCCCTTCCACCTTCTGTGCATCCGCGACGCACACTAGCTTTCGGCCTTGCAGCCATTGCCCGCACTTGTGGACCGAGATGCAGCACCAGGCGCACTGGGTCAGATGCACAATCTCTAGCTTTGGCCAGGCCTCTGAACGTGCATGATCGAAAAGGCGACTTACTCCGTCCTCCATATGTTGAGAGGCCAAGCCGACGGTCTCTGCAGCCTCGGCCTTGGTGTGAGGCGCTGGAGGGGTCGAGGTATCGTTATGCTCGTCTTCACAAGCACACAGGCAGAGCACAAGTCTGTTGGCAGTGCAAAGAGCTTCTCCAGAACAAGCCGTGCACATAAGCCTCATTTCGCAAAGTATACTGACCAAGGATCTATAAACTTACATTTGGAGTACCAGGTCCCCCAGCGAACAGCTACACCGAACAGGCACCGCAACAGTTCATGAGAGCTCGGTCTGAGATCCAAGCACAGTCAGGGAAAAAGGAAGCATCATACGTGCCTGGGTGGATTCAACAGTCCAACCACAGATTGAGAGGTGTATAAGTCACCTTGAAGCTTTCCTGCTATGACTGTAGCTTTGCGATCAGTACTCGGTACAGAAAAGGCACCAATTTGCCCCTCATATGGTGGCGCGCTGCACCACGTGACCTCGGGACAGTTGGAGAACATCAACCTCGAAACCTGACGGAAGACCAAACTGCGCGACACGTAGACGGCCTCCTATCTGACCGCGATAATATCTCCCTTCACTCCACGCGTATCTATATGGTCTGTATGATTTCACCAAGTGGAGTCATTATTTTACATTCAGGTCTTCTCCGATAGCTATGTCTATTTCATTTCACTCTCCATCTCTGCCTCTTCGATGCTGTACTGCATCAAGCTATGAGGACAAGGTGTTGTGGGCAATCTGCGCACCCGCTGTTGTGGGAGCTGGGTGCTGCGCGCTTTCGCAGCCTAACATAGGCTCAAGTGCCCGCACAAAGCATCGCTAGAACCGAGCAATGCTGCGCGCAGAGGAAGACCGCGACATCGTCAGCACAACCATCTCAAAACATTCCCGACATACCCGCTCCGCCGTTTGGCTTTGCCATGTCGCTCGCAGTCAAGAGGCATCATGAAATACTATGCAACAGCACTGCAAGAGTTGGGGCCTGCTTGGAGAAGAGCTTGCTGGGGCTGTCAACCCTCCAAAACGCCTGCGAAGGGGTCCAGTCGGCTGCGCATTGTCAGCTGCGGACCGGCAGACCAGATCCCCCTTGTTTCGGCGGTGCTGCGGGCTCTCGTTTCCATCATGTCGCATAGCTTCCAGCACGCATGCTGTTGAAAGACCGAACCCAGACTTCAAATCGATGTACGGGATGTATCTCTAGGTTCATTGACACCGCTACACGCCTCTATGCCCCTACAGTATCTCGCGGGTCGAAGAGAAGAGCCCGTTGATTGTCGGCTAGGATAGACTTATGCTCGCAGACCCCAAAGCATCTTGAACATCAACGCTTCCAAGTCCTTAGGCGGTGATTTTCCAACTGCATCACGCTCGCCTGTCGCGCCTGAAAAGGCATTGTACCTATGTACGGCTGGCAATCAAGCTGCTAGGGGATGTTTGTGAACATTAAAACTATGCAGCGGGGTCGCTGCTATATCTGATAGTAACAGAACTTCAAGAACAATAGTTCTGATAGCATAGATCAAATGATGGCTTCAATGCACCTCTTACGCGATCAAGTTGTTCTCCTCGTTGACCTAAAGCTATCAGCGCATCCTAGATTGATCGAAACAAATGCTGTGAATACAAACTCATGTCCATTGAAAGCCCAAGCAGCAGGGGTCTAAACAGTCGATCGCGGTGCTAGCGACAGAAAGATTAGCTTACCCGTACTTCGTCGTTGCTCCCTCGTCCACGTCCACCTCCGCAGCATCAACCGCGAACACCACCAACAACAACCCCCGCAACCATGGTCGACTCAGACTCCTCACTATCGTCGCCGCCATCGACTGACGACGAAATGCCTGTTGAAGCGTCAAAAAATGGCACCAAGGCAACACCTCAGAAGAAGAAGCAGGGTAATATCTTGACATTCTTCAAACAAAAGGACCGCTCGCCATCTCCACCGCGCAAGAAGCGCGAACCCTCGCCCGAGCATGTATATGTTCCAGAAGACAATCCCGACATTGCTGTACGTAGTAGACGCGTCAGTCGCGTCTCATCGCGACGTGAACCATAGCTTTACGCGGTCACCTCCTACGTCAGACCTCCGCTAACATTTCGATGCCACAGTTCATTGTAATGTTCCGATCACGATTCAACGAAGCCTTTCCCCGTGGTGCGCCGCACCTGGGACCCCAGGACATCGAGCTGGGCGTTGCAGAGGGCCCGCCGTCAGCAGATGTTGAGGGTCTGCTCTGTGCCCTGCTCGGTCTCGTCCTCAATCGCAAGAAGCCTGTAGAGTCAGTACCGCCCCGTTATCCTCGTATCATATCTGCAACCTAGTCGCATACACGCAGAGAAGCCTGGTTCAACAGACGGCTAACATTGGTTGTGTGCTACAGGAAGGGTCACTATGGCCGCGCTCTCGAGGAAAGCATCCAAACGCAGAAGTCACAGTGGCCACGAGCATGGAACGGCGCCAACCCCATCAGTGGTGGTCGCAACTTTCTGGGCATGACGGCGCTGGAGCGCGTGAGTAACAGATGGCTTTGCTGCTGCTACTAGCTAATCATGTTGCAGATCACGCTCCTCCACACCCTCTCGCTATGGAGTCTCAACCAAAACGAACAGGTCAAGACCATGATCGCCAATGCCTACAAGTCCCGGACGACCAAGGATAGGTTAGACACAAACATTCCTCTATCAGTGCAGCCGTGGGGTCTCGATGGTGACAAGCGACGGTACTGGCTGGTCGAAGGACAAAATGACACACACTTCCGGGTGTATCGCGAGACGGACCCTCACAAGACAAAGAAGGTCAAGTGGTTCAGTGTTGCCGGTGACATTGATGAGCTGCGCGTTGTCGCTACCAAGCTGGAGGAGGAGGATGGTCGCAAGGAGGCCAAGGCCCTCAGCGAGCGGATGATCAACGCCATTCCTCGCTTCGAGGCTTCCGAAGTGGTGAGTATAATGATTACATGACCACAGTGCCTCGCTAACAACCATGTAGAAGCGCAAGCGTCGCGAGTACCGCCTCAACCGCAATGCTACCTTCACCCGTCCCGACCCTGGCTTCTCGCTCTACGAAGGGCGTACTCGCGGCAAACGCCTCCGATACACATTCTCTGACGAGGAAGACTTCGACTCGGATAATCTTGGTGCACGACGCTCTACACGCACGTCAGGACGGGAAACACCTGCTGTTCCATCTGGTCCCACCGTCACCGCAAGTGGTCGCCAGGTGCGGTCTCGCGCCACCGGTCTTTATGGTGAGACGCTGCTCAGCGGCCAAGTCTCAGACCGCGCATCGCCGGCCACAGGAGACTATGTACGATCAGATGCGTCCGAAGAACCACATCAACCTCACGCACATGGCCGAGCTACGCGAAATGCCCCGCGCGGCACCACGAATGGACGACCTCTCAAGCACACGCTCGAGTCGGATGACGAAGAAGACGCTACGTCCTGGGACGGTGGAGATGAGGACGAAGATGAGCCTGAGCAGATGGAGCTTGACGACGACGAGGATGATCAGGCTGATGACTCTTCCGACGATGAGGAAGAACCTCAGTCACTCGTCGTCACTCTGCGCTATGGCAAGGGCTCTTCCATCCCCTCAAACGGCACCACGACATCCAAGGAGGTCGCACCAGATGCAGAACGAACGAACGGAATTATCTCGAACGGATCACATCCTGACGGTACTGCAATCACAGATCCTGTAGCACCTCAGCAGCCAGAGCAACAGCCACCCGCTCCAATGGAACCATCCATTCAACCCGCACCGCCACCGCCACCCGTCGCCGCGGATGGTCTCGAGCAGCCCGTTGCTGCTACTCATGTCCCCAACGACACCCCGGCCTTACCACCCCAGCCTCCGACCGCACCCGTTCCCCAGGCCGCTGTGCTTCCCAAGCTCGAGGGCATGTTTCCCGCACCGCAACAGCAGCAGCCAGTTCAATATCCCACTGGCCAGCCTGCACCCTTCGTAGAGAAACCACAACAGCAGCCGACGCTACCTTCCCCCACGCCTGCGGCGAACTGGCAGTAGAATTGCTATATGATAATAGACGGCCGCGTCTCGAAGTGATGTGTGTCGTACAGAGCTACCAACGCATGCATTATAATTTTTACTTTTCTACACTGTTGATTGGCATAGAGTGAGAAGGGAAATGGATACCCATGGGCGTTATGTTGAAGTGATGGGTGTGGAGTAGGATAGCAAGATGATGCTGGAAACGGAGGAAGAATAGTGTTTGCATGCATGCCTCATGAAGACCAATCTCACATGAGAGGCTCAATGATATAATTCCCAAGCAAAAAAGATCATCTTATACATTGCTGCTGTTCATACATGCATGCTAAATCACCCAAACGCCTCATTCCATGCTTTTACAAGATGTCATATCATACAGTTCAGATCATCGAAACGTCCCCGGCGCAAGTGCCCCAGGCATGCCCTTCTGCCCGCTCCACCCCTCGCTCGTCCGACTCACCGGCTTCGGCCGATACCTCACGCCCTCCTCGCGACTCGTCTGCGCGCGACTCATCCCAGGCCTCTCCTGCTTGCGCACGCCCGCGCGTATCTCCGCCTCGCGCAACTTGGCGCCCTCGGCTTCGAGCGACGTACTCGCCGCACTCGGGTGACGAAGTTGCGGGGGCACAGGCAATGTATACCCGCCATCTTCTTCTTCTTCTTCTTCTTCTTCCAATATAACCTCCTCATCGAGATCGGCCTCGCTGGCTTCGACGTCCTCGGTCGCGCCGCCGCGCGTGTTGTGTTTGCGCGGCCACAGGCTGGGCAGCACGATTTGCTGGAAGCGCGGCTCGACGGCGCGCTCGTCGAACCAGGCATGCACGCGCGATTCGATGAGCTGGGCGATCTTGGGCACGTCTTGCAGGCGTGAGCGGGAGCCGACGAGGGAGCGCACGGAGAGGTCGAGGCGGTAGTCGTCGAGGAAGGTGAAGGCGAGGGTGGTGGGGCGGTGTGGGGGGGAGGTGGATGAGGATGTGGTGGAGTTTGATCGGTGGTGTTCGGGGTTTGGGGTCGTGGTGGATGTCGACGGCGGGGAGGAGGAGGGGATGAATGATAGTGCGAGGGTGCCGGAGAAGCGCACGATGCTGACTGCCAGCGCGACGGGGAGGACGGCGGAGAGCGGCTTGGGCCAGTTTAGGTTGAGGGTTGTTTCGATGCCGATTGTGATTACATCCGACAAGTCGACGTCCATGCGTGCTTGGAGTCGGCCTTCTTCAGTCCCTGTGGTGCCGGGGCCGTACCAGAACCCGTCTTCGGCGGGCATCACGCGGCAGTTGCTGAAGATGGGGAATTCGTCGCCGAGCGCGATTTCGTTGACTTTGATCTCGCCGATCCAGTCGGGCTTGCTGCCGGAGTTGAGGACCTCGGTGAGGGAGCCGAGGATTGCATCGTCTTGTCTTGCATCGGCGCGGAGTTGTGCGATTGTCTGCGCGATCAAGACATTAAACCAGTCAAGGCTCTCGGGCTGGTGGCCTTTGACGTTGTAGTATGTTTTGGCGAGGATGGTCGCGATGCTGGGCCCGCCCCTCGTCTCTTCCCCCTTGCGAATGATGCTCCTGCTGTCTTTATGTCTCAGCGACAGCGATATCGAATTCGAGCGTGTGCGCAGCTGCTTTATGGATTGCTGGTGCGCGAGGGTGCGCGCGCGCCGCAGCGAATTGAGGTGCAGCGACCGATCATCTGCGGAGGGGGGTTCGCCGAAGATGAAGAATTTTATGAAGAAGAAGATTAGGAGGGCAATGGAGAGTTGGCCGAGCAGGAAGCCTTGGGTGAAGGAGAGGCTGTGGGGTGTTAGTGGGGTTGGAGAATGTTGGAGGACGTGGTGGCATACGATGATGAGCTCTGAGGTGTAGGATGGAGACAATGGGGTTGCGACTTGGGTCGCCATGATTGAGGTGGAAACGCGTGCTATCGACGTATCATGGTGGTGGTGGTGTTGGAATTCATGGCGCGCAATGGCTTGCGGCAAGCTTCACGATGCAGGCCGAGGACATGACGCTATTTGGTGCTACCGTAACTTATCGATAAGACTTGAATGCTGTCCCTTGCCCTGCACCACGCGAACAACCTCCAACACGTCTCGTCCGCGATCTCAGTTCGTCATGGCCGGCTTCCCCAAGGCTGTCAGGTTCAAAAGATCTGTAAACACCGTCAACGCGGTCAAGGCGGCGCGCGTGATCCGCTCCATCAAGAGTCGCTACCGGACACAGGCGTTCTTGTTCCTGGCCTACCACTTCTTCCTGACTTCGTTTGTGCATTTGGATATCTTCATTATCTTCTTCATCCTGGTCAGCAACTTCATGAACCGCGACCAAGCTTTCCCCAGCCAACTGCTCTTGGACGGTCTTCGCTTCTTGCTCGACGAGAGGAGGTTCAACATGCCATGAACTCCGCGGCGAACACCGTCGCGAGTCCACGACCTTGACACATGTTGCGCTACATGGCCGCATGCGTACAAGATTGGACTAGCATTTGTATATCCGTTCACTCCACATCCAGACTTCTCCATCGTGAAGACGGACTTAACGGCACTTGACTGCCGCAACATTGGGTACCTCCGATTGGTCGACGGAGCTCCCTCCTCCCCACCCCAGGTACAGCTTCACATGGCCCACCCTCGCGCAGCTTCACTGCATCCTTATGGACTTTGACACTGCAAGCCAAAGCCTCTCGCCGGGCGCTGCCATACACAGTACAAGCCTTCGACTGCCGGCGACCTGCGAACCGCCCTCGGAAAACAACCCACCGAAGCGATCAGTATGGATAGTACGGCGGCCTCAATGCTACGCTGCGTGGACAATGGCTAATTGGCTCGCGATAGGTCTTTGGAGCGACCGGTCACATGGGGAGGTCCCTGGTGCGAGCAATACTAGCACACGGTGATCAGTGCACTGCCGTAGGATGGACACAAGAGAACACACCAGACCAGATGCAGAAGTGGCAGGACAGGAACTGCCTGGGTCTCCTATGCGACGTGCGCGTACGAGAGACCGTAGACCACGTGATGAAGCGGAGCATAGAGCACTGGGGACGAGTAGACGTTATAGCAAACAGCACCGGCTACGGCGTAATCGCAGCATGTGAAGACCAAGACGACTACGACCTTCGCAACCAATTCTCCACAAACTTCCTCGGCACCCTCAATGTCATCCATGCCTCCCTCCCCTACTTCCGCGAACGCAACAGTGGACGCTATCTCATATTCTCGTCGACGGCTGGGGCTCTGGGCGTCCCGGGCCTCGGACCATACTGCGCAACGAAGTACGCCGTTGAAGGTCTCATCGAATCCATGCTCTACGAAATCGACGTCTTCAACATCAAAGCGACCCTCGTCGAACCGGGCCACGTCCGACTTGACGAACCTGACGATAACATCATCCCCTCAAGCTACACATCCGCCCCTGGCACTGGCCCCCCAAAGCCCCGTCGCTACGGCCACTTCTTCGTGAAGCCGAACCCGAGCGAGCCCTACGCCAGCCTCACAAGCCCCGCCCAACACGCAAGACGTATGGTCCAATGGCTCAACGACAGACAACCCGTTAGCGCAATCAAAAGCGCAGAATTGGTGTGGCAGCTGGGACACTGTAGTTATCCGCCGCTCAGGCTCATTTTGGGAAGTTATGCGGTGGATAGTATAAGAGATCGCATGAAGAGTATCACCGAGGAGATTGAGGACTGGAAACACCTTTCGTTTCCTGTTAGTGCGGGGGCTGAGGAGGACGGGAGGGCGGAGAAGGAGGAGGATGGGGATGAGGGGATGGATGATTGAATGATAAATGGGATATTTTCGCGTCGCGGTCATGTCCGGATAGAAAAGTGCATAACCATCGAGCGTCCCTGTAAATTCCACGTCGCGCTCATTCCAACTTCCTCTTGTGCTATTTTCACCCGTGCCTCTCCATCCACCTCCCCCCGAGCGGAGCCTTTGTTGCCCGTGATCATCGATTTCGTCGACAAACCTCAAACCTACCTCCGTTGAACATGAAGTCTCTGTTCCGATGTAAATTGCACGCTTCACTATACACATGTACAGCGTAAGACTTACCCTAACCATCCCCTGGCAGACAAGCCGCATATTTCATGTGATGACATGCCTGACATGCATAAGCCGGCCATTCTCCGTCGCCACAACAGGAGCAATACCAGACTTGCATTGGCGGGCCGTCGTCGATCGTGGAGGTACTGGTGGCTAGCATGGTGTCGACGCTCGGGAATTTGCTGTGCGCTGCTATCGGGTGTTTGGACGAGAGAAGGCTTGGAAGGCGTGGAGGGTGGTGTATATGGGCACTTTTTACCGGACTGCGCCTGTGTATAGAGCAGTGCACAGTGATGGGGTAAGGAGTGCACAGAAGCTCGGCAGTGTAAAATGTCAGCTGGTTCATCAGACGCCACGTTGATTGCGATGGCCAATCATGGCGTTTATGCAGCCTTTTTTGGCGAAGAGTAAGCATGAGTTTGTTTGTGCACCTTAAAACCCGGTGAAATGACGCAGTCGATCGCGCTGTTGTTGATTGTTTTGACAGCTGCATTGCCTTCGTAGATAGAAGCCTTGAAACCTTATCTAAGGTGAAATCAGCTCCTTCACTCTAAGATTTGTTTGTACATGTTTGTGCGCATGTCAGTCACGATTCTATGCACAGCCTCGTGCGTGCGTCTTACAAAGCTTGATAGAGAAGAGTTTGTCAAATATGTAGAGTGATCTGGTGATGTGGTCCTTGTAATATTCTGTTTAGACAATCATGCAGTTTGCTGAATATGATCGGTGCTGAAGCTGAGGCTAAACATTGTGTAGAGTGTTGTGATCGAATTTGGCATGTATGGAAGCGAATAGGAAGCAGGCTGTATGCTTGCATGTTGTACCGACGTAATTTCTACAAGAAAAAGTTGTGAAGCGAACAGTCTATTCGATTCCAAGAAATCTCTTCAATCCCATCACCAAGCTCTCAAGTTCACACACTACATCGGTATAAACCGCGCTTTGCAGCTCTTCGGAATCGAGGTCGTTGCCACACGAGAAGTCGCAGTCAATACACTGTTGTATGATCCTTTGATAGCGTTTTCCCAAATGCGCTATTGCTGGAGGTGGGGTTTGGAGCACTTTGCGAGCGCGGATGATGTTGTGCGGTGCGGACAAAGCAGCTAATGTCTTGATCTCAGCCTGGCAGCCTATCTCCAGTAAAGCGATGCCTAAGTTTGCCAGTGGGAGGTTTCTGATTCCACAGCTGATTGCGAGGTCAGCTTCAGATTCGCCTGTGGCGTGGAATTTTTTGCTCAAGTCTTTGTTAGGGAACTGTGTGCTCAAATGAAGGCTTCGAAGCTGTTCCAAGAGCCTGTCCGAGGTATCTTGACCGCAAGACCCTGGCATCGCTTGTGCAGAACCGGCAAAGTATGCGATGTCTTGTAAGCTCCAATCTGCTGCTAGCCAAAATGTCGAACGATATTGCAGTGTTGCCGTGGCGAGCTGGTGTGCAAGCGTGAGTTGGTGAAGGGTCCTTAAGTTGCTCATCATTGTGACGATCTGAACAGTGTCGCCTACTGCTCCAAGCATGACCTTGGGATGTTTTACATCTCTAATAGCATCGTAGAAAACGAACCGGCATGTGTCTATGGCTTTTTGGTGCTCCAAATAACCCAAGCAGGAATCGACACAGGTTGGCGCTGGTGTAGAGTACTTCTTCAGATGACAACAGATGCTGTCTGTTTTCATCAAGTCCACCATTAGGAGCGACTGCAATTTAGGATCTCCAGGAGGGCCTGATGATCGTAGCGTTTTGTTTCCGGTTGTTTTGGCAGGTGCTCTGCCCTGGTTGACAGATGTGTCGAAACGCACGCTCTGCTGGTACTTCCGCTTGATATTACCGCCGAAAGACTCAGAATTAGAGCTATCAATAGTAGATAGTGCCGTATTAGTTGTTGGCAGTAGAGCACTGGTTACTCCTGTGATTGTTTCGATTGGTTTTGCCACTGCCCCAGTCGTAGTAAGTGCTTCTACGAACAGCCATAGTGGAGTTTCCATATCTGAATGACTTGGAAGCGTCAGTATTGAAACTAATCGTTCTCTCAATGCACTCACGCGTGGCTTTGTGCGGTAGGCTTGATTCTACCAGCGATCACCATGTCCAGACGGACACTGCCATAGTCCGCCTTTGCCTCAAGACACAGCTTTGCCTCATGTCCACAGTGCATGCCATTTTTACAGGACCATGAATCATTGAGCGATTCGTGGAGTCTTTGAGACGCAGTTTGAACACAGCCATATTTACGAGGTACCGCTTTGCGCACGATGCAGCCCGATTGGGCGGTGTGTCGCTTCTGCAGTTTACGTCGCTGCTTATTGAGATCTCCGAACTGCGTGTTTCGATCATGTAGTTGTTGGAGCCATCTTCGATATCGATTCTCTTTGCGTGAGATATTGAATGCCAGATAGAGGCGCTGCTTCGTGTCATGCTGTGATGTGCGCTTCTTCGTGTCTTCGACAGGGAGGTCTCTCAAGCCTTCTCCCGTTTCGCGCAGTATACGCTTTATCTCCGTAATCATGAGCTCGAAGATCTCATAGTCAGCACCCAAATAATTTCGGAATCGGCCTTCGAGCTCTGGTGTATGCCAAGCGCCGTGCCTTGGATCTTCCACCATTTGTGAAATCTCCCGCGCATCTTGAAGAACACATTGCAATAGCAACTGGCAATCGTTCTTGAAAGATGCCGCAGCAGTCGCATACGAGAGTCGCACTCCATCAACGACATCTGAATAGTGCCTGAAAGTATTGAATCGGTCGCGCGCACTGCGATAGGACTTCAGGACTTCAACGACGACTGGAACGATGCCTAGCACAAGACTAGCAACTTCAATACCAGACATTTTCAATGCGACACCAGGAGTTTTGGGGTTCCGTGCTAGTATAAACTAAGTTTCCGGCCGTAGAATATGGTAAGACTCGAATACTGATATAGGCCGGGTGCACTGTCGAGACCTGCGGGCAGGTTAGCCATGTTTAACTCCCTAGCCAGAAGCTAAACCATTCATACTGTATAGCTGCAATTCATCAAGTGTCTTATTAGATGTGTTGTCTGATGAACAAAGAATTATCGCATGTGTTTGCTTGCTTGACAACTTAGAGAGGGAAGGCTGGAAGATGTGCACTGCCACCACGGAATTTCCAGGCCGTGGTTCCAGCGAATCACAACACATGATGCGCTGTCAATCTCTAATGCAGTCTTCATCTTTACCGCAGCCCACATCTTGCTGTGTCCTACATCTTCACGCAGCCCATACATACGTCTCATCAAACAAGTACCCGTGGACTGCAATTGCGACACTCATTTCTGGACGCCGAGCCGCCCCATCAAAGCTCTGTACCCAGCGCACACCGTTACCCGATGAGTAAGCTTGATGACAAGATTGTTGGATGGCAAATGAAATTAGATGCCGGAAACCAGGATGACGTATCTGGTGATCTTATTGCGCTTCTATACAGCAGTGTGATCAACTGTATGCAATTCAGCATCGGGGATACCAGAAAGCAAATTCCTGAGCTTCCGTATTACTCATCCTTGGAAAAGAGTGCTGCAGCACTGGTTCTTTGGGGAGCCGATCACCGCGTTCTACATGGAGCCCTTGACAGGGACCTGCAGCGCTCATTTGGGTTACAAGAAATCGTTCTGCAGATTCTTCTCTCTATTGGCAATGCCGTAGCTCGATGTAGGTGTGCACTTATATTCACATTGATCGGCCTACGAGGAAATTACTGAACTCATGACAGACTTGCCTAAGGCTTCCGGCGATGATTCACGTCGTCTATGGGAATCTCGGACTCGCGAACTAGCATCGATATCAGGGGCCGCAAAATATAGATTATATGAAACAAGAGATGTAGGCGTCGATCAGGCTTCCATCGAAATTGACGGGCAAGCGTTGATTGAGACTATCGAAGTTCATCTTACGAGCCTCAGAAGGCTCAACAATAGCCTCGAATACCCAGCAGCTGACAATTCCGATGATGAGAAGCGGGGAGATGAATCAGATATCAAAGTTATACCTGCTGATCGATATTTTGCGGCTCTCATTCAGGCCAGATTCCCAAGGGCCGAGGCACAGGTGGTACAGAATCTTGGCGAATCGAACTGGGCTCGCTACAACCATATTCACAGGCAGCGCGAGACTGTTAGAAATAGTTCTGAGGTGACCACTGTAGCCAAGACACTGTCAGACTTTCGCGACTCTGGTATCGGCAGCGCGAGTTCCTTGGCGTATGCAGCATCAGTCGTATCAACTCGAGCTGAGGCCAGTCATAAGCGTCTGCCCCCACTTCCAAAGACAGCCCGGATGGGCCAGCCCTTTATCTGCGAAATTTGCGAACGAACTGTTACTGTGCGACGCACGAGGGACTGGAAGTTCGTAAACGTTTTGCAAACTCACTTCCCACACCCGCTGACGGCTTCGTAGAGAACATGTTTTCAAGGACATATGTGCTTACACATGTGTCTTCCCTGAGTGCCCGAAGTCCGGAATACTTTTTGAAGAGCAAAGCTTGATGGCAAGCCACATAGAGTCACAGCATGGTGCGATATCTGGAGTGTTATATATCATATGCCCGCTTTGCAAAGAGGATTTAAAAGGACCAGCGGGGGATGGATCTATACATCTTGCACGTCATATGGAAGAGATTGCTCTTGGGGTACTGCCAAATAACGCAGAAGTCGAGGATGATTCTGAGACTTCTTCAAGTCTGTCAAGAGCACCCTACGAGACTGCATTAGCTGCAAGTGTTGCCACAGATGAAGAAGAGACATATCAGGTCTTGAAATCTGCACCGGGCTATGATTTGTGGCACTGCTACGAGTGTGGCGCGGATAATCCGTTCTGGAGCCCTGAACAATGTCCATTTTGTGGCGCACCCAACACTAATGCTAAGTCACTTTAATTTCTTTTTGTAAATCACACTAGGCGTTTCATAAGACAAGGTCACGATCTCTCAATGTTTCGACTACATGCGTCGCTGCGACTACGGTTGTGGCTTTGAGTGACATCACAGTTTCTGGGACCGTGGTAGAAATGTTTGGAGTAACCATCACTGCGCCACTGAGGACTGTAAAAGCCTTGATGACTGCCGCTTGAATGGCAGAAGTTGTAGTCGCTGTCGCAGGTGGCGTAGTAGTCTTCGTTGGTCGTGTTACGTAGCAGCTGCATGCCGTGCTCACGACTGCCGAGACGGAAGCTTTAAATTACTCGATTATGGTCGTTTTCGGTTGTGAGTCGCGCTCTTTCAGTGACCTAGCATTCCAATATAAAAGATTGACGTTCTCGTAAAAACTAATCCATTCGTGTCCATCACGTAAACATTCCATCATCATCATCATCATCCAAGCGTCCATTTCCAGCCCAGCCCAGCCCAGCCCAACAATCCCACCGAACCAATCCATCATCTCCCAAATCCCACATCATCCCCTCCACCTCCATCCTACTGCCCCATAAACTCCCTAACCCTCTTCCCCCACCCCTTCCCCACTCGATTCACACTCTTCTTCCACTCCTCCCAATCCTCCACCGTCTCACCCTTCAACCACCTCCCACCACGACGCCCAACGGCACGAACATGCCTCCTCTTCCCATCGCCCGCCTTGTGCGCCCAATCAATCAATCCAAACTTCTCGAGCCGCGCGGTCGAGCAAGGCGTGAAGAGACATGTGCCGGAGACGCCGTAGAAGCCGATGGCGTGTGTGTCGTCTGGGTAGAATTTTGGCGCGAAGAGGAGAGTGAGGGATACATCGGTGGCGCGCGGGGTGTAGGGCATGCGGGCGATGTTTGTGAGTGATATAGGCGCGAAGCGGGAGGGAGAATGGTTCGGGATGTGGTTTAGTGCGCTGGTGAGGTCGAGGAAGGCGAGGTTGTGGCACGCGATGAAGGTGATGGCGAGGAATACAGCGGGGTTAGAAGTGGTGGCGGTGTAGATTGGATTTGTGTAGTCGGGGACTTGCAAGGGGAGGGAAGTGTAGGTATCATCGTCGGCGGCCATTTCATGGTATGCGTAGTCGTGTGTGTGGTTTGGGCGGCTTGTGCCATGCCACCGGTATTCGTCGAAGTCTGTACAGATGCGCGTATAGGGCCTTTGGTTTAACATGTGTAGGTAGTGCTTGACGCCGGTTAAATCGTCTGCGAACTCGTCCGGCGAGCCGTAGTCGTCTTCGATGGAGTTTACGACGATGCTGTCTTGGTAATCGTCCCATGGGTAGCGGTCGAGTTCGTAGCGGCCGCTGGGTTTGACAATGACCGTGGATGGGAAGGATTGCGATCGTAAGGAGGACATGGGCGAGTCTGGTGGAGACGGCTGCTCGGGTGCAATCACCTTCCTAATAGGCCTCAGAATGCCTGATGGCGCTTTGGGCATGGTGTACTGCGTGACCTTGACGGCAGGACGACGATTTGCCGTGTTATTTTGGCGCATCTTCTTGTTAATCACGAGCTGTGGGACAACGACAAGCTTGCGCTTCGGAGGCATTCTGCACGACGTGGAGCTGGCAGGGACGGCTTCTCGAGGCATGGGTTTGAACGTGCTGCGAGATTGCGTTTAGTCTTTCGGGCCTGCCCTAGGTCTTGTCTATGGTAATTGAGAATAGTCAGAAGGTCGCAAAAAATAGTCGAACACGATAAAAGGGTAGAGACCTGGAAGAGAAAAGCCAATAATGCTGGTGAAAAAAGATTGGGGTGCGACAGGTTGCGTCTTGAAGTTGCCCGTGCGCTCACCGCGATTATATTCACTTTCACTACGATATTAACCATTAAACATCTACTCGGACTCGTCGTCCGTATCCTGACCCAGCACTAGTGATACCACATCATCGCCATCACTATCGTTCTCATCCGCGGCTGCGTCACCTGGCTCTGGGAGATCGGGTACCGCAGACGCTGTGCTGGTGACTGTGAAGTCAGAAGTCTGCGGTAAAACGACTGTCTGGCGGGGTGTTTCGCTGGCTTGCGGTGTCAGTGCAGGAAGAGGAGGTGCAGCCGATGTGATCGTCTGTTCTTGCTTGCTGGTCTTGAGTCGCTTGCTCGGAGAAGACGGAGCAGCATCTGTCTGCGCTCGCTTGGCAAACTCCTTGGACTGGTTTTGCGATCGAACCGAGGAACGCAATTCTCTGGGAGATGGAACGGGCAGGTCAGTAGAGCCAGATTCGTGGTTTTTGGCTTCGGTGATTAAAGCATCTGGCATCGCAAAATCTCTGGTGTCGGTGTTTGCGCGTCCCTCTGATTCCAAAATGTTGTCCAGTTTGTTACCCATAAAAGACTCATCGTCTCTCTCCATCACCGACCCCTCTTCTTCCGCCTCTGCCTCTGCCTCTTCGTCCTCCTCACTCTCTTCGTTCTCAATGCCATCTTCCTCCGCCTCAGTGTCCTGAGTCCCGAGACGTATGACCGGCATTCTCGGTCTCAGCATTCCCTCTACGTTGTTCGAGGCTGGGAAGGATCGCGCTATGAGTGGAATGATACTCGCAGCAGGCTTTCCAAATTTCTTGCTCGGTGGTGGGTTCAAAACACTTGCGACCATGGCGTCCTTGTTCTGCGTCAAAGTAGCTGTGCGGTCCAGACGGCTTCGTAGCGCATCGGAAAGATATTGCGCTCGTGTACCTGAGAGCAGCACAGGAAGAAGGACTTCTGCAGCTTCACGCAGCCCGAAAAAACTAGAGGCGGTGTCAACTGCACTCTTGGAGTTGAGGAAGGTATCAGCGTTGGCAGTGGTTTGAGCTGATATGCCGTTGGTCTTGTTTTGGCTAGGTGCTGCCTTCGTGGAGGCAGATTCCAAAGGCAGAAGATCATCGCAACAAGCGCGCATGAGAGGTACGAGGGAGTCTACAGAGGACTTGGAAAGTCCGGCTCCGGACCGCTGGAGTAGTTTTGCAATCGCACGATAGCAAGCACCGCGCAATTGGATGGAGTCCTTTTCTGACGTAAAGGTCCAAACGATCTGGTCGATGATGAGCGCGTCCAGAGACAACGTGCTAGACTGAGACCGGCTCGTCAACACCAGGAGTAATTCAATTGTCGCCACATGAATGTCCGGCAGCACCAACCACAGATTTTCCCGCTCGTCTTTGCTAATCTGATTGTTGAGTTTGACATTGTTTTGGTATGCTTTGCTTCCCGAACCAGGGACTGTGAGCGAAAGCATTCTCGTGATCATGTCCATTATTGAGCTGATGTTGATACCCACAGAGTTGGCTGTCGAGCTCGCAAGATATTGCTGGGCAAGCTGAAGTAGCCGTACTAGACGCTCGCTACCGGCGAAGATACCAGACCAGGACGGCAGAGCCATGTCACTGGCATCGACATCTTGCACTTCGTCGTCTAGAGTGTGACCATTTGTGGTGGGCTCCCGTGCGGAAGATTTCCAGTCCTCAAATACAGCTCGGAATATCTTGTCGGCAACTCGATGCGCTGCATTGATGGTAGTCTTCAGGCTCTTCTCCCATTCATCACCAGAAGCTCCCTTGGCCGCACAGCTCGGGATCTGCACATATAGTCGCTGGGCAGCCAGTACAACACCAGAAGTGGTCTCTAATTTTGGACCAATCTGTTCCGCGCCGAGTCTATTAGATGGAGTAGGCGCGATCAGCCTGGCCAAAAGGGGATGGATTTGTTTCAAATACGACCTGAACATGGTGGGATGTCGAGGTAGCAGCTCATTGAAGCTTTCCAAAATGGTTTGCAACAGAGCGGCGGGTGCCTTAATAGCGAGTTGCAGAGCAGACTGGATGTAGCCCGGAAGAGATGGAGTCGTAATCTCGCGGACTAGGGTCGGATACTCCCTCGTCAAGATGAAGATGCGTGTAAGTGTGATGATGCATAGCTTCTTCGACGAAGGCGGCTCGGGTTTGCTTAGGGTTCCCAGAAGGCCGCGAACCCAAGGCAGACACTTTTGCAGTGTTTCCCATCCTCCGATTTCGATGGTCGCTTTGATGAGAACGATGGCCGACCATCTTCCTTGGACGGTACGGTCTTGCAGCAGAGTCGAGAGAAGCGTACGGTACTTGTGCACTGCTACTGAAGATTCGGATGATGTTTTGGACACGGCAGCCTGTGGTGAACAAAGAAGCGTCCTGCAATTGACTAGAGATGCGGCTATAGCAGGCACGTGTTGGGGAAGCTGCGCAGTTGCTGTTGAGGATATCCGGAATGTGAGGGCGCGCAGTGTGGCCAGCTCAGACGTAATGGGCGCCATATTCGTCTTCTTTCCGACAATTTCCAGCCCTCAAGATGGCCTCGGTATCGTTATTGACACTCGCTGGTACTTCACTCGAAAAAAGTTCAGATGCGCCGGGTCAATGTCGGGCCGCGACACGCTAATGGGGCAGGGGTCCACTAGCCGGCGCGATGCGTACGAGGATTGTTGGAGACGCTCCGTGACAGCTGTGCGGTCACGGCTCGCGTCTTCACAATGTATATTCTTTCTTGAACATGCATTCACCCATAGCCCAACTATACATAGCGTGATAGAGCTATTCGACACACAATGGCTGTATGTGCACCCGAATTCTTTCCGGGACTCGATGTCCACCGGGCTTCTCGAGCAACGTCATTGCAAGCAGCGGAAGCTTACAGCAACACAGACGGCCCCTGAGAGCGAGAAAGCCCAGCGCTACCTGCAGCAATTGGACGAAGCACGATGCGCCGGCCGCTGGCAAGATATCCCCGAGCTTTGCCGGAAAGTCGAGAAGCATGCGCCTCACCGCAAATGTGGGTGGTGATCCCAGGCCCGAGTAGGAGGTTGTGAGGGCTAACGGCGCATCCAGGCCTCACGACCACATCCCGCTCTGAAGCCCAAATAGCGGCATACAGCGCCCAGAGACCCTCGACTGCCGCCTCAACCGCCTCCCACAATCTCTCCCAGATCATCCCCACGCTGCTCACCACCATCGAGACGGAGAATGAAACGAGCCAGGACGCCTTCCAGGCGCATGTATGTCTGGGATGGCTGCATTATGTGCTAGACGAACCAAGGGGCTGGCCGTCGCGCACCTGCCCAAAGATTTCCGGGCAGCGACGGCCAGCATGTCTGAGGGAGGAACGCTCACTGGCTGGTCAAGAGTCTGCGTTGTCAAAGGCACCTACCTGCGGGGTACGACACCAACGTAATTCGTCACACCTTATCGACACTGACCCTCTACAGGATCCGCTCAGGAGAAGACTGGCGCCATGGCAGACGCTCTCGCCACTTACTCGTCCGTGATGCCATGGCTGTCCTCCACATCCACCCCCGAGTCAGCCCAATCTAAGATGTGGACGGAGAACCTCCTGGTACGCCTATGTCACTTGTCGGACCAGTCCTCGGATGCCAGCGACATCGTCACGCCCACCGACGCCCTACGCACCTACCGCTATTGGGGAAGACACTGGGAGGCTACCTCCAAGGGCGCAGGGCATGAGGTCTCCACGGCAGCTCACCACCGGCGTCGGGCTTGGAAAGCCTACTACGACTCGCTTTCCCGCATCCTACAGCAAGGTCTTCCTTACGAGGCCGAACCTGCGCCAGCCAGCTCAGAGAAGCCTCCTCTTCTCACCCAGACCAGCTTGCGACTCCGCCAAAGAGCAGAATTGAAGCGGGTCGAGACCGTGTACGAGGGCCTGCTCATCAAGGAGACACAATTTCCCCGGGCGAGCGAGATCAACCACGAGGTGGAAGCATGGGTCGACTCGGTTATGGCGAACTGGCGGCTGCTGTGCGGGCCAACTTGGACAGATGCTGATCTTGGCGAAGGCGGCAAAGAGGGTGTTGCGCGGAGCGTCCTCGATGTGAGTGCCACTATCCATCTTTGTATGATTCTTCAGCAGACTGATGTTGTTCCAGATACTCTACCGTGCAGCTACCAAGACCTTTCACTCCACCCAAGTCCTGCGCAACCTCTTCGTCGTACATGCATCGCTAGCCGAGTTCGACTTGGCGTTCAAGGCCTACGACTCGTACGTCGAAATTATAACCCGAGGCAAAGACCGTGTCGAGAAGTCGGGCGAGGCAGTTGAGGGCATCGATGATGACAGCACCGTGCTAAGGACTTCGGCAGAAGCAGTGCGACTGTTGTGCCGCTTTGGATCAAGGCACGAGGCGGAGACAGCATTGGAAATTGGACACAGCATTGAGCGATGGCTCGAACAGTCGGAACATATTAGGTCGGCCTCTGATGCTGGATCAGTGGCTTCGGTGGACACCATAGTCGAGCCGACCGCATTGGCCGCTGCGTTTTGCGCCATCGGCATCAGCCAGGCTCATTGGGCCCGACACACATACGAAGTCGAGCAAAGAGCCGTTTTCCAGGCCAAAGCCGTACAACACCTGCGCCAATCTCTGTCACCAGGTCTCGGCGATTCAAATAATGTCGACGCCCTATATGCTCTCGCACTGGTCCTTGCAGAGACACGAGACATCCCGGGCGCCATCAAGGTCGTAAAACGTGCACTTTCGCCCGCATCAAAACCCTCGACTTCCGTGAGCGCTGACGGTGTGCTTTCCAACGGTGTGGCAAGTGAATATGGCCGGGAGCGAAAGCTGATCCCATTGTGGCATCTGCTTGCTCTACTGCTGTCTACTAGGGGCGACTTTGTTGCGGCTGAGAAGGCTTGTGAAGCTGCGTTCGAGCAATTCGGTCCCCCGACTACACTCTTCGGCAACGATGAAAGCACGTATCGTAGTGAGCATTTGAACCAGAGCACTGGCAAAGATTCTCTCGGCCGCGGTATCGTTGATCGGATGGAGGGCTTCGAGAAGAGTGGTATCTTGCAGATTAAGATGACGCAACTGGCCCTACTGGAGATGACGGAAGGCTCTATCGCTGCCGTTGATGAATGCAACGAGCTGCTTGCATTATACAGTCGATTGTTTGGCGACCCAACTGGCCAAAAGCTGACACTCGATGCATCTACCACTGTCATGGCGCCTCCGAAAAGCGCCATCGGCACAGTTCGGGGAAGCATATTCCGCGGCCGTGGCTCCGTGAAGACTTCACCTCAAGAACCTTCTGCAAGAAATTCGTCGGTGCTCAGCTCCAAGGGCTCTACTGCTGCGACACAGTCTGGCACAGCTCCTGCAATCCAAGTCACTGAAGATGATGGCACCACGCATGGTAATGGCCATCGTCACCATTTGTTCCATAAGCACGGAAAGCAGGATGAAAGCTCCACTGGCGTCTCACGAAGCAACAGCAAGAAGTTACAGAAGCGCAGCTCCGCCAGTCTGCGGAGACAATCCATTCCAGACGCTAATCAAGCACCAGAAGTACCCCCTCTACCAGAGCATGCTGTTAATGGCGCAGTAGCACAAGAAAATCTCTCGCCAAGCAAGTCTGTCGATTCCCGCGAGCAACCATTGCGAGCAATCCCACACAACATGAATCACTCTTCGCCACCACTCGATCACAACAAGCAGCCGCCCAGACAAGATATGCGGTTACCTGCGCCTTTCCCAAGTACGAATTACGTGCCATCCGATCCACGCTTTTCGAAGATCCAGGAACGGCGGCAAAAGGTATCTCTACTAAGTGATATCTGGCTATTCATCTCCGGCCTTTATTCTCGCGCTCTGATGTTCCAGGATGCAAGAGAAGCTGTTGCGGAGGCTATGAAACTCGTTGAAGCATTTGAGGCTGAGGTATCGCAAGAATCGTCGACGGCAAAATCATTGGCGCAGAAGGGATGGGGCGGCGGGAAGAGCGTGGAGGAGCTCTGGGCGGACGCTTTTTCTGCGGTAAGTTTTTCCTCTTACCATTCATAAGCCATTCAGCTAAGACATATCAGCGAGGCGAATTGCTGCTTGCCCAGACATGGCACCACCAAGCACGAACGGATTTCGAGCGCGCCCTCCTTCACTTCCCCGATCATCCCGCCGGAATCGTAGGCCTCTCGAACATCCTGCTCGATATCTATGGCGAAATCATACCGCTAGAACCCACTCCAGTAGCACAGTTTACATCGCCATCTTCGTCGACTGTTACGCCGTCGGCTCCCAAAGACAGCTCAAACACCAAGTCGCAGCACCTGACGTCACACATACCTTCCGCCGAGAATCAACTTTCACCTCCCGTCCTGAACCGCTTGGCAGCTCGCGATCGCGCCTTTGGACTCTTGTCAACACTGACCAAACTTGGCTCCGGCTGGGACTTTTCTGAGGCTTGGTACGCGCTCGCGAGGGCCTATGAAGAGAGTGGGCAGATTGAGAAGGCCAAAGAAGTGCTCTGGTGGTGTGTTGAGCTCGAGGATACTCATCCTCTGAGGAGTTGGAAGAGTGTTGGAATGGGTGGATTTGTGCTGTAATAAGAAGCTGAGTGAGATTGCAGGGTTGCGTACTTATACCCCCCTTGAGAGCAGTTTGGATATTCTTGCAAGTGACAATAATGGATCTACGTATTTGTGCCATGCATGATAGACGTCCGGAAATGATAGTGACCGTAAGATTGCCACGTGTGCCTCGAAGCGGACCACATGGACCGACAAGCTGTAATACGAGTTGGCCGCAGGTTCGAGGTGTACCAAGAGTGTCCGCGGACACACAACAGATTCGCAAGTCGCAAAACATACCCCCTAACCCTAACTTCGTCCATACCACTGCAACCAACCAGCGTCAGATCGAGATCCGCACCATCCATCGTCATGTCTGTTGTCACAGCCATAGGGCACGACTGTCCCAGATTCTCCTTCACTTACACATGCGACTAGCGTAGTCACGATCACCGAGACTTTACACTCTCTCACCACTCACTATAACCGCAAACGCAGCGCAAGTATACCACGAGTGCTTATGGGTCTCTCGTCCTCTCTTTTCCAACTCCACCTCTCGCGTCAGTAACTGCCATGCGCCTCAATACCGCAATGGAGACAATTCCCGGAGAGGAAGACATCGGTCGTGTAGCATCATGGCTCGAGGATCTGCACATGGACAGCGACAGCGAACATGATGATATGGAACCCGCCACCCCGCCGCCCCGAAGGCCCTTTCACAAGCAGTCGTTTGACGAAGTGTCGCCGACAGATACCACCTTCAGCGGCGGCAGCATATTCGACAAGCCCTACCGCCAATCCCTCCTCCTCGGCAGCCCGGGTCCATACCGCGACGATATCTCGGATGTCACCAGCGTCGATGGCGAAGAGCGCGAGCCGATCAAGCAGCCCATCTTCCAGAGCACACTTTCACCGACTCACGCTGCAAATCTCGAATCCGCCACAGATCTCGCCGACAATGAACAACCCCCGAAACGCCTTACGACCGTCCTATCTTGCATCCAATGCACCCTCGCCAACCTCCCGTGCTCCCGCACACCCCCGGTCTGCACCCGCTGTACGCGCAACTCCACGCCATCCTGCTTGCTTCAGCGCCGCCTGTTCTCGGACGAAATCGCCATCGCACCCGCGGATCTGTGCACGCAGCCTGTTCTGCTCAAACTGGTAAGTGAAAGTGAAGAGGTGTGGGAGGCGAAGATGGAGGCCATGCAGGAGCTTATGGGGGAATGGAGGGACAGGAAGGATCGGGAGAATTGGATTTGTCCGAGGGTGGAGACGGAGAGGAGGAGGGGATGGAGGGGTTGGGTTGAGGAGAGAAAGGATGGAGGGCTGGGCCAGGGAATGGGAAGGATGAAGTGTTTGGAGTTGAGGGTTGAGAAGGTAAAGTTCTGAAGTGGGCCGGCATTACTGGCGAAGTGGAATGCTGGTGGCATCAACTTGGCAGCATCGCAATAGCGTTCGGAGGGGTTGAGGCGTTTGGGATCTAACGTTGCGATACTTGCTCGCATATCTGCTACTTACCTTCTCCGCACGGGCGAAGCTATTACATCTATGCAACTTTGGAGTTCACCCAACATCTCTTTCTACAATTTCGCTCCACTCTTCACCAGACCCTCGATCCCGACCTCGCTCGTCATCAAGATACACGTGTCCTTCAGACTTGGCACACGGTGTCTATGATTGACCTCCTGGTAATCCTCGCTGATCAGCATGTCCCTAAAGTGACGGATGCTCGGATAATGCGCGAGAGCAACTTCGTCCCAGCCATCTGCGCTTGCATCGACCAGGCTTGGGGAAGGAGAGGAGTCAGCGCTAACGACGTTGCCAACGATTTTCGCATTCCCGCCGTGTCGCGAACCAATCGTTTCGGCAAAAGCTTTGCCATACTTCAAGTACTCTTCTTTCATGCCTGGGTTGAAGGCGAGCAGGTTGAACATACTGACTGCGCCTGTAGCTTCAGGACCGGATGTCTTGGTGAATTCGTCGATCCATGCGTCTAGGCCCGAGCTGAGTTCGAGGTTTTGACTTGAACTTGTGACGCGCTTTTTCGCCTGGCTGAGCTTCGGCACGGAAGATGCATCGGGGTGTAGTAATTTCGCATTCTTTTGCGAGAAGTCTTGGATAAGGCGCGATGGGACGCCGGCGGTTATGCTCCAGTGATGTTGGACTAGGTCGGTAAGGGAGGATGGGAGCGCTGATGTGCTAGGAAGTACGATGAACAAATCCCAGGAAATGTTGCGCGCGAGCAAATTCTCGGTAGATAGTTGACTGGGGAGAATAATCCAGCGAACGACGCGGGATACGACCAGCGGTGCGACATTGGATGATTTGAGTGTTGAGACGATTGTTGAGAGCGGGTTTGGTGTGGTTTTGTGGAGAGACAGAAGGTGGAGTGTACACAGCGGCATATTGACGAAGATTAGCACAGCTGACCTAGACCTACCGTGAGATCGCTTGACGAACGCCTTCAGGTTTGAGATTGATATACTTAGGTATCATTGTTAAGCAGTGCACTACCTAAGTTGGATGACGTAAATGCGGAGTAAAGCCGAGGCTCAACGTCGAAAACAAAGGAGCTATCATTATGCTGTGCGCGACCACCAATAAGTTATGTTCGACAATCAAGACGAACTCCGCAAAAATCTGTCCAATTAGGGTTCTCATAGTCCACGGAAACATGCCGTACCTTCATAATTGGGTTGTCATGCCATACTACTTGCTTATAGAAGTTTTCGCTATTTTAAAGATGTTGACGAAGTATGCTGGGTTTTGTGGTGAATAATCAATTCAAAACCTAAGGGCTACATGAATCGTTGACCAATACAAGCACGAAGGAAACTTCGGGGTTGAATCGGAAAGCTACACTGTGAAACGAGGAACAGTGAATTCAGAGTGCCAGGCATTCACCGAAAGAGATATCGCGGCGTGAAGCATTGTGACAACATGAAGCTAGCCCCCTCTCCAATACTGTATCATATGTGTTGAATCAGCGAGCTCGAATCCTTCTGTTGTAAACCTCGAGAACCTCCACTCAACAACCAGCAGAAATGTCTTCACTCAACCAAAAGCGGTTAACTCTATCGAGCTGGCAGGTCAACGTCAATGTCTGTCGGGTGAATCGCAGTCTACAGTTGAACGAGTCCTCCGTTCCGATTCGCAGCAACCCAGCCAGTCTAATGACTTCGAAACCACGAAAGCCATTCTCGAGCCCTTCAGTCACATCTTCAACACCATCACGGAGTGCATTGAGCCTGAAGCAATTAACCGAGTACAGCTGAAACCGCAGGGTGGAGGCTTGAATGCTAACGTGCTTGTCTACACTGTATACAGTCGTCAAGACGATGGTTTGGGCCAGATCTGGTCTCGAGGCGCCGCCGCTCTTCCGCGCAATACGCCCCAGTCTTCCCAGTGCGCCCTACAGAAGTTCAACCTATGTGATAGTGCAACGTACTCAATGCTACCCTACATCATTCAGGCCGTATAAAAGGTTTACGGTCGAGCAGATGGAGTCGTCATTGAAAATTTCGTGCCTCGAATGATGTTGGCGTACTCAGGGGACGAGCCCGCTGTATGCAATCACTCAGTATGCATCATCACTTCCGCGTCTGGTGAGCAGCAGTACATTGCTGACTTCACTCTAGAGCAATTCGGCTGCGAGTCCGAATCGCGGTCCTTGAAGCGCAGCGACTATCACGACTTGGTATGTAGCGAGTTTGGTGGAGTATGCATAGGTGAAGAGTGGTATGCAGAAATGGAACGATTGACGAGCGATGTCCAAGACGAGCCTTTCCTTTACAAGGTCTGTCAGGCTACCCGGAAGACTTGCGGTGTGGTTGGTACCACGTCATTCGAGAAGCTGCGGAGGTCAGAGCAGACGGCCTGGGTGCGGGATCGTGCGATCGAGGCGGTGTTGTGCTGTGACTAGTACCGCGTATTGTCAAACATGTCGGAACGTGACTCGGATGCAATTTATAGCCCACCCGATAGCGTGACGCTATCCATATCATTATTGAATGCTACGGTGAGCCTCTTGTTGATGTTCCTCGTAAACCATGACTCGCAGCGACTGGTGGATCTCGCCGCCCGTATTATTCTTCTTGTTCACAGCTTGGTTCCAACATCATGCGCGAAGAAGAAAGAGCCCAAGATTTAAAAACAGAACTTGGCTGCATGAAAAAGCAGCAACAGGTCTGTTGGCTCAATATGATCCGCTCCTCGTGATGAGTTTCCATGCTAAGACTTAATGCATTAAATTTTTGAGAACCAGTGTCAACTCTTGTGTTTGGCAAATAGCAGGAGTGTCTGCAACATGGGCAAATATCGTTGTTGGACGCCGAAGGGGAATAGGAGGAGAGTCAGCAGAGGCCGCTCATTTGAAACCGTAGGGCTTAGCGCTCATGGCATGCCGCACCCCTGCATCGAGAAACGTCTCCCTGACAGCGGGTCAATGGGATTGTGTCGGCGCATAAACATTTCCCACTAACGACCCAATAATGACCCAGGCACCAAAATGAGGAGGCCCAGAACATTTCTTGCGCTGCCGTGACAGGGTAGGTGCGGGCCGTTTGTCCACAGAAAGCAGCAAATGTCAAAGCTGGCCAGTTACACGAGAGTTATTCACGAGATGTGAACCAAATTCTGACGGTGTTCCTTGGCATGGCGTTTCGACGGAGGAATTTCGAGAAGGACGGAAATTTAGGGCTTTACATTTTGTTTCTACCTAAACCGAGTTTGGATGTGGCGTGGCCCACTAGCGTTTGATACCGCGAGGCTGAAACTTGAAGTTGATTGCTCTCCTTGGTACCACCATGTGACGATCATACACAAGACTCAATCCATTGGCTGAAAAAGCACAAATCTTCTTCGCTTATGGGGGTGCATGGATGCACAAGCGCTGCCAGACGTGTGATAGTCTAGAAACAATACATGTTTATGACGAGGATGACTACTAAGCCTTTTAGTGCGGCAGAAGCCCCAGAGGGAACACGAGCAGAACTCAATGCTTGGGAGTCTGGACAAACCAATCTCCGTCCGAACCGACTCTGCACTTGTGCACGGCAAGCTGTTCGCGATAAGCGGATTTGCACTTCCGTATAAGACGTCGAACCATTCCCACTCAGTCCAACATCAGCTTCATCTTCAGCAACCATTACATTCGTTTCAGTCCTTCTTTGAGAAATTCCATTCGCTACACATTCTTTTATCCAATCCATTCGTTTTTGCCAGTCAAAATGAAGTTCTCTGCTATCCTCATTGCCTCCGTCGCCCAAGTGGCCACTGCCCATTACTTCATCGACACCAATGTCGTTGGTGGAGTTAAGCAGCCCGCCTTCAAGTATGTCCGCAAATCTACTCGTGCGACCCTGTACAACCCAATCAAGTTCTCCGACAACCCCCTCACCGATATCCGTGATGGCTCCCACGTCGACGGCCCTGATATCCGTTGCAACCAGGGTGCCTTTTCCTCTGCTGGCAAGACTCAGGTCTTGACCGTCAAGGCCGGCGATGAGGTCCGCGGTACCTTGGCTGTTGGTGCCAAGTTCGGGCACCCCGGTCCTGAGTTCGCCTACATGTCTCTGGCTCCCGGAGGTGTTCAGCAGTACGACGGATCCGGCGACTGGTTCAAGATCCACGAGCAGGGCGTTTGCGACGGTGGTGACTTCACCTCTACCGCCTGGTGCGATTACAACAAGGACTACATCTCTGCGACGATCCCCAAGGACACTCCTGACGGCGAGTACCTCGTCCGCTTTGAGCACATTGGTGTTCACCGCTGCCACGTCAACCAGCCCGAGCACTACGTCTCTTGCCTGCAGGTCAAGGTTGTCGGTGGCGGTAGCGGCACTCCCGGCCCCATGGTCAAGGTCAGTTCAACTTCATACATGCCTAAGATTCACTTGTTAACATAACTTAGTTCCCTGGTGCTTACAAGTCCACCGACCCGTACGCCAACTTCAGCATCTACAACGGTCGCAAGGCTTTCCCCATGCCCGGCCCCAAGCCCTGGGTTGGTGGCGGCAGCAGCTCCGGTCAGCCAGCTAAGGAGGAGACCTCCCCTGCTTCATCTGCCCCTGCAGCGCCTGCTTCTGCTTCGTCCGCACCCGCTGCTCCTGCTTCGCCCGCTCCTGCTTCGCCTGCTCCTGCTTCCCCCGCACCCGCTTCGCCCGCACCTGCTGAGCCTGCTCCTGCTGAGCCCGCACCTGCTGAGCCCGCACCTGCTTCTCCTGCTCCTGCTTCATGTACCCTTGGTTCGCCTACCACCATGGCCACGGTCGCTAAGCCTGCCTCTACTCCTGCTCCCGCTGCCGGCGCCGTAGCTCTCTACGGACAGTGCGGTGGAGAGGGGTACTCTGGCGCCACCAGCTGTGCCACAGGTACTTGCAAGTCCATCAACCCATGGTACTCTCAGTGCCAGAACTAGAGGGTCAGCTATTGTTGAGCGAAGCAATTCATTGTGAGCAACAAGCTGATGGCATCAAAACTTCTGCTTTCGGCTCCAGAGCCATTGAGCAAGGCTCCGCAGGATTTTCTCGGGGACGAGCGTAGAACTTAGAACCTTTTTGTACATAATCTTACATTCCACGACAGCGTACCGAAGTTCATCTTTGAACAAGAAAATGTCTATATCCTTTCCACCCACTATCCCACCCTTTGGTGACCATGCTTTCGAATGTTACGCCCTTGCCACTCATCATTGTGGATAACTCCAGCTTTCGAATGTCACGCTCCCGTCACTGATCGTTGTAGTACTGTCGCACTCGGTACTAGTGGTAAACTTGCTGTTTGCCCCTGCTTGCCAGAACACTTGACCATCGGAAGTCTTCTTGATGTACTTGTACTCAAAGATAGTACCGGCTGGAAGATCGATGGTTCCACTCCAAGGCGGGTTGCTGCCGGTGTACTGGCTCGCGCTGAGTGCCTGAGCACCTACAGGGGCCCAGTTGCCAAGTTCCGTCAATTGGCCGACAACGAAGACCTCCTGGCCAAGGTCGGTAGTGGCGAGAACGTTGAAAGTTGTCCTGGAGATGCAGGCAGGAGTTCCGGTGCAGGTTTCTGGCGGTACATTGTTGGATGATTCGTCCCAAGATGGGCTTACGACACCATTGCGGCGCTCAGTCGCGGTAATGAAGGCGGCGTACGACCAGGTCAGGTCAACGGCGGAAACAGGAGAGCCATTTGCCTTGTTGAACTGCTCTGAAAGACCGCCGTTGGCAGGTGTGTATTTCATAACAATCGCCATGTAGCCATCAGCATATGTTTTGACGGCGTGGATGATCGAAGTGTAGGTCGCAGAGTCCTTGGCATAGGTGCCGACCGCGACGTTGGGTAAGAGGTCGTTGAAGAACGGTAGGGATACGGCGTCCACGGTAATAGACTCCAGCTTGTTCCATTGATAGGCAGCGGAATAGAGCTGCTCTGCGGCAGCAGTCGTAGTCAGGTACCACGGGTTGCCATTCTGTCACGGCCGTTAATATGACATCGATGCTAGCTCATGGTAAGTGGCTTACAAAGTAAACGTCCTCAGAATATCTTCCGACACCGACGGCTTGACCTTGCGGAATACCTTCGTTGATGGCGTACACGGAGCGAAAAGAGTCGGTAACGGCCTTATGGTTGGCAAGAGCCCGAGACGAGCAAGGCTGGAAAGTGGCATCGGTGCACTTCGAATTGGGGTCAAAAGTGTGGATCGTAGAGATAAGAGAGTTGGCATCCTTGCCAGTGCGACCATCGTTGAGGTTGATGTTGGAGTCAATATAACTTCCAGTCCAGAAGCTCTGGACGAAACAGATTACCTGGGGAGCAGCTTCGGCACACCCATCGCATGTCTTACCAAGTTTAGTCGCAAGAGCAGCGCCCTCGACAAGAGCGCGGTGAGAAGCCGACAGAGTGAAGAACGATGAGCCGTTGGTCTCCTCCCACAAGTCGAAGCCAGTCTGGTTCCAGTAACGTACAACATATGCGAGGTCTTTTGCGATGACGGGCCAAACAATATTGGCTACCTGGGTGGATGCGCCATTGGCAGCGAGGTAGTTGGCATAAATGGTGAGCGCAGTGGCACGAAGAGCTGGTCCATCACGTTGAGGACGACCCCAAGGACCGGTAAAGGCGGTCCTGTCGACGTTAAACTTGGGCTCACCAAGTCCTCCATTGTCAGGGCTGCCAGATGGGCTCGTGACACCTTGAAGTTCGGCTTGTGTAGACACATAATCATCAATCTTCTGCTTGAGTGATTGATCTCCGGCAACAAAACGTTCGATAAGCATCTTATAGGTCAATGCGGAATCCCTAGTCCACGTGAACCAGTCTAAAAAATGTCAGATTGAGCCTACACCAGCGAACCTAAAGATCCGACTTACAATCTGGGTCAGATCGTGATGGGCTGGCGATAACAACGCCCTCCGCGGCACCCTGCGCCTTGGAGCCATCGGGACCCATGTTTGCGAATATGCCATTGATGGAGACATTTGCTTGAGCTTCGATGAACAGGTCGAGTGCAGTTTGCTGTCTCGCACCATCATTTCCAGGGAAAGGCGAACCTTGAGCGCCAACCAGGAGTAGGGCTGCCGGAAGGGCACTTAGAAACGATGTGAGGAGCATACCGATCGGGATCTCAATGAGGAAGTGGTTGAACTGTTTAGTAAAGGCACTGGTCAAAGATGAGAAGAACCTCGTTGAATATTTATGTCTAGGCTAGTGGACCTGTGGTATGTAAACGCGACTGCGCTAGTGGACACTCGTCATAGCCCGCTGGCTGATGACAACTTCGGCTTCCCTGCCAGTAAACGCAGCTGTAAACAACGCGGAGTGCATGCGCGATTCAGTCGCGCCATGCAACACGGAGGTGGTGGTGAATGGCCATGGTGAGAAAGGAGCGGACAGGCGACGAGCCAACCAACGTCACGACATGGTGAGGCTCATTTTGCACCGGTCACTAGCGGGCGGCTGATTCTCAAATGATCATGGAGAATCTGTCAGGAGGACGTGAACATGTGAAGAGCGACAAAGTCAAATTAAACATCTACCCCGGATTTAGCGTCAACCAATAGCCTCACGTGGTCACAGTACCTTCCTCTTCCGCACTAGCAATGACGGCGCACTCCCGGTGTTCGCTCGCGTGCCACGAACATCATCATCATCATCATCGGTCCTACACCATTGCAGCTGAACACTGATCCACAACGCCATAAATGTCTCAACCGGTTGAAGAAAGGCTATTCAGGTGACATATTGTCTAGATCTCATGGAAGAATCACGAACGCCGGAGTCAGGGATTAGGTGAATGACATGCTCCAGCGCAAGCTACTCCAATCCAGGGTTTCGATGGTGTGAATACTTTTATAACATTTTGTTTGTACAGATCGCAAGGGTACGCCGTTGAGACCACGGCGGCCATCCGCATTGACTACAGCTCGGTAGGGTTATACAAGTCGGCGTACTCGACCGTTCCAAGCGCACGGTGAGCTCTAGCCGCAGCAATTCCGCTCACAATGGCGTTCTCCAGAATCTGCTGCAAATTCGGGAGATCGTAGTACATGTCCAGTGGGCTGGAAAAATGCAACAACACGGCCACTGATGTGGAGGAATATGACGTACGATGTGCGAAACAGTTCAGAACGCGTCGACGAGTCGTCTGCACAGTGCGGCTTTGTGGGTGAGGCTCTCCACGAACTATCTTGTACCAGGTTCGCCTAAGCCGCGAAAAGGTGACCGTATAGAAGGGACGCCTGAACGATACAAGCATTTCGATGACAACGCGGACGGGCGGCGATTCAGGCACGTTCTTGCTGCATTCAGCTATGCGGAGGATGAACGTGCCTATGGCCTTCAGGACTTCGTCATCGATCTCTTTGGGGGCACGAAAGGCCCGTCGAAGCTCCGCGATTCCTGCTCGGCCAGTGCGGTAGGCGATGATGGCCGATATTACTAGGCCGTTACGCACGCCGCTTAGGAGGCGCTCTAAAAAGGTTTCGATGGAAAGTGTTAAAGTCCCCCATCGAGGTAAGTGCGACCAAGTCTTCTGGCTTGACGATCATTGTTGCTGGCTTTGCTGACAAATGTGTGAGAGCCGGCTTCATGATGTAGCTTGCCTCATCATTGATCGTACGGCATGTCTGTAGGATACGAACACCCTCGAGAGACGCATTGATCAGTGTGCCGTAATGTCCACCTCCTCCCAGAGAGAGTGGGACAATGTGTCGCTTGTAGACAACGTCCAGCTCCTCGTAAATCATGAGGCGGATCTCTGTTGGTAGATCCAGCAACCTAAAGGGTTTTGCAAAGTCTTCAGACTGTCGCGTGTTCGGAAGATCTTCGCTGCATTGATCATCTGACTGCATGGTGAAAAGGCCCTGACCCATGTTGCGTGCCTGACCAACAAAGCATGACGTATCGATGTTTCTAGGATCTGACTGAGCCATGGCGGTTGGAAAGTTTACGAAGAGTGATTGTTCGGGTTGCGTCTGTATTCTAGTTGGGCTGCAGGTTTCCAAGGGGGGAGATGGCGGCAGGGAATGTTTTCTAACCACGAGGACGATAATATGTCACTGCGGAACTCCGAGCCACTTCATAGTGTCGGTTTTCTGCCATCGCATTTCAACGCTTGTAGAGATGGGTAGTTAATTGCCTGATTTAAGAGGATGTATCAACAATGATGGACCTTAATTTCTACCCGCAAAAGGTCTAGTTCTTCCACTTTCAGCCTTGTTGACGATGGGATAGTGCAGTCGGGAAACAAAACGATCGCGAATTTCTGCAACCTTGTCCCTATGTCCTTTATGACTGCAATGGGAAGTGAACAGATCCGAAGTAATACTCTTCTATGGTACATTAAGCCTGCAAGCCTGCTTTGCATGAAATGGCATCTGTCCGGGGAGAGAAGCTTTGAGACGTTCCATCGAGGGCTATGGATAGTTGCCTTTGCTCTTTAATGCACAACGAAACTTTGTCAAGGGATATGCCGCACTGAAGAATACTGGCTGGTAGCGCAAAGCTATACGTGCTGCCCCATTCATGCTGCTTTGGCCTTGGAGCGGCAGAAGATATGTGCGCCCTCGGAAGAGACTGCGCACGTCCTGACCAGACATTGTACACTTACTTCAGCTCGACCGGAAACACAAGATGTGCTCGGCGAGGTCAAGGTGACCTCTAGAACATCCGTCTGCTTCCACTCTTCGATATCAATCTTCATCGTTACAATGCCACGCACGGTAGTGATACAGCCACCCCTCTCCTGCTCTGCATCTGTCTTTGAGAGATCAATATGCACAGAAAGGAAATACTGGTAAGGTTTGGCCGAATGCTCCGATCCAAGCCTCCCGCGTCCATTGCGCGTGCCGTGAGTCTCGAAGTTCTCAGGATCGTCGTTATGAATATGTTTCAACGTGTATTCTCGCGTAGGCTAAATAATGCATAGTCAGCAGCCGGAACGCGGCACTCTTGGATGCGCAAAGTGCGAGAACAAGTACAGAAGGGATGATGCACGGGAGTGTGGAGAAGGGCCGATTAGTGCAACCCCACTTGTCTAACCCCGCGGTCCGTCCCTTCCCACTTAGCAAACTCTTCATTGACTTCATTCAACTTCATTTAACTTCACCTCGAAAGCATTTTTCACAAGTTCGTGCTTTCTTTCAAAGCGAGAAACACTAGACACCAGGAAAGCTGTTAGGGTTTGCGGACATGCATCCACGACCTCATGAGCACTATGGCCCCGCTTCGGCGCCATGATGTGGCGCTCCACTACAATAGCCACCACACATGCACCCTTGCATGGCAATAATTGCAGACGGCGCACACGATCCACTCACGATGCACTTTGAAATCACGCCACGCTTTTCAAGCCCATCACACACAGCCACGCGGCGCAGGTATGGGGCGAGTGCATGGCTGAGGTTTCGGCGCGTCTTCTCGGCCTCCGTCAAACTGCGGTCCAGTGACATTGTGTGACCCCGGTCCTCGTTTTCTCTTGCTCCGTTTGACGACCTCTGTGATTTGTGCTTACACCAAGCCGGAAACACGGCAAGATCGTGGATATTGAAGATGGTTGTAGCCACTGAAACTCATGGTCGCTGTATGCATTTGGTAAGGGCTCGAGCTATGATTTGAAGCAGGGTGGATTCCACTACGTATTGACACGAGAAGAGTTGGCTGGCCATCTTTGAATGACGGTGAGTCTTTCGAAACAGCCCGTACCGCCCTTCCGTCCGCGACCTTGGGTTCTTGCATAAAGTCTGAGCTTTCGCGACATGCAAGCAGATCATCTCCACCCATCGATACCCTCCAGCTTCTCAAACCTCCAGCGCCAACGTCAGTTCACTCATACCTCCACTGAATCATCAAGATGACCTTCCATTACTCTGCCGAAGACATTCGCGTCGATGACGGACACATTCTCCGCGCTCGTCTCCAGCGCGCAGATGGCGAGTACAACGATGCTGAGCTCGATCTGAACAATCACATTGGCAACGACAACGGTAATACGATCCGTCGCTCAACGTGAGGATGAGCAAATACTGATTGCAGGCAATAGGCAGCTTTGTCTGGGACGGCGAAGGCTTCTCCGGCTCAGCTGAGAACGTTCACTTCTCCATCGAAGGTGATGGCGAGGTCCCCGTCCTTCGCGCCACTCTTTTTGACGGTGATGGCAATGGCACTGAGCGCGACCTCAATTTGGGGGAGCGTGTCAGCAACAACGATGGCAACTTTGAGTATAGTAAGTCGTTGTATCGCTCGCATTGAGATTAGCATATTGACGCAGTCCAGACTAGCATTTTCATAGCTTCCATGCGAAAACTTAATAAAAGGATTAAACGTTCAGGTTACTCGCTCGAGTAGCAATTCCCAATCTATTGTCTCGTAACCGCAAAAACCAGAGTGATGAATGCATTACGTAGGTCTAACCAATGCCGTCAAGACTGCTGCATATGCTGCCGTCGCTGCTAGTAAATTCATAGTATCTGTTTTTGCAAACAGCACAAGACCAACAGCAAACATGAATATTGACGTCAGGATAATCGCTAATTTCTTTGCCTTCACATCCCCAACTATCAACATCAGCGTTGGGGCGATAATGATCGAGCGACCCGCAAAGGCAAAAGCAAATCGTTTCTACGCCAAAGTGAAGTATTTTCGCCGTTCCTCGCTCGCTCACGTATGCTCGCGAGTCGTGCCTAGACTTAGTCCGAGCGCTTCGCTGTGCTCTAAGAGCGTTGGGTAGAAGGACACGAGTAGATCGGCATCGCGGAAGAAGATGCGGCTATGGTTGCTCGGAATGGTGAAGTCGACCCACCTGCGCGTCCAGCATGCCGTCCCACCCAAGCGCAGAGCGCAGATTGTAACTGTGTTCGGCCAGCATAGATAGGCTCAGCAGCCAGAAGATGTCACGCTGCCTGCACCGTTAGGGTTGCCAATTCCCGAACTTGGTCCACCGCTAGACGGGCTGCACTGCGCAGAAGAAGATTGCGACTTCCTTACTGTCCATTAAGATGCGCTGCGGAAACACCGCAAGCGCAAGCATAATGCGTCACACTAGAGTGAAGAAGCGAACTCTAATAACGGTCAGACCTCATCTAAGACTAAATGAGATCTAAGGGGGTGTGTCGCAGGCTAAGCGCTGTCAAGAACCTTATTACTAATAACGCCGTCCGACGGCCTTAACCTAATCCCAACCCAGAGTCTGTGCGACCCCGACCTAACCTCAACCCATCGTTGTGTATACCCAACCTATTTACCAGCGTAGTTGTAGGTGGCTCATTACTCGACTCGGCTTATTTCGCGCACGGACACGGTAGCGGCCGATTATTGTATACGGGCCTAAGTTGGACAGATTTGTTTAGAAAGGAAACTTAGTACTAAGCTATCGCACTACTCGTTAGTTACAATATCAGCTCGAACTAACTAGCTATTCAAACACTATGCAAACACTAGTAAAAATTAAAGCTAGGCATAGACATATAGTATCAGAAACTAGAATCTAAGAGACTAGAAGTTGTATAAATACTTAGTAACCTCTACCTTTAAGAAGTATCAACGCAGATATCTCTACCTTATATTATATCCTTATTAACTACTAATTCCTTCGAACTTCTTTAAATAACCGTTATTATAGTCTATATCCTCTCTATTCTTAGATTTGTTCTTACTATCTCTGCTAGTATGCAAGCTTAGTAGAGAAGTATCTACTAGTGCTTATTCCTAGATTCTTCTTACTGCTGCGCTCTCTAGGTAAGTCTCTTATTCTCTCTTCTAAATACAAATAGAGCTAACTTAAGTCTCTCTTTCTTAAGAGCACTATAGGTAGAAGCCTAGATTACTCTATACTTTATAAAGACGCCTACTATAATAAAGACTTAGTAAAATGCAACGCTAATAGTAAGTTTAGCACTATTAGCTTCTAGAACTTTTAGTTCTGCGAGAGTTGCAAAATCTAACCTATTTTTTAAATTAACTACTCTACTCTATTATACTAAGTAGCAAAATAGTTATAGATAGACGTTATTAAGCAAGATGCTAAAGAAGGTAGGCTAAGCATCGTTATAGATATAGTATATATTACGATTCTAGACTCTTTTATATTATACTATATACTAATAGTTTTATATCTCTACTTCTCTGCACTACTATACTACGTAGTATATTATACTACTTTCTCTTATAGTTATTATATATATAGTTTATAGTTATATACAATAGATTCTAGGTTTAATCTATTAGATATAACAGATAAGATTACATATTTATTAATTATATTATTCTATCTTTAAGATACTCTTTAAAGATATATCTCCTTCTATAAGTAAAGCTAAAGTAGTATAGAGTTAGCTTATATAGCTTTATTAAGCTTCTAAACCTTATAGCATAAGAATAGAAATGCGTAATATCTGCTATCTAACGCTTATATTCTATTCTAGTATTCTTATATCTTAACTCTGCCTTAACTATCTTTAGCTTCTTTATAGAGTAAAACCTTAATTTAATCTAGCAAACCTTCTTAGCTTTACGCTTCTTAGTAGCCTAAGCTAAGTTCTTATATATAGCCTTCTAGCATACTAATTATATTAAGCTATAAGTATACTATAAAATAAGTCGTATATATATATAGATATTTAAAGTTAATTAAATATAAACTTCTAGAGTACAGCGCTTCTAACGCGAAGTTCTTATATATAGCTCTCTAGCGTATTAATTATATTAAGCTATAAATACGCTGTAAAACGTACTAGTGCTAGTCTAGTATTAAGCTAGTATAGTAATAAGGCTATAATATATTAGGAATTAGAATTCTGCAGCAGAATTCTCTAAAAAGTAGCCTATACGTAAAAAGTAAATTTATATATATCTTATATATCTATAGCAAAATCTCTATGCTTCTATAGTAAAATCTCTACGCTTCTATAGCAGAATTCTTATGCTTTTATAGCAGAATCTTAGCACTTCTATAGCAGAATTCTAGTGCTTCTATAGCAGAATTCTTATACTTCTATAGTAGAATTCTTATACTTTTATAGTAGAATCTATACATATTAGGATTTCTAATATTAAGTCGATAACAGTGCTAAGCTAGCCTATGCACACTTAAGAGTTAAGCGATATTATAGCAGAGTTAAGCGATATTATAGCAGAGTTAAGCAATATTTTAATAGAGTTAAGCGATATTTTAACAGAGTTAAGCAATATTTTAATAGAGTTAAGCAATATTTTAACAGAGTTAAGCAATATTTTAATAGAGTTAAGCAATATTTTAACAGAGTTAAGCAATATTTTAATAGAGTTAAGCAATATTTTAACAGAGTTAAGCAATATTTTAACAGAGTTAAGCGATATTTTAACAGAGTTAAGCGATATTTTAACAGAGTTAAGCGATATTTTAATAGAGTTAAGCAATATTATAGCAGAGTTAAGCAATATTATAGCAGAGTTAAGCAATATTTTAATAGAGTTAAGCAATATTTTAATAGAGTTAAGTATTTTAATATCTTTTAGTAGCTAAAATTGTATATAAGCAGAGTATAGCTACTACTAATATGTTATAAGAGATTATTAGAGATATTCTAGATCTTATTATAATAATATTAAAGAAAAGTAGAATAACTCTGCCTACCTCTCTCTCCTCTTAACATAAACTATTATTAAATAATAACGCTATCTCTAATAATCTATATATTTATGCTATACTGTATTGCGCTAATATTATTGCTATCTCTAACTTTCTTAACTAATCGTTAACTATTACTAATAGGTAAAAGAAATTCTATAGAGTCTCTAATTGCTAACTTATTCTTAGTTACCTCTTCTAATCGTAAAGGTAGAAGCAGAGCACTATCTATTATATAAGATATATATATATTCTTAATACGTTATAATACTAGTTTAATAGTTATATTACACAACTGTACTATCTTAACCTATTAAAGAAACCTTATTATTAGTAGACCTTATTCTATAAAGTAGTTTAATACTATACTTTGCAGCAGTAAAGCAAAAATACTAATACTAAACTAGTCTTTTAGTATAGACTATTGCTGCCTATTCTCTAGAACCTCATCTAAACGTCTTCTAATTAGAGAGATTCTCTTTTAGCATTGCGCGCTCGCTCTCTTAGCTCTAATATATAGATCTAAATAACTACTCTTTTGCTACTATTATAAACTCTCTACCTCTACTACCTATTAAGTTTGCCTACTTTTAGACTAATATAACTAGAGTCTTATACTATATATATATAGCAGCTAAGATCTATTAATATTATATATCTCTAATAATACTAACTATCTAACTTCTTCTAGCAGTATTAAATAAATCTGCAAATTTATCTATCTTAGCATAACTTAAATGCAAACTACTAACTTTATTGCTTTGCTGCTAAGATAGCACTAGTTAACCTTATAGATAGATACTAAAAGAATTACTTTCTACTTTATTACTAGAATTATTATAGGCATAAATTATAAGAAGCTTACCTTTAACTCTAGAGAATAGACGTTTTCTAGTAGAATGCTAAGATCTCTACGCTTCTAATATTAACTGCTAGTTCTTTAAGTAGTCTAGTTAGTTCTAATTGCTATAGCCTTATTTATTATATTTCTAACTATCTTAATGCCTATACCTAGTAACTTCTACGTAAACCTATAATACTTTTATTTCTAGTTACTATATAATATCTTATTTTGCTTTGCACTTGCCTAATTCTATATACTTACTATAGTTTGCATAATAGCGCTATCTAGTTTATCCTTTAACTATTTATTAGCTTATCTTATAGACGTTTCTTTTAGCAAACGCGTTTATTTAGCAGGTGCATAGAGCTTAGACTTAGATGCGCCTTTATAGCTAGCTATTACATTATTAGATATAGCATTATTATCTAGAACTATAATCTTATTAATAGAGTTATTATATATATTATTAATAAAGCGTATAAGCTAATACTTATTAACGCGCTAGCAAATCTAGCGTAGTGTAGTTTCTAGCGTTAGCAAAATAAATGCATACATAGGCTTACTATAGCTCTCTAGCGCTATATAAATTAGTATATTTAACCTAAACTCTAATAAAGTGTTATAGAGCAACGTATATATCTTCTTATTTCTCTTAGATAAAGTTAGCATTAACCTTAGAATAGAAGGCAGCATTATAAGGTATATAAGCTAAAGATATATATAGCATAGAGCTGCTAAAGTTACATCTGCGTTAGCAAAGACTACTATACTAACTAGCTAAAATTAGCATAGTAATAGATTTCTACTATAGATAGAAGTTAAAATACTATAGATGCTACTAATACTATTAAACACTAGACTATTATATCTTATTCTAATTACCTTATTATTAACTACTAATATAAGATTATTATATAT